GCTTGAGTGGGTAGCTGGTCATTGCATGGATTGTGTGGGTGTGGAAGTAAGGTCGCAACTTTCTAGAAGCGATCAGCAGGGCATAAGCCAATTGCTTCATTTCCCGAGATTCTGGATACCGTATCTCGGCATCCAACAGACGCTTGCTCACGTAATAAACCGGCCATTGAAACCTGTTCTCTTCCCAAACTAAAGCCGCACTGACCGTGTATTGAGAGACGGACAGATACAGCAAGAGAATTTCCTGCAAGAGAGGCTTGGACAGAAGAAGTGGTTTTCCGAGGTGCTCTTTAATGCTATGAAATGCTTGTTTGCACTCGGGAGTCCACTCAAACTTCTTAGTGGCCCTAAGGATGTTGAAGAATAGCAAGCAGCAATCTATTGCTTTCGATATGAAGCGACTAAGTGTCGCTATTCACCCATTGAGACTCTGAACCTGTTTTCGATTGATCAGGCTTTTCATATCGAGGAGAGCTTGGATTTTCTCGAGGTTAATCTCTATTCCCCCTCTGGTTAACCATGTACCCCAGAAATTTTCCTGAGGATACTCCAATAAGCATTTGAAAGGACTGAGCTTCATTCTGTACTTCCTAAGGATGTCGAACATCTCAGCGAGGTGCGCTATGTGATCTGAAGCGACATGCGACTTAACTAGCATGTCATCAACATAGACTTCCATCGACTTCCCGATCTGCTCAAAAAACATTCGGTTAATTAGCCGCTGGTAAGTTGCTCCAGTGTTTTTTAGGCCGAAGGGCATAACCCTATAATAATACAGCCCCCGATCGATAATAAAGGAGGTATGTTATTCGTCCAGCACATACATCAGAATTTGACTGTATCCCGAGTATGCGTCCATAAAACTCAGCAGCTCGTACCCGGAGGTGGCATCAATGAGCGGGTCGATCTTAAATAGGGAAAAACTGTCTTTTGGGCAGGCTTTGTTGAGGTCAGTGAAGTCAACAAACGTCCGCCACTTGCTGTTGGGCTTCTTCACTAGAACTAGGTTAGCAACCCAGCTCGGGTAGAGCACTTCCTGGATGGACCCATTCTGAAGGAGATTATCTACCTTGATTTTCAGGGCAGCATATCACTCTGGATCCATCGCTCTTCTTTTCTGGTGGATCGGCTTGGCTTCACTATCGATGTTCAAGGCATGGCAAATAATGTTCGGGCTGATCCCAACCATATCGGCATGCGTCCATGCAAACACATCAATATTTTCTCTGAGGAAGCTGGTCAGATCAGTAGTGAGCTGGGGGTCGAGATTGCTTCCAATCCTCAACACTTGGCTGGGCTCATTCTGGTCATCTGACACTTCATATAAATCCTTAACTGGCCCACTGGAAGGGTATTCCTGGATATGAGGATCCATATTATCTTCCGCTGGGCCAGGTTGTGGTTCGATCTGACTGATCATCATTGCCTGTTTGGGGATGCCACAGGGGATGCCTTTCCCCTTGCACGCCATCTGCACTACCCTTACATAGCAGTCGCAAGATGCACGCTGAGATCTGCTATCCTTGTCGGGGTGGGAAACTTCATCTTGAGATGGTAGATCGAAGTGACTGCCTTGAAGCTTCTTAGTAAAGGTCACCCTAGGATGCCATTGAAAGCGGAGGGGCAGTCCACTACCAAGAATTCAGTGACCCTGGTCACCTCATCAAAGTCACCCAGCGTGACTGGAAGCAAGATCACTCCCTTGGGGATCAGGTGATCCCTTGTAAAACCATATAGGGGGATGGAAGTGGGCTTCAGGTCGGCCTCATCCAATTTCATTCTTTCGAAAGCTCGCTAGAACAGGATGTTCACAGCGCTTTCATTATCCACCAACATTCTGTGGACATCACAGCGCCCTATTTGGGGCGTGATGACGAGAGCATCATCATGGGGATGATGCAATCAGACTGCATCTTTTTTGGAGAAGGTGATTTCCTCCTCTCTGCGAACCTTTGATGGTCGTTGCGTCGTGTTCATCACACAGACAGGGTCGTGATGGGCTACGCAAGCATATCTTTCTTGGGCACCTCACGAGTTTCCCCTGAGGTGTGGTTCCCAAAAGATTATCCCCACGCTACAGATACCCTTGCAATCACGATGCTTCTTACCCGGTTCCTCTCGATTTTTCTCCCTTACGGGAGCAGAGTCATCAACATACTCTTTGAAAGGCCCCTGCTTGATAAGGTCTTCAATTGCCTGCTTGAGAGCTCGGCACTCATCTGTGTGATGCCCATTGTCCTAATGATAACGACAATACTTTTTACCGTTTCTAGCTGAAGGGGGATTTTTCATTGGCTTAGGTTCTCTGAGTAGGCCGGCCTCTTCTGACTTGTCAAGAATGGCTGAGACAAATGCATTCAAAGGGGTATATTGATTCCTGTCGCGATCGCGATGAGGAACCGGAGCATAAAACTTCTTGGGCTCAAACCGCTGTTTCTTTCCTTTTCGCTGATCATCGTTAGCCCATCGGCGATCAGCCCTCCTATTTTCCTCCCAACCTGGCGTATTGCCCAAAGGACCGGGGTCGTAGCGGTGAAGCACCGCCACAGAGTTCTCAATACGGAGGTATTTCTCTATAAGGCTGTAAAAGCGGGTGAGGGAAACATCGTCTTCTGACTGCAGCTCTTTCCACAGATCTGTTTGTGGACGAACTCCCGCTATGATGAGAGTCTGAACGGACTTCTCGGGAGTATGAGCTACTTTATGGAGTTCCATATGGAACATATTGATGTAAGATTGGAGGGATTCATCCCTCTCTTGCCTTATGTTGCTGAAGTAGCTCAAAGGCATTGAGAACTTCCTGTTCGCTTAGAAGTGTCTCAGGAATGTCGAGCTCATCTGACTCCAAGAGCTGATCGATCCCGCCGGGAGCGACCTGAACCATCACTTGGCATGCAAAGTTAGAGTTACTGCCAAGCAATGACATTTTGCCAAGTTAGAAACTTTGTGAAGTTTCATCAGGTCGTTAAATTCGTACAAATGATCTGCGGATCAGAATTCCCATCGAACACCCACATATCGGGCATTCTGAATCTGGATCGGAGAGGAGTGGCTAACACAGCCGGAGAAAAGGGAGACGCCTCTGCGATCTGCCCTTGCTCATTTTGCTGAGCCTTTTAGCTGATCCAGAGCTCATTGTAGCTCCTCAATCTGAGGCAGCGGAGCCATCTGGGGATTGCTTTCCCCAATGCGGGTTCGACCTTTGCGATTGCGGTTGAGGAAAGTTCGAATGTCGGATTCCTCCTCGCCTTGGCCGACAGTTCTGGACGCTCTTGACACACGCTGGCTAGAGTCATGCGATGGCGTTGACTGGTCCAGGGAACCTTCTCGACCTCCGCAGTGGTGCGAATCGACCCACGAACAGTGGGAACTTCCTGCGCGACAACGATCGGAGTCGTCATTGTGGCGATAATGGGAATCTCCCCGCCTTGCACTTTTGTGGGAGTGCTCGCATGATGTGGCACAGAACAACTCGGGCTGCAACCTGTCACCAAGTCTGCACACCACGGGTATTCTACCCGGGGTGCGATCGGTGTTCGCTAGTCCCTCAGAGCCTCTAGGCCCATTGTTCGCCACTTGCTTTCCCTTCCTTTGACGCACTGCATGTGACTTGCAAGCGTTGTTAGTGGTGGCATCGCCTCATTTGATTCGGGTGGTGCGACCCAATCCAAGCGGTCCAGCCTTTATTGATCGTTTGGAGAGTATTGTTGAACCTCTCCAGGTAGCTCATGACGGCTGGATCAAGCTGTGAGCTTGAAAGGATATCCCCCATGAGATTTTGCAGGACTGGGGGCACTTCGGATGAAATGTCCTCTTGTACTTGGGGGATCTCTTCCTTACCATGATTAGGTCGCTCAGATTCGAATCGGCGAGCCATTTGTTGTTGGACTGATTAGTTAGAGATTCTCCTGATGAAGGACGAATACTAAATCAGGTCCTCCTTCCAACTTCAAACTGTTGATGCTGGATTTTGACACCAACTAAACACACGTGAGAAATGCTGAGCTGACTTAGAAGACACACGTGTACGGGGGTAGTGAACTGAATAGAAGAAGAAGAACGGTGTTTAAAGTGGTTCAGATGCTTAAGAAAGCGAATCCTACGTCCACTGGTATCGTATTAATATATTTGTGATCAGGTCGCGTTTAGCGAGCTAACTTATAAGAGGCTACAAGAGAGAGAGAGAGAGAGAGTATATGCTATTCCAGAGAGAAATTAGCTAATCCCACAAACGGGAGAGGAACTCTCTATTTATAGTGGGATGAATTGAGATAATTATTACTAAATCAAGGAGTATGTCATGCAAATCTTTCCTTGCGTCTCGTTGCTCACTTGCTCGAGTGATTTACTCGACTCTTGCAGGGATTGGACACGTGGATCGCCTCCAGCCTTTCACCAGCTTAGCGCACACCTACTGCACTGGCAGGAGTATGCCGCTTACGTCAACGTGTGACGTGGCTACGTCTGAATAGCTGCAAGACTTACCTAAGCTCTGACCGTTTACGTTGACGAGGCTCTATGTCAGCCATATTTTTCTAGGCATAACAATTAGAAAAATAAATTCGTATTATATTATTATATCTTTTTTTTTTTTATATATAATGAACATCCTTAATGTTAATATATATGTATATATATAATTTTTTTATAAATATTATTATATCTTCTTTCAGTTTTCATTGTTATTTTTTTAGAAAAAAAACATAGGTTTTTTTTTTTATATAAATATTAGTATATGGACATTTATGTCTTTTATCTTTTTTTCGTTAAACTTAACGTTGATTAACAGAGTTTTATCTCTTTTAAAAATTGTATCCTTTTTCTTGCAAATACAGAAAACATTGATAATATCCCTAAAATTTATTATTAGAGTAAACTTTTCCCAATAGTACTGCTTTCAGGTCTGGCTATGACTTCATATAGCAAGCTGTTTCTTAACCCTTGTTTCAGATGGAAAAAACTTTATTAAGGCAAACTTTGTCTACAAATTTGTGGCACACTTGACTTTAATGATTTTCAATAATAGTACATAAATATACATACAAATATTTCCTAGAAACCTAGAGTAAGTTCTTTACAAATGTACTAACTTGTTGAGACAGCTAATACAAGAGTTAATAAAGAATTAAAACATGCCATATCCTGGCTAATGTATCACGCCTACGTCAATTTCCAATTAGTTTCGTGCATTCCTGGAAAACGAATCAGAATTTACTCAGCAATTCTCATGTTATGCTAATTGTAAATATAGCCAACTCTCTTTCTCCCCATATGAAGAGTATTCAAGAAACGAAAGCACATCCAGTAAATTAAACTATTTCATAGAAATTAATTGCACAAACTAAAAAAGTATTACCTTGCAGAGAGCAAATGAGGGCTAGTTACAGCTGCCTTGGGAGCACTAGTGCGCCTTGTTCGCTGATCATGCTCCTTGCCAACCCGCATGGCAGCAACTTCCTTCTCCATGGCAGCTACTTCCCTTCTCATTTTTTTGGACTCAACTTCCATTGCTTTGTTCAATGTGTCAACCTTTTTTGCCAAGATCTGCTCAAGTTTGCAATGAAATCAAAAAAATTAATTACGAGAAAAACGAATGAGATGGTAGAGGCTGCAACTGTATCTAACCTCAATCGCATCATCCTTGTCCTTCAAGCTTTGATCTTTTTCATGGCAAGCTTTCCTCAGAGTTATTACCTCTTTCTGTAACAGATCATACAACACACCTGAAACATGATCTTCAAGCTGTGTTTTTGATTTTTCAGTTAGAATCCCATCCATACTCTCGTCATGTGTAATAGTTATCTCAGTACTTGAGGTCTGATCATTAGTGATGGTGGGAAAATTATCTTTTGCAGTTGCAACTGGAATCAGATTACCTCTATCCAATGATCTACTACCACCATCAAATGATCTTGATGACATCTTGGCATTCCTCACTAAGGCAATTGCACTATTTGATCGGAGGGACCCAGTTTGTAAATTCACTGCTTTTTTTGATAGATAGCCATTCGAAGATCTGGAAAAACTTTCAGCTCCACCGAAAGACTGACATCGTGAAAGCCCGTTGTTTATACATCTTCCTTCAGAGGCAGTGCGAGAGTTCACATTAGATGCTTTAAGCCTTTCCTCTAAAACCTTGAATCGTAAGTGGTATTTCTCCTAAGCAATCAATCAATTCAATAAGCTATCAAGGAGAAGTTATTAAACAGGTAATAAAGCAGTAATAACAACAAAACAGGCTAACTTACTTTCAGTTGTGCTTCTGCCTTTGCAGTGCGCTCCGCTACAACCAGTTTATCTCGAAGTTGTTGCAGTTCTCCCTACAAATTTGGTAAATTAAAATTATATCAAGTCCAGAGTGAAACTTTAACATTTTTATTATCTTAATAATTTCTCTTCCTTCCATTTTTTTTTTATTTGAAACAAACTACAAAACATCCAACCAACAGATCCAAAGACATCAAACAGTAATATCAAGCACATGCTTCATAGCAAAACATGCCTGAAAAAATCTTCTCTCCTCAAGCCACTGCTTTACAGGCATAACTTTGTCATTGCCATCCTTCCACTCATTGGCAACTACTGTGGCAACCCTGTTTGCAGAAACCTTAGCACGTGCTACTTCTCGTTCTAGATACTTTTTCTCCTCCTATGCAAGTTTTGGAAGTCAGAAGCAGTTTGGAAAATTCTATGCCATCACAATAACTACAACTAGTAAAATAGAAGCTCAAAAAAATAAGGGTAATTACATTCATCTCTTGCACTTTCCGCTGGTAATCACGCACAGCATTGGCAGCAGCTCCTCCAGCCAAAACAGCTTCTTCAAGTTCACGAACAGATTGGATTAGCTTTTCAACCTCTGCAACCTTTAGTCGATGCATTTTGTCTACAATCTTATTCTCCTCCTGGTTTCATAAACAGAACATATGAAACCAGACGCAGCTCATGAATCTTAGGAAAAATTCTAAAGTAGGATTTTTTTTATATTTATATAAATATAACAAAATTACTACTCATCCTTTTGTCAATTCATATATAATTTCATATTTTTTGGCCACATAAAATATCTAAAGGTACCAAAAAAAAAAAAATGGATGAACAATTTTGACTAGGAGTAGTATTTGAATGTTTTATTAGGAATAGACTTCAAACTTATTTTTTTCTTCCGAACTTGGCCACTATATATGAAGTCTAATTTTGCTGGGTTTCCCAACTTTGATTAATTAGTGATACAATGTGAACTGAGTTTTTCTCTCTGTTCTTTTCCTTGTACCTATGACTTTAAGCTAGCACTTTGTTTAATTAGGGAACCACTCATTGCAGCTTCCCTACAACAAGCTTAATTTGAATGATGACAAACCTGGCATATTTCAATCTGTTTCATCAGCTCTTGNAACATATGAAACCAGACGCAGCTCATGAATCTTAGGAAAAATTCTAAAGTAGGATTTTTTTTATATTTATATAAATATAACAAAATTACTACTCATCCTTTTGTCAATTCATATATAATTTCATATTTTTTGGCCACATAAAATATCTAAAGGTACCAAAAAAAAAAAAAATGGATGAACAATTTTGACTAGGAGTAGTATTTGAATGTTTTATTAGGAATAGACTTCAAACTTATTTTTTTCTTCCGAACTTGGCCACTATATATGAAGTCTAATTTTGCTGGGTTTCCCAACTTTGATTAATTAATGATACAATGTGAACTGAGTTTTTCTCTCTGTTCTTTTCCTTGTACCTATGACTTTAAGCTAGCACTTTGTTTAATTAGGGAACCACTCATTGCAGCTTCCCTACAACAAGCTTAATTTGAATGATGACAAACCTGGCATATTTCAATCTGTTTCATCAGCTCTTGATTTTTGTTTTGTAGATCATCAACAAAAGAAGCTTTTGCCAAAGCCATCTGGACAGTTCTCTCAGTCTCGAGTAGTGCAGCTTCTTTAGATTTAGTGAGCCGATCCAGTGCCCTATTGTCCTCCTGCAACTTTGCTGCCTAACAAACCAAAACATCATGCTTAAGAAGAGAAATTTCACTCATTACTCTTCATCATGGTCATGAAACAAGTCTCTATGATAACATTCTTTAATATTTTCACTTTAAAAAAAGTTAATGCCACAGGTAACAATGTACAAGAAAAACTACAACATAATTGCCACATATTGTGTTACAAAATTATCCAGAGAATACTTCTTAAATACTTCTTATTATACCTCCAGCCTGGCAAGCTTAAGCTCTGCCTCCAGTGGAGTGATGATTGCCTCAATTGGAGGCATCTCATCATCTTTCTGGGCAGCATGGACTCTGCGTAGTGTGGCTTCTGCAGCAAACTGTGCAGCCAATGCTGCTTTCTTCTCATCATTTATCTTCTTTATCTCAAGATTCTGCAGACATACATCATTCATTATAATGTGTAGAAAAGGACTTCTGAAATTTGATAACAGAAAAGAACAACTCTAAGCAGGCTATAGCTACAACTTAAGAAATACCTTGCTTTCCAAAAGTGCTTCAGTCACTTTAAGCTTCTCATCCACTTTGTTTAACTTGTCTGTTAGCTGGTTATATAAATCAAAAGAAAAACAGTTAGCAAACTTACTATATGGTAGGAATTCCCTTTTTATATTTCAATATCAATATTCATCATGCATCAGTAGTCAATTCACATTTCCTCATTCTTGAAATGAAACGCTATTTGCTATTGGCATTGCACATTTGTGAAATGCCAATTGAGAGCTTATATGAAAATTATCTAAAATAACAAATCACTTCGAAGACCTAGCACTGTTAAATCATTTTGTTTATCAAGACAAAGTTGGTAATGAGACAATGAGTTAATAAATCTCAAAGTTTTCATTGGCATTTTAAGAAGTTATAGGCATAACTTTAAGATATCAAGAGTTCAAAAAGAGATGATTATTTAAAAAAAAATGAAAATAACACGTAACTCTACAATTGCAATGACTGAGTATATTGTGACCAAGGCTAAGGATATTAAAATACAACTATTCAGTAAATTTAAATCTTTTCTTATTTGATAGAGCAAGATTCTATTAGATGGATAAAATGAAATACCTAATAGCACTTCATTATGCAATAATGCTCACAGAAAAACTTAAAACCCAGAAATGATAGCTAATAAGAAGTTGTGAAACGGAAATGAGATGTATTGCAATCTCCAGATAGACTGAAGTGCAATGATAATTTAGAATCAAGTAGGGACTCATCTAGTATGACTGGATTAATTGGCAAGGTACGGGCTGTAGAGTCCCTCTGTGCCTAGAAGATCTCAATTGGGAGAAAAAACTGGTACCAGGAAATGAACAGGATCTCGAATAGGAAGGAACACAAGCTTGGAACTGATGCAACATTGCAGCTAAACAACTTGTGAGATAGTTGTATAAGCAGTAGGGTGGCTGCTTTTCATTGTACGAGACTCCCATTTTTAACCAATAAGATATGAATACCAACATGAATACCATATTTCAACATGAGCAGCAACTGAAAAGTATATCAATGACTACAACGTCACGCAAGTGTATTTTTTTTTTTTAATTTTTTTTTTTTTTTTTGAAAAAAGAAAAAAAGAACCACAAAAAGTAAAACAATCATCAAGCTTGTAAGCATGTCAAAGATTCACAATGAAATTACCAGTACAGATATTATACAAGTGTAGGTTGTCATATAATCAAGAAATTTTGACACTTGAAACGGAATTTAACAATTCAAGTATAACAAAAGGATAATTCTGGTGTCCTAAAGAAGCATTTCGTTCTTACAAATTGTTCTAGAAAGATAGGACATCTAAATAATTAATAACCTATCATGTACATAGATCCACTGAAAAAACAGGGACATAAAAGTTTGGGAAGCCATAAACTTCCATCAATGATATTAGAACAATGAAGGAGTACAACATCATTTAATTCAAGGAACCAAATGCTATCTGTTCAAGAGATAAAATCTTCTCTACCAATTGCAATTATTTTTGTAATACAGAAAATACCTCTTCCACAGCTTTGTGTTTGAGGCGTTCTGAATTCTTTAAGGATTTGATTTCCGCAAGAGATTCTCCTAATTCTCTATCTTTATCTGCACATGCAAATGAAAATGCACACGGATTTCACTTTCAATCATAATCAATCAGATTATTAGTAATACAAAACAATATTGAAATTGAACCTCGGAGTTCATTTTCAAGACGGTTGAGTTCAAGGCGGACGGGATCGGAGCCGTGGAGGAGATTAATTACATCATCATTAGGCTTAGGCCTTCGAGCTTTAAACGAAGCAGAGGAGCTCAAACTGCTTGGCTTTACAGACACCTCCACCTCTACTTCGCCGTTGTAGTGAGCCATTAGAGATTAATCCTCTGAATCTCTTTTTAATTATCACTTTCACACTCCGGTTATTGTTAAGTTTGGTGTTCAGTTGTTTTAGTTTCGACTCTGTTTGTATTTATATGGGAGACGATTAAATATGGCATTTAGGCGCGGATTTATATGTCAAACAACATTAATTTATTTGTTTAAAAAATTAAAAAATAAAAACAGTTTAGTCCGTAGATAGAGACTTTTTCTTTTTGAAATATTCTTGTGGAGACGATTCAATAACACTCCATTTCTGTGTTTATTTATTGGCCGATTACATTTTGACCCCCGTGGTTTCAAAAAACACCAATATAACCCTTATTTTCTTAATTTATGCACTAAAACTTAATTGTAAAGAGACAATTTTTCCATGGATTGGTGTAAAAATGTCATTCAACATTCTAAATTTCTTTAAAAAAAAATTATGTTAAAATCCATAAATAGATTAGGTGATATATGGCTAATAATAATGGGGTTTTGTCTCATTTGTCTTATTGGAATCTCACTCTATAAATCCATTAGAGTAAATGACATGTTCCTACCCAAAGTTTCGCGACACGCCAAGTTCCCACTGGTTTCATTAATTCCAGATTCCCACCCTTTAAATTAATAGAAAAATGTTTAATGAAACAGTTAAAGGGTAAAAAAGGTAATTTGATTTCATTGAATCTGAATTGAAAAAAAAATAACCCTATCTCAAATTTGTATACACCTCTCCGCCTCCACCTCTACCACCGTTGGCTTGTCAGAAGTGTGACAACCCTCACCGCCAGAAACAACCTTGACCCATTTCCGGCGCCTCACTTCCTAGAACTTGCCGCCTGAAGGTCGATCTGCGCACCTGCAAGTTGCGCACTGCGACTGTCGCTGCCTGGAATGCGCGACTACACTCCCTCATCCACTGGACATCAACATCGCACCAGTGCCGCGCCGGCTAGGCCAGATCGTGGTCTAGGCAGAGATCTGCTCCACCTCACCCTCACTTACGCACAAGCCCTTCCTCTCCATCGCGCCGCAAGTTGCTTCCTCGCTTACAACTCTTTGTCGGAGAAGAGGAGTGATGAGAGTGAAACTAACGGGGTACTTGCAAACGTTCTCGGAGTTCTAATACAAATCCATGGATTATTCTTTAAAGATCCAACAGACCTTGGTTGTCAAGATGTTAGAACATTGTTAAGAGAAATTCGTAGAGCGACTCTGTTGGGGTGTACTTTTTTTTTTGACGGATGTTGGGAATGATGCAGCTGTAGTTTGGAGCAGAGCGGAGGAGATGGGAGCTACATGCAAAACCATAATTGACTCTTTGGTTACACGTTTGGTAACATCAAACAAAACGATGGAGGATTTTCAATGGGCAGAACAAGACCGCAGATATTTGGTCCCCCTTTCCATTATTCCCCATTTTTCTTTTCTCTCTTATTTTTTAAAAATAATTGATGGTGTGGATTTGGGTTTATTTGCATCTGTTGTGTTGGGTTGATTTACTTCATGGTGGGTGTTGTTCTGGAGAGGTGGGTGGGGGCCGGCTGTGATGGTGGTGGTTGAGAATGGGATGGGTTTGGAATGGGCTGTGGTGGTTTGGACGGTGGTTTGAAAAGTTATTATTTTGATCATCTTGAAGAAGAGGGTCTTGTTGAAATAAATTTAAAAGTGGGATGGTTATTTTTAATTATATTAATTTAAGGTTAAAAAACAATTTATTTGTCAAAGGCAATATGGTAAAAACATCCGTCAGAACTTAAAAATTCTTGGCGGTGTTGGTTTAAGGGTGGGAATTGAAATTTATGAACCTAGGGGTGGAATAATTATTTCGCCATACCTTATCCATTAATTGGTTCTTCACGACTTGAGCTTAATGATGAGGACCCATGCCATGTTACGGTTAGAGTTAGACCAGCTATGCTGGACCCCATGTTGCAAATTTCTTTAAATCCCTACCGTTGATAATCAATCTAAATGAAATGCATCCATTAAATTTAGAACCATCTGATTTGCCAGGTCAGTAAGAGGAACATGGGGAAGCGAAATAAAAAAGCAAACAAGGGACAAAAGCACATGCGATGCGTGTGGACTTAAATGACACAGCAGTGTGCTTTAGTGGTAGCTCACATATCATCTCACTTGTACTTCAACCAAAATATCTCTTTTCTCGACACGTGGAATACTTTGTACGGTACATGTCGGTTCTGCCGGGTCCAAGTTGCAATTGGATTTACTGGATATGGACCCGGCCCAAAGTGGCCATTGTGTTAAAAGATGGAATAACTTTTTATTATAGTTTTTGGCACCTACTGGCTGGCTACTACTGAATTAAAACACTTTATTTTGAAGTTTTAAAATTAAAAATCTTTTATTTATATTTTAAAAGAGTTAACATTTCATTCTCTTCACTTTCCCCACCAACGCTATTTCTAGATAAATTTTTTGATAATTAAATTGAAAGTTCTAGAAAAAAATTAAAGGTAAAAATAATCCTTACAAATAATCCCAAGAGCATAATACTTCTAAACTATACAAAAAAAAAAAAAAAAAGATATAAATAAAGGTAGCTACCAATACTTTGAAGAAAAAAATAATAATAAATTTAAATGTAAAACAATTAAAAACTTAAAACTTTATATTGCTTGTAACCTGATATATCCTATTGCAAATTTTTTTCCTCCATTAAACTATCTTTTTGTTCTAAGAATGATTTGAATAGTATTAAAAAAAATATAGGTTTTTGAGATAATAGCATGGTGTCAAAAGTATTTATAAAGAATAGGAAATTATAATTAATTTTAATAATTTAATGTAGGGATAGATTTGTTATTACAATAAAATTTCTCTATAGTAATACTCTATATAGGAATAAACTCTACATAGTCATAAAAAATTTATAGTTCCGATTTAAGATAGTTAGGAATAAGAATAAACAACACATTGTAATAAGTTATTATTTTTCTAATTCCCACCTTAAAGAAGGTTGTCTCCACACAGTAATAATTATCTGAATATTACAAAAAAAATTATGTTATATTATATTTAAAGGTTTAAGATAAAATAAAATATTTATCTAAAATTGTTTGCGACAATGATTTATGTTTTAGAGTTGTTAATTACCATATCTTTTAACTTGCGAATATATAATAACTCACTAACATGGATAACTTCTTGTTGAAGTCAAAATATTCTCAAACATGTTTAAAGCTTCATAGCACGAAACTTTTTTATATTTTCGTACTATCATCCTCGAGATTATTTCCTTTCTCTTCTTATTTAATTGCAGCAATGATTTCTTTTGGATGATCGAGGAAGACATTAATATCTATTCGATTAGGGTAGTGAAGTTATCGAATCTGATCACTCAATTTTGCAATGACTCTTTTATTGTACTCATCCACTTCATTTGTAACTTATAATTCATCGCCATCAAAGGTCCTAATTTTATAATGCTTAAAACAATTGACAATTATTTGTGGCTTTACATCAATTGACCATGCATCCACTGCATTTACAGTTCGATCAAGAGCAATTTTTGCTGGTTTGAAGACACGATCTTCTATCTATTTCAAAAATAGGCAATTGAAGTGCTGAATTGAAATCCTAATACTACTAAAGCTTGTCAACAAACAACTTCCTTATATTATATGTAGCTAGTTGCAAATGCACAAGAATAACCAACTCAGCAATCTATCGAAAAATTCAATGGTATATGCTAGACAATTTAGGGGTGTTCAAAAAAATACAAAAACCGAACCGAACCGAAAAACCGGTTAACCAAAAAAACGGTTCAGTTACGGTTTGAAAAATTTTAAAAACCAAATTTCCGGTTCGAAAAAAAATAAAAAGCGGTTAACTGAAATCGGTTTTTTGAACCGGTTATATATATATATATATATATAGAGTAAATAAAAAATAATAATATTTTTAATGTATTGTTAATAATGGTCAATGGATATGTATGAATGTTTAATTTTTATTTAGATATGTATTATTTATATTTACAATTTAATTTAGAAAAAAAAAAACTCTAAAACTTAATTGTAAAGAGACAATTTTTCCATGGATTGGTGTAAAAATGTCATTCAACATTCTAAATTTCTTAAAAAAAAAAATTATGTTAAAATCCATAAATAGATTAGGTGATATATGGTTAATAATAATGGGGTTTTGTCTCTTTGTCTTATTAGAATCTCACTCTATAAATCCATTAGAGTAAACGACATGTTCCCACCCAAAGTTTCACAAAATTACAAGTTCTCACCCTTAGTTTTATTAATTCCAGATTTCCCACCCTTCAAATTAATAGAAAAATGTTTAATGAAACAGTTAAAGGGTAAAAGGGTAATTTGATTTACATTGAATCTGAATTGAAAGGAAAATTTCAAAATAACCCTATCTCAAATTTATCTACACCTCTCCGCCTCCACCTCTACCACCGTTGGCTTGTTAGGAGTGTGACAACCCTCACCGCCAGAAACAACCTTCACCCATTTCCGATGCCTCACTTCCTAGAACTTGTCGCCTGAAGGCCGATCTGCGCACCAGCAAGTCGCGCACTGCGATTGTCGCTGCCTGGAACGCGCGACTACACACTCCCTCGTCCACTGGACATCAACATCGCACCAGTGCCGCGCCGACCTTAGGACAGATCGTGGTATAGGCCGAGATCTGCTCCGCCTCACCCTCACTTACGCACAAGCCCTTCCTCTCCATCGCGTCGCAAGTTGCTTCCTCGATTACTCGAAGAAGAGGAGTGATGAGAGTGAAACTAACGGGGTACTTGCAAACGTTCTTAGAGTTCTAATACAAATCCATGGATTATTCTTTAAAGATCCAACAGACCTTGGTTGTCAAGATGTTAGAACATTGTTAAGAGATTTTCGTAGAGCGACTCTAGTGGGGTGTACTTTATTCTTTAAGGATGTTGGGGATGATGCAGCTGTAATTTGGAGCAGAGCGGAGGAGATGGGAGCTACATGTAAAACCATAATTGACTCTTTGGTTACACATTTGGTAACATCAAACAAAACAATGGAGGATTTTCAATGGGCAGAACAAGACAGCAGATATTTGGTCCCCCTTTCCATTATTCCCCATTTTTCTTTTCTCTCTTAGTTATTAAAAATAATTGATGGTGTGGATTTGGGTTTATTTGCGTGTTTTGTTGGGTTGATTTACTTCATGGTGGGTGTTGTTTCGGAGAGGTGGGTAGGGGCCGACTGTGATGGTGGTGGTTGAGAATGGGATGGGTTTGGAATGGGCTATGGTGGTTTGGACGGTGGTTTGAAAAGTTTTTATTTTGATCATCTTGAAGAAAAAGGTGAAGGTTGAAGGAGAGAGTCTTATTGAAATAAATTTAAAAGTGGGATGGTTATTCATCATTAATTTATTTTTCAAGGGCAATATAATAATTGCACCCGTCAGAACTTAAAAATCGTTAACGGTGTTGGTTTAAGGGTGGGAATTGGAATTTATGAATGTAGGCGTGGATTTATAATATCGCCATACCTTGGGTGGGAACATGTTGTTTACTCAATCCATTAATTGATTCTTCACGACTTGAGCTTAATGAATGAGGACCCATGCCATGTTACGGTTAGAGTTAGACCAGCTATGCTGGACCCCATGTTGCAAATTTCTTTAAATCCCTACCGTTGATAATCAATCTAAATGAAATGCATCCATTAAATTTACAACCATCTGATTTGCCAGGTCAGTAGGAGGAACATGGGGAAGCGAAATAAAAAAGCGAACAAGGGACAAGAGCACATGCGATGCGTGTGGACTTAAATGACATCTTTATCTTCAGACACGCGCTTCGACATCACACTAGTGTGCTTTAGTGGTAGCTGACATATCATCTCACTTGTACTTCAACCAAAATATCTCTTTTCTCGACACGTGGAATACTGTGTACGGTACATTCTGTTCTGCCGGGTCCAAGTTACAATTGGATTTACTGGATATGGACCCGGCCCAAAGTGGCCATTACGTTAAAAGATGGAATAACTTTTTATTATAGTTTTTGGCACCTACTGGCTACTGAATTAAAACACTTTATTTTAAAGTTTTAAAATTAAAATTTTGTTATGACACCCTATAAAATTTATAAATGCTTTTCATTTCATTTTTTTTTTTTTTTAAAAGAGTTAACATTTCATTCTCTTCACTTTCCCCACCAACGTTATTTCTAAATAAATTTTTTGATAATTAAATTGAAAGTTCTAGAAAAAAATTAAAGGTAAAATTAATCCTTAAAAATAATCCCAAGAGCATAATACTTCTAAACTATACAAAAAATGATATAAATAAAGGTAGCTACCAATATTTTGAAGAAAAAAATAATAATAAATTTAAATGTAAAACCATTAAAAACTTAAAACTTTATATTGCTTGTAACATGATATATCCTATTGCAAATTTTCTTCCTCCATTAAACTATCTTTTTGTTCTAAGAATGATTTGAATAGTATTAAAAAAAAAAAAATAGGTTTTTGAGATAATAGCATGGTGTCAAAAGTATTTATAAAGAATAGGAAATTATAATTAATTTTAATAATTTAATATGGGGATGGATTTGTTATTACAATAAAATTTCTCTATAGTGATACCCTATATAGAAATAAACTCTACATAGTCATAAAAAAATTCTAGTTCCAATTTAGGATAGTTATGAATAAGAATAAACTTCACATTGTAATAAGTTATAATTTTTCTGATTCCCACCTTAAAGAAGATTGTCTCTACACAATAATAATTATTTGGATATTACAAAAACAAAAAAAATGTTATATTACATTTGAAGGTTTAAGATAAAATAAAATATTTATCTAAAGCTGTTTGAAACAATGATTTATGTTTTAGAGTTGTTAATTACCATATTTTTTTAACTTGCGAATATATAATAACTCACTAGCATGGATAACTTCTTGTTGAAGTCAAAATATTTTCAACTTCTCAAACATGTTTAAAGCTTTATGGCACGAAACTTTTTATATTTTCACACTATCATTCTCGGGATTATTTCCTTTATCTTCTTATCTAATTGCAGCAATGATTTCTTTTAGATGATCGAGGAAGACATCAATATCCATTCGATTAGTTTAATGAAGTTATCGAATCTGATAACTCAATTCGACAATGACTAATTCTCCTCATCCACTTTATTTGTACCTTACAATTTATCGACATCAGAGGTCCTAATTTTACAGTGTTTAAAACAATTGACAATTATATGTGGCTTTACATCAATTGACCATGCATTTACTATATTTACAGTTCCATCAAAAACAATTTTTGCTGGTTTCAAGACATGATCTTCTATCTATTTCAAAAATAGACAATTGAAGCATTGAATTAAAATCCTAATACTAGTAGAGCTTGTCAACAAACAACTTCCTTATCCGTAGCTAGTTGCAAATGCAAAAGAATAACCAACCGAGCAATCTGTCAAAAAATTCAATGGTATATGCTAGACATCATGTTTTTAAAGCAGATATGCACTTTCTACCTCTAAGCGATTAGGATATGATGGGCCCATCATATGAGATATTAAAAATCTGATAATGGAGTTCACAACCGTGTTGGCTAGGTGCTGACACATGTGCACAATTAGGAGACCCGTCCACATGGTATTGGTGTTTAATAGTCACTTACATATGTATTGCCAATCCTTTCATCAATCATAAGTTGAGACAGTTCAATGTAGGGAATATGGTTTATCTACGTTTTATAACCCTTTCATCAATCATAAGTTGCTTGGCGTACCAGTAAAGAATTGGCTCCGATCTAAAGAACAAATTGGGAAGGTGGCTTACAAATTACTGGCAAGAGTGACTTTCCCTCCAATTTTTCATGTATCATAGGATACAAAATAACTCCATTGGTACAGATTCCTCTAATTGATGAAGATGATCCACTTTGTATTCAACCTATTGTTCATGGGATGGTCCAGTCATTCACTAATTCCAAAGGCACTCCGAAGTATAATTTTACTTGTAAAGTCCAAGGAAGGCAAATCAGTTTGGGCAACAGAATTATTTTCCTTCACAAATCTTTCAATTGGATAGTCCTACCAAAACTTTATATTCTAATATAAACTGACAATCAAAATCCAAAGGCACTGGCTGAAATAAGAATATGCTCCAACTTCTCCTTGAGGAATAAGAGATACAGGCATGAATGGCATTAATTCCCTATGAAATTCAAATGCACAAGGATGCACCCTTAATTAACTAAGCATCCTCATTTCAATAAAAGTAAATTTTTGTTTGTTATCGCAATCTCTAGAAACTTTGTATTGGTTTCAGAATTAGTACTTGTCAGTCCTGCTTCAACGCCTTCCTGATGAATGATCTTGTAAGAACTACTGCAAGGTAAGCCAAGATTGTGATGGTAATACCTCCAAGTAAAACAAGGCGGTCATAAGAAGCATTTTGTACACTGTAGACCCTGAGCACAATTACATCCCAATTGCTCTCTGTCCAAACGGGATCCACCAACCCCATGGGATCTGATGAGTTTGATGGCAGTACATTCCAAGTTCCAGATTCGAATTTCAAACGGGTCGAATATGCTGGAACATACCTGTAAAATCAACATGACATTAAAGTTGGGAGACATGACTGGAAGTCAGTGTCCATATAATTACAAATACCCCTAGAACTACTTTGCAAAAAACCTAACTAATTCAAAAGTGAAATAATATAAATTTCCACTTGAATCAAAAGCATGTACGAGCGCATATAAATGAAGTAAACATTCGACAAGATTTAACTGCTTTTACGCCACAGAAGAGGTTTCCATCAAACAATAGATTATTCATGTATAGATGATAAAAAAATTTACTAATAATTCCCAAAATCAAGACACTTCTCTATGTATTAATGGTCTCGACAATAGATAGCAACAGTGCAGCACGTATAACACTGCCAGACTAATCAGCACTTCTCAGCTAACGAAGGCTGCAGACATCTACTAATGATTGTCAAAAATAAATGTTAAACAAATTAGATGTGTAGAGGCCAAAGACATTATCAACTTAGATTATACAACATAGTCATCTAATAACTATTAAGCAAAACTGTAAAATAAATTAGGTATAGTAAAACAAACTAGGTGTGTAGACGGCAGAGACTATCAACTTAAAGATTATACAACATGGTCATCTAAAATAACTGTTAAACAATTGGGTAGATACGTTATCAACTTAGATTATAAAGCATACGATGAGTTCAGAAGAAGGCTTGGTCCAGAGTTTTGTCAGAATATATCTTTTCTTTTCCTGTTTTGAAGTGGTAGCCTGTTAGGTGATGCTACTTCCCGCTTTATAATCCCATCCAACCCATTTCCATTCCATGTGAGATCACATATATGAATCAGGAATAAAGCAACCCACCAAGAGGCCCATGACCTTATAGCAACAAGGTCTCATTACATAGCAATGGTAGCAGAGATGCACTCGACCGGAATTTGGAAATTTGATTCAATCGGACAAGTGGAAAAAAATTGTTCATCCTAACACTACCCAGTATCCATCTCTAATTCAATTTAGTCATGTTACTTGGGGACTGCATTTAAGTACATTTTGCACTTAGAAAAAACTACTTTGTATGGTACCTGGTTGTAGAGATAACACAAACTCCCTTTCCTTCTGTTTCTGCTCTAATGCACACTTCTTTGTTGCTGCAACCTTGTGAACAACTGGAGCTAGCATTCTCCTTTTGAATGGATGTTACATCAGCCATAAAATTCCAAACAAACCTGGAAACATCATCCACATATCCAGGATTGGAGGAAGGCTCACCAAGGACAACACCAACATAATGATTTGGGCATGCATCGTCCGGAGAAATATAGTTCTTCACAAGCTCACAAGACAGACCCGGTTCACAGCTCAATAGACAGCTCATAAGTTCTTCAACAAGAGACACATTTACATTTATGGAACCTAAAACAGCGCTACTTAAATCATTGTTGTCGTTTGCAAGAATGAAAAGAGAGCGGGCAACAAGAGAAGCAGCTGCCACAATGGCAGATGAGTTTACATTTGCTGCATCAAAGATACGAATGGAGTAATGTTAAGAGTTGAGACAGTTGTTTAATGATGAAAATTTATCATGTGAGAAACAAGAGTAGAATGATATAAATAATCTCACATAAATCATCAAGGTGACTATGGTAGAACTTGTTGGAAAAGACCGTATCAAAATCCTCTAATACAACTCCAGAAGCCAAAGAGTGCTGTCAAGAGAGAAACCTAGCGATATGTTAATACTCCTTTCAAGCATATTGTAACTTTGACGCCAGCAACCACTAAGTTTCGTTCCTTTAAAATGTTATTTTACATATAGTTATGAAACTATGCAGATAAGAACCAGCTATGAACTTAGCAGATGAGAACCAGTACTCCAAAAACAAAAGTAAATTGAAAATAGGGAACAGACGAACAGCATTGCAAAATGCTTCAATATCAGTGACCCTTCTTAGGACTGCTACGGCATAAAGAGCTCCAGAATTCTAACTAAAAACAAATTCCATGTAAAAACATCAAAACATCTAGTTTTACCAAAAAAGGAAGTCTCAAAGGACATGGAGATCAATTCAGAGCCCAGATATTAATATTAAGATAGCAGAACTCATATTTGAGGATGCTTCCTCTCATGATTAGATGAGCCAAATCATGATAGATTTTGGGGATATTATAAAAAGGCATATGGTGGTAGAGAAAGCTTGACTAAATCATTGAACACAATTCAGTCGTCTATTTGTTTCTTTAGAGGTAAAAAAGACTATATAGAGGTAAGCATCGATAATATTGGCAGGATCACCCTCACCATATAATCTAAGCCATGTCAAACATTAGCTTAGGCTTCAAAAATTTACTCGTCTAACCAAGCATACACCACAATAATGAACTTATCCTTTTATAATTTAAGAAACAGCAGTTGGTTGAAAACTATACAACTTTCCTAATCCTATTCCAAAAATTCTAGACTTGTTAGTCATGCTTCCAAGATAAATTTCCGAATCTTTAGAATCAATAAATCATAACAGGAAAAGATAACTACATATATACCGACAAAATCAAAGACCACAAGGTCCTTCAGCATAGTGTCACTATTTTATGGTAAACACAGGAAATAATTAGGTGAGAAATGTTCAAGTTCAGATAATATTACAGTCAAGAAAAACCACACAAGCTAGAATATGTCCACATATTTCTAACAAAGAAATCAGAAGACTACAGAAGGTACCAAATTACAAATATACTAAATAATGAACATAAACACAGTAAACCATTCTCAATGAGGCATCTTAAAATCAAATTGATAATATACAAGAAAATAATGGCACTTTTGAATCAACTTATGTCCTTGTTTGGGACATAAACAAAACTATTTATGGTTGAACCAAATACGTATAAGTAATAATAAAAATAAGTGTAAAAGGAGCAAAAGATAATAACTTCAAGTTTTCTGACAAACCTTTCTCAGGAATGCCATCAAGGAAGATGGAGGTAGCCCAGGATTTGAGGCATTAGCTGGCAAGACTGTAATGTTTTCAGATTTTAGTGAATCTTGAGCACGCTGTAAAGCATCCAGTGTTTTATTTGTGGAAGATGATTCCTACATTAATAACAATTGGAACAAGGAAAGAAAGGCCTCATCACTTAGCCACTAAGAGAAAAAAAAAATTTAAATTAAAACAGTAGGCAACCAAGGTCAGTCAATTGTTCATTCGTATAAAATAACACAAATACCATAGCAAATAGCATAAACAGAAGTCATATAAACAATACCTCAATTAGCTCCTACAAATCCTAAGAAAAGTAGCACAATAAATTTTTAGTACTAAACTTGTTGGAGTAGAGAAATTCACCATTCAAGCTACTTCTCTTATTTAATGATAAAATATTTCATAGTTCATGCAAGGAAACTCCAAATTTGTTCTGTTATGATGCAAATTAATATAATCACAACCCTGGCTCAGTCACAAATGGTATATAGGGAAATCCTGCGATCATTGACCAGATTTTCCCTAATTGACAAGAATCTGTTACATGGCAGAAAAATAGAAACTACTGGAAGTATTTTTGTTGCTTGTCCTACAGAGTTGTTTCCATTTATAATAATAATCCATCTTATCAATAGGATATAATTTGATTCAATTTATGTAAAGAATATGATTTAGTTATTTCAGACACTAGCAATCGGTATCCTTCCCCAAAAGTTTTGTAACTATTTTAAATGTCAACTTGGCTATCGAGCTATTGATCCCCTCCTCTTTCAACTGCAAAGGGTTTGAACATCAACGCAAGAAAGCTAATTACAAAGAAAGAAAGAGAGAGAGAGAGAGAGAGAGATTAGACAAGATACTAACAAACCAGTTGCTTGTATCTGTAGATAAACAGTAATTGAATTCACTTTAAAAGAGAAAACAAATATAACGTAAGAAAATAACCAAGCATGGTGCTGGCAACCAGTACTGGAGTTACAGTAGTGGTTTCAAGAAGCAGCTACATGCCTTATCGGACTGAGAACAAAACTCAACATAGTTTAATCAATGAACACAGCCAGAATGACGTTAAGCCCCACTAACTTCCTTAAAAGGACCCCATTCTATAATTATCATACTTACAATGTTTTTCTGAACTAAAAATTACTAAATGGGGAAAACAATTCCAAGGTACCTCCATATAATTTTTATTATTTTAAAAACAAACTATTTGCACCAAGAAACCACAAAACTGCAAGTAAATCAAATAATATCACTTCCTCTGGTCATAATAAAATATATCTATTTCAAAACCATAAAAATTTCAAAACCATAAAAATTGTGGTTTATTTAGTTTGTTAAGATCTCTGTCATTTTCTACCAAGTGTTCTATGAGGTAAAATATGGGTACCTTCAAATGCAGGTATAGAGGTAATAAATGCAGTAAATTCTCGGAAATAAATGAAATGAATCTTAATTCCAAGAGGTAAAATATGGATACCTTATATGCGATACATTGTCATTAAATGTGAAAAAATCTCAGAAACAAATTAAATGAATCTCAATTCCATCAACTAAAGGGTCTCCTACTACCTTTATTTCATGAAAAGGATTAGCTAAATCCATAAAACCATTGTATGAACATTGATCGCACTACCTCAACTCAAATACTTCAAAAGCAATCGGCTGAGTTAAAAATCACCATCAAGGTTAAAAAAGAACCAATAGACAGCATGATTCATCCTAGTAAAACTGAAGCCACCACCTCACAAAACAGTGCCATGTCCGAACTATACAATTTATTGAGCTAGTTAACTCTGTAATCATACCAGGGATTTATTTTTAAAAAAAAGTTTAAAAAACGGGGCAATACCAAAAACTCTATCCCACAATAAATTGCCCTAAAAAATCTTTAAAACTTTCTTATATTTCTTTTTAACTAGTAACAGAAGGCCTACCAATACAATATTCAATTCTATATATCAAGAACTCTACGTTGCTCTCTCGATAATTAATCCCAACAATCACACTTTGAGTCCCAATATAAAGAAAAAAAATAAATATTGAACCCATTGTAATACACTCATCCCTGAAAGAAGAAAATATAATATTATTGATAAATTGAAAATATGACACTGTTAGGATCCCATATTGAAAGGGAAAAGGGTGGGCATGTGGGTTATAAAGGCTTGAGCACCCTCCCTTGGCAAGCCGGTTTTCCAAGGAGAGTTCTACCCAAGTCCATGAAAGACCCATGGCCCAACCCAAATTATTGAGTTATTAGAGTAGGTTCCTATCAATTGGTATCAGAGCATGATCCTGCGCACGCGTGGCAGGCTGACTTTGGGCCCGGGCTGCTACCCAAGGAAAGGGGATCCACGAAGTCACCCAAGGGGTAAAGAGGCCGACATGGAGCCCACGCAGCAGGGCCTAGTGGGTCCCCCGAGGGGTCGAGAAAGAGAGTTGTTGATAGGCTTCTAGGGCCTGACAGGCTTCTAGGCGAAGTAAGACCCAAAGGGAGGGCAGCAAAGGCCGATGAGGGCGGGGTAGCCGATGAGGGCGGGTGCTCTCTGGAAAGAAGACCAACGAGGGCATTGGGTCTCGAAGCGTGGGGGAATGTTAGGATCCCATATTGAAAGGGAAAAGGGTAGGCATGTGGGTTATAAAGGCTTGAGCACCCTCCCTTGGCAAGCCGGTTTTCCAAGGAGAGTTCTACCCAAGTCCATGAAAGACCCATGGCCCAACCCAAATTATTGAGTTATTAGAGTGGGTTCCTATCAGACACCAACACTCAATTCCTCCCAACCAAAATACTCGAAAATATTAACTTCCAAACCTCTGTGTATTAATTTTACATACTGATCACACAGCCGATAGCAAGGAGAAAGCTGGAAAGTATGGAACTTTAAAAGGCATTTTCTTTGGAATTTAATGCATTGTATATTGGTCAACATTTTGTTCTCAATATGTATTGGGTTGCGAGCATAACCAACTACCTCACCTAATTTTGCTTTTTGCTTTGTCACATTTGCCAAGCGGTTTGAGCAAACTACATGATGCGTTTGCGGAAGCTTAGAGTGTGTAAAAAATGCTTCAACCCGACAATAGTAAATGATAACACAGCAAACTCCAATCGGCAGTCCAAACAACAATTCAAATAACACAAGATAACATAAACGATAGAAGCCTAACCATCCACGGCTTAAAGGCTATGCCACTGGCCAATGGAAAATAGACACAACAAACAATAACTTACAAATTAAAGATAACTACCAATGATCTCCAAAGTGTAAAGACTACGCCACCGGCTATGGAACATCACTAACAAGATAGAAGCCAATATCCCATGGCTTAAAGGCAACGCCACCGACCAAGGGTCTCTAAAATGTAAAGGCATGACCACCGGTTTTGGATTCCACCACCAAGTCTTGGCAAGAACTTGGATAAAGGATAAATAATAAAACACTCTCAAAAGCTCTCACATTTTCATTTCCAAAAATTCAACTCTAATCTTCTTTTACAATGAGAAGTTGGCCTTACAAATGGCATCCAAAAATACATAAGAGGTAATACAAGGTAATTGAAATTCAAGATAATAATAAACTATGGGACACTTTTCAATTAGTCACCCTAAATGTCAAACTGCCTACAAACACAAGTAAGAATCTTTAATCTAGAATTTTCCCAAAATGGTAAGGAACATGGAGCTGCCAAGGATGACAACCTTGTCTTTGCCAAATTGGAAATGTCTTGAGCCGCCCATGTCATAATCTTGTCCCTTCCATTAAATGCCTCCATGTGCATATGTTTGACTAGCCTTTGTTCCCTCTATTTTAACTTGAAAATCTTGGCTTCAACTATTCAAATTACACACCAATAAATGGATTGGGCCTATTGGATCAACAATTGAAGGGCTTTGACAAAATGGGCTTAACTTGAGCTCATCTTGCTTCATTCCTCCAAGATTTCAAGTTAAAATGGAGAGAACAAAGGCTAGTCAAACATATGCAGATGGAGGCATTCAATGAAAGGGACAAAATTATGACATGGGCGGCTCAAGACATTCCTGATTTGACAAAGACAAGGTTGTCATCCTTGGCGGCTCTATCTTTCTTACCATTTTGGAAAAATTCTAGGTCAAAGATTCTTACTTATGTTTGTAGGCATTTTGGCTTTTAGGGGACATTTAGGGTGGTTAATTAAAATGTGTCCTTTATTATTATCTTGAATTTGACTTTGTCATTCTCTCTCCTATATGGCATCCAAAGTAATCATATATAAATAGGTCTTCTCCTTCATTGTAATAGAAGTTGAGGTTGAATTTTTTTAAATGAAAATGTGAGAGTTCTTGAGAGAGTTTTATCATTTATCCTTTATCCAAATCCTTGCCAAGATTTGGTGGTGGAATCCATAACCGGTGACCTAGACTTTACGCTTTGGAGATCCTTGGTCGGTGGCATAGCCTTTAAGCCTTGAAGTTATTGGCACTTATCCTTGTTAGTAAAATCCATAGCCGGTGGCGTAGCTTTTACGCTTTGGAGATCATTGCATCTATCTTTAATTTATCTTGTTATTTGTTGAGTTTACGTTATCTTGTGTATGTTGTGTGTGTTCTAAGTGCTGTTTTAAGTGTTTTTTGGCCTACCAATTGAAGTTAGTTGTGTTATCATTTGCTATTGTTGAGTTGAAGCATTTTTAACTCACTCTAGCTAAGTGAAAACGCATCACTACATCTCCTTAAAGATTTTTACTATATCATTTTTTACTACCACTTTTGTCCACATACAGCACAATATAATGTTTGAATACCATAAGCATATAAAGTGCACTCAACCTATTAATAAAAATACATAATAACAATAAAACAAAAGAATGATCATAATAATCCAAAAGCAAAATGTTGAAGCACATTAGAATAAATTGTAAAGATTAGCACAACAGAAACTTCAGAAAACAAATGAGTTCTTACCCCTGCTGTGTGGGAAAAAAAGGTTTTGACCCCTTGATTGAAGCCCTTTCCAACAGATCCAATTTCCATGACCTTCACAATATGTCCAGCAAAATATATATTAGCTTCTTAGAATTTTCAACTAATTTAAGAAAAGTTGGCATGTCAAGGAAACAAGGTATATTTATCAGCTTTCAGTCATATAAGAGAAACAAATAGAGAAATCAAAAAGTACAAACAAAAGGACAAGCTAGTTGCAATACATATTGCTACAGCCAAAATTAAGAATGGACAGATATATTCTTCTTGCTCTAACTAAAATCTTCCCTTCATCTCCAATTCATGAACTAGCCAATACAAAGAGAAAACCTTTAGGCAGACATAAAAATGTGAAATGCTCCCCACAAAACCATATAACAAGACTAACCTAACCAAAATAACTAGCCCCATATTTGTCGCTAAGCATTGATGGTAACTCAAACCACAGGAAAAGAAGTCTACCAAGTACTCCAACTCAGCAGATCTATAAGCTTTAAACCATTTTGAAAGTGTCTTCTATTTTACCCCTCTTGGCAACCACTCACAATATTTTACCTTTCGTAGAATAGCAGTGCAAAATTAGAGTCCTCGAAATATGAATATCAAAAACTAAATAACAATATGGTTATGAGGGTCTCCCTAGCCATAAGAGACTTATAAAAATAGTACCAAGTCAGAGAACCACAAGCCTCTAAATAACACAATGAAAAGTTAAAGAGTAAATACGAGATATGCACAAACCCAGATGCAAGCCACAGACGGTAGAGCATCATACTTTACAATGGTTCTGCTATCTAGAACTAAAATTCAATCTGACTCCAGAGGTTTACCATAAATAATGACAAAGATACATCTAAAACTGAAAATAGCAAAAAGATAAGGTAAAAGACCACACAAAGATTGAACAACTTCAGCCAAAAGATAAAATAAAAATGCAAACCACAGCCAAATGGGGAGTTCAATCCATAAAATCATCACCACGTCATTAAATTTAAATACTTCTTTTGAAAATTGTGTTTAAAGTGCATGTGTATGAATGCATAATACTCTTAACTATTGATAGCAATACACTGACAGATAACAGTACTCCAGATTACATCATCAGGGCTCAAATTATCAAGAATAGAAGAATACCATCTCAATTAATGAGCCATTTAGGCCTTTAACAGCATCAGAATGCTGATCAAGCTCAAGTAAAAATCGTCTGCTACCAAGGTAACCCCAGGTTTCTCCAGTGAGAACTAGAAAAACAAGCTGCATTAAATTCACGGAACTATCAGAATGAAAAATTTTAAAAGCATGCATGCTTAATCAATTGGAACATAACAAATTATTTGCACCAATATTATAACATACCACCAAAAATAGATCAGATGCACACTAGAATGCCATTTTACAAATTATCTGTACCAGCATTATAAAATTTCTTGAGAAATCAAGGAAAATCCTTAGATCGATAGGATATTTTAAAATTCCAAGAACAAAATGATATCTTACTGCTGCAAAAGGATCAAATTGCATCTATACTGCCTCCTTTTACAGAACAAAATTTGATGTATCTTAAAAACTTCTGAGGTTTCTAGAATTTATTTAACCGCCCTTACAATTTCCTAAACCTGACTGTTGTTTTTACATAGAAAAGAAAGAGTCTCGATAATTCGACTCCTAATTAATAATTTTTCTTTTTTTGATCAGAAATGTACGATTTGAATAACTGATGAAGAAGAAATACAAAAGTGGACCAGGTATCAACAAGAACAAAAGCACAAATAGAAATCTTTAATGGCATGCATTAATATAAAAGTATTTCACAGAAAAACAACCAAGGGTTTGCAACATTGTCACATCAACATTCATGGACTGTGAGCTTTCTATAAATAATACCAGCTCTGACAACCTCCAGTAAGGAATCAAAACTTTCGGCAGAAACAATAGAGAAATTTTCAAACAAGAGCTAATGGCAACAGGAAAAAAGATCAGTACAACTAAACAAAGGTATCGACAACAATCAACAAAGGAACAGATATGAAGTGCAACCCAAGAATATATTGAACATATAACAGAAGGTGGAGTACAAACAACCAGTTAAAATAGGAAAAAATGGCATTGCTCCAGATCTAGCTCAAACGAGAGTGATGGCAAGGAGTAAAACTGAAAAACTTTTTTACTTATCTATATATGAAATTCCTGTTAAAAAGGTTTCTATCTTGTTTCCTTATTAGACTCGGAGAAGAGTTCCTCCTGTACTAGAAAAAATACTAATCTAACAACACACCTGTTTATTAAGGTCATCCAAACCATCCAAACGAGAGAGAGCATCAACTGCTGCCAGCAAAGAAATCAATCCCTAAAACACATCACAAACGCATATTAATCACTGATAGAATAAGGACTATAAAGAAACAAGATTTCACAAGTTAAAGTTACAAGATTTGCACTCACAGATATTGGAGAATCTGCACCAATGCTTTTGTCACGAAAAAAAGAAGCAGAATCCATGGAAGCCACTGATAGTATAATGGGCTTGGACTGGTATGACAACGAAGTATTAATTGGAGGGAGCGATGACCAAACACTGCCCTTCATAATCACGATACCAAAAATTAAAAATTAAAAAGAAAAAAAAATAAGTTATATAGACATCGACAAGAAAGGACTATATATACTTATCTATATACGTGCATACATATACAAAAACATACCAATACAAAAGGAAGGTATGTCTCACCTGTATCCACCTAAAGGAAGGCAAGTCTCTTCTTTTAAGCAAGATTTTGAATCCTGAGTTCCAGCTTTTGTTGTCTAACACAAGCCAAATTTAATTAAAAAAAAAAAAAAAAGAAACCAATAAGAAAACATAAGAACCCAAGAAATCCACTCAACATAATTATTGACAAAAGGAAGGTCACAGATATATTGACACAGAAGATCAAATACCTGCATCACCAGATCAAATTCGGCAACATTAGCTGTATAAGAGTTCTTTCTGTCTTCATTCTTCAACGCTGCCTGCATAGATAATAGACGGCATGAAATACCAATTAGACCAAGACTATACATTAACCCAGCAAAAAAATACCGACGAGGGAGGAAAAACAATGCTTCATTGAAGATCAGTTAAATTTAACTAAATTAATATTAAAAAAAGGAAAGCACAGCCAAAGAAAACTTAAACCCTAGACACTAGTGTCTCTGTCAAATCTCTAAATGCATTAAAGATTAATTAATTTAGTGAAAGTGTTTCAGAAAATTACTTTACACCATTTGTAATGTTTTAGAGATGCACTAAATCTCTCACATCTGAATAATGCAATAGGCACCAAAACTTCCTTCTTTTGTTAACACGAAATTCCTCCAAGGAATTCAAATTTGAAACTTGGGCCTCGCTGAACCATGAAATCTTTAGGTGGAGGGAATCTTGTGACTTTTCACCAGGTAGGTGATCTCAAGGAGTCAAAGCCTTGACCTTGAGAAAGAAAACCACATTTGACAGCTTGACTAAACCCTTAGGTTGACATAGACACCAAAGCTTGTCGTAATTAAGTTACACACTCCTTGAGTTTTCGACAATATACCACATCAGAGGCAGTTTTTTACACAAGAATAGAAACCCAAACAAGAGTGTTCTCTATCAAAAGTTGGAAAAGCAAATGCCAAAAACCCTTTAAGCTTAAGGGCTCATATCAATTTGTGGACAACTTTTTAAGAAACTCACTCAAAAGAGACAAGTTTGAGAACACCAAAAAGAAACTAAAAATAGTTACCATTAAATTTAACCAAAAAAAAATGATTAGAATACATAAATGCCCCTAACTAATATCTAAAAAAATAAAATAGCCAAAATGTTTTACCATTTAATTATTATTATTTTAATCTGAATTTATTTTTCCAATTTGCAAATATTTTTTAAATTATAAATAATTGTCAAATATTACAAGCTTGTCAAATAACATTTTTTCCCTAACCAAATGTTAAATTTAAAATCTTCTAACAGTTATTTATCCCTTTTCAATGCATTTTCAAACTCGTACCTCCGTTTAGTAAGTTTCTGAAAAAGTTGTTCTCAAATAGATAATTGCCCTAAGCTAATGTAGTAATGGACATATTAACACAAAACCATTATAATAAACTAATTAATTAAATAAAATCCATGTAGTTTTGTACCCTAATACAATATTTATTCTAACCAGGATTCCATATATCCCTATTCTTCTATATTTCCCCCTCATCTAGGATTATGTTTAGATTAGAATTCATTTTCCAATAATAATATGTTTTCCTTATTGTATTAGAGTTTCCTTTTGTTCTCTATCTAGAGTCGATAAATAAATTGTATTATTAATAAAAGCAATAAAATAATAGTCAAAATTGGAGGAGGATCCCCTCAAGTGATCCTTTTTCTTTTCTTTTCTTTTTCAATTTTCTGAATTTTTATTGTTAGAACCCTACGTTCCTAACATACTCTTTAAAGACTTCTGAAACAGCCTACTCTAAATTCCCAAAATAAACAGCATACCAATAACATAAGACTTAAAATTGTAATATACAGCAAAAATAAATCATAGATGTGATACCTAGTGAAGTCAAACAAAATTTAAAACTAAATGTGTACCTCCTGACAGGTCAATGTACTACTCTCAGTGAGCAAGAACACAGGAAAATCATAAGCTTTCCACATGATACCAGATCCCTGCAGATGCAAAGATGATAATGCTTTAGCTTGTCAAACTTAATGTAAAAAACACTATATCCACAAAATTGTGTGTTCACCTAATATAGTAAAGTTCACTGAAATTTTGTAATGAATAAAAAAGGTTTAACTATCCCAATTACCCATAAAAAAAAATATCGCAATTCTGATGGTCATCTGTTTTATATCTCTTTAATGACCACAAACTGAATATATGTTTATCATTTCATCATAATCATCTCATTACAAATTCACAGGGCAAAGAAATACCAACTATCTACATGAAAACATTCTCATGGATAATTGATTTTTCACAAGCCATCCTACCATTGTATTAAGAACTGTTGAATTGTTGAAGTTGCTCATAAAATTAGCAGTAGATATTGAGGTTATAGAAAAAGTCAGACAACAAGAAGCTGAGTAAAGGTCAGTCAACAGCAAAACACTCAAGGAGTTTTACCCATTTGTATATTAATAGCATACATTTGGGTTCCATTCATAGTCAGCATTTTGGTAAGGTGCAAATTCAGCAAGCGGAAACTTTTGAGTTGGAGAGAATCCTGCAAAATAGAAACGGCCACTGTCAGCTGCTTTCTGAATTATGTCCTTCATTCACCACGGCTTTTTACAAAAAGACAGAATTTTAGTAGATAAGCACAGTCACCTTTTAATTTACTTCGAATCTCAGCACCTGATTCAACTAAAACTCCACCAATTTTTGAAGCAAAACTTTTATCACTTGATATTCTGAAACAGAAACAAATATCTGATAATAGTAATTAAAAGAGAAATATATCTTCAACTCCCCTCCTTGTAAATAATTCTTTATATGATAAATTTTATTGTTTCTTATAAAATGTGTGTATATGTGTATGTGTGTATATGTGTATGTGTACGGGTTAAGGTATTATAACAGAAATTTTAAACATATATTTCTAGCACAAATTATTGGCTGTCCATATAAAGCAATTTAATAGACTTGAGAGAAGAGTTAGAGCTAATTATTATTAAAGTCAACTCAGCATCAGAAAAACTTCCAGACATGGAAAACTTTAACTTTTATAGAGTGCAAATGTTTTCCAAATAGGCAGGTGTACAAGCAATTAGATATTTTACGGAAACCTCCAATGAGGAAACCAAGTTTCTTTTTGTTTTTAAGGAAACAACTAGCAGGTTGAAAATGAAAATGAAGTTAAACATGGTGGACCAGTTGTCAACTGCAAGCGGCCAGATCTTTAACAACACCCACCCCCCAAAAAAAAAACTGAAAATACCACAGCCTCATAAAATTCAATTTTAAGTTCTATAAACACAGTTCTACATAAAATTTGCCTTCTGCCTACATTAAAAATACAAAAATGCAGTGTGACAGAACTAGATTTGCAACCACAAGCCATCTACAAACTCAATGCTTTCAGTCACCAATGCTTAAGAAAAAGTTGTATCGAACTCTCTTATAGTGAGATACATTTATCTATAGACTTATAAGGAATGCTCTTCTTATTTTTCTTTCTTTCTTTTTTTCCCCATTTACCTTTCTCATAACTGATGAAATCAGCACCAAGGAATTTAGAATATACAGTACATATAAGCGACTAGTCAGCTAATTTGTCAAACCATATGTGTATCCATATAGGTATTTAGAAAACCATTCAACATATGCATACTAACTAGCATCTGCTAAATTACCAGTCATTCATCAAAAGACCTCAAATCAAACATCACATCAGAGAAGGGGACTTAACAGGAAGGGGGAGGACTTCATCTAGTGCAGTCCCCTTCTAATCCTTTGTTATCAGATGAAAACCAAATTCGAACATCACATGTTGACCCTAAAACTCTATGGATTTTGGTTATCCTATGTAGTCCCTGGTAAAAGGAATATATATAAAAGAGTTAATTTTTTTTGTTAAGAAAATCACATAAGCATAACATATCTTCACATGATCCTACCACGTTAAACTAGTGCAATATAGGCACAAATATTTTGTTTACCCTTTAAATGTCTTCATAACAAGCAGAGAGATCTAAACAGTCTAGATGATTTTGAATGGAAAAGTACAATGTAAGATAAGATATGGATCAATCTCAGCCGTGAGAAAAAATGAATAATAACAAGATGAAGGTCAGGTGTTAACTATTTCCAGACTCGACATACAAGCTTGGATAGCAATAAAGATGTTACAGCAGCCTTGATAATATGCCTACTACAATTTCCCAAGGAAGATGCTCTACCCTGCTTCTTGGTCTATACTTCTTTAGCTTGATGGCTCTTCTCTTTCCCTGTTTTTCACATAATGGGTAGACAAGGTGACTAATCATCACTTTATTAGCCTTGCCAGATGTGATCATCTGATTGGTTTTCATGTCATTATATATAATTTTAAGTTTTGAGGTGACTAATCATCACTTTACTAGCCTTGACACATGTCATCATCTGACTGGTTTTATATCATTTTATTTTATTTTTAGTTTTACTTTTCCTATGCACCTTTTATCGGTAAATTCCCTTAAATCCCCTTGCACATAGTTAAGGCTAATAAAGTTTGACCATACATGTGGCATTTCATAAGGATTTGAAACTGGTTTTCATTTTAGTACATTTTTGAAAACTTTATATCCGTAAGAGTTAATACCCAAAATTCAATTTAGACTTCCAATTCAATCATCTTTCATAATACAAAACAAAAGTAAACACAGTCTAAATTTTCCATTTATGTCATAGATTTCCTACATTGAAGATATCACTTTGGGTCATATCCGGGTCAGATTCGTGCTAGATTCATGAAGATCCAAATCAAAATCAAATTATGACTGTTGACATTTCAATTCAATTCAAATCTAACAGATCTTAGATATCTGAAACCTGATGATGCTTACTGTCTAATTAAAAAGTGTATCATACAGACATTTGATTGCAAAGACAAAAGAAAAAATAAATTTTCTTGCAATTAAACAAAATCACGCATGCATATGTTAATTTTCAGCTCTAAGAAAATTGATTGATTGAGTAGTCATAAAATTCATAATGCAGTGTCATAATACTTCACCCACCAGAGTCATCGAAAAAGGAAGGACTAATGAGCAAAAATACTGAATCTTTTTTTTTTTTTTTTTTTTTTGGGGGGGGTGTGGGGCGGAATAAAATAAATCACCAAAGCAACTATTCTCTGATAACATAAAAAAAGCATGTCTAAACAAAGAAAAAAGAATAAAATCAAAAATATGCAAGTAACAAATACACATGCCTGTGGAATAAATCTTGAACTTCATCCAATGATACCAAAACAGCAGATAACTGGGTCAGCTCTTCAGCATTCTTAAAACTAATAATTGGAGCAACAACCTTCTCTCGTCCAGGATCTGAAAATAATAATGTACCAAACATGTAATGTAACTTGAATATGAAGGTTCTTCAAGAAACAAAATTAGAAAGAGTATTTGAAAGAAAAAGAATTGGACACTGTTATAACCCTTTCTTTTAATAGAGACAAAGCATATTATTCAAGAAAGAGATCAAAAAGTATATATGTAAGTAAACAAGCGGTCCACAAAGGAATTAAAAAGGAAAACTGTGACCAGCCTAAGATTTGAGGTACAAAAAAACCTAACTAGAGACTTAAAAACTAATTAAAAAACTGGAAGGCCAGGAAATAGCCGCTTCCTAATTAAAGTGATTGAAGAAAAGGGAATATCTCAAAATTTTAGAGAAAAAGAAGCACATAAAGAGGCCAAGATGTAACTATCCCATATGAAAGGGGCATCATTACCCCTATAATATGGGAGAGAGATGCTATATGTAATAGAATATGGAAGTATGCTAGCAAGCACTTTTCCTAGAGCCATCATTATAAGCAGCACTTAAAAATATAAAAACTTTGGAATAGAAAAGCGAAAATGGGATGAGAAATATTTTTGTGGGTTGTTGAGTGAGATTTACTTCATTAAGTGCAAATGTGAATGAAGGGAATATGGGAGAGAGAAGGAAATATGTAGGTTTTGACGATGAGGTCTACAGTTGGTAATTGAAAGTAGGGAAAAAAGATAACTTTTTGCTCAACCTTTGATGCTTGTAAATTGTAATCATAAGATTGTTTTATACACAAATTCTTATTGTAGAATAATAAAATATAGACGGCAAAAAAAGTTTCTATAAACAAGCTTCCTGTGGAATTAACTTAAAACCTCGGTAAATTATCTTTATTTTGTCTTTCTTTTTTTCTTTCTTTCTTTTTTTTTTTTTTTTTGCTTCTTTCTCTTCAAAAATTTATATGCCCACATACCAAATAATATCAACATTTCATTATAAGAATAATTTGATCTCATGAAACATCCAAGAGGTAAATTACTATATCACAATTATTTAATCCTTCAAAGATCTTACTTGAACAACCAATCTTCCCAGAGAGATTGAGTAACCGTACACAAGGGAATCCATCAACAACCATGTACATTGAATCCCGAAGATCAGGAATTGACTCCATTGAGTTGGACTCTCCTGAAATTGCCAAACAAGAAAAAGTTAACATCAAGATTTCTTAGAATTGATCAGCAATGTATCGTAATGATTTTAGTAAAAGCAAATAAGCAAAACCAAGTTCATGGTTACGTTCAATCCTCAAGGTTAACATCAAACCTAAGTATGAATTTTAAACCTCCCATACATCCTTAACTAAACAGAAAATAAGCAAATTCAGTTTCACTTTAAATTGACTAATCATTGCCAGCACAACATTTTAATCAAAGTAACACTGCTTACTAGCTTACTCATCTAAACAAGTCTTTCCAAAATAATTTAAAAGTACAGAGTTCCAATAGATATATTCAAGGCAGTCTTTACATATGCTTTATAACTATACAGTTTTAAAAGATATATTATTCAATTGTTTGCTGCCTAAACATTTTTTAAAACAGTTTCTTATGAAGCAACCACATTTGTTATCAGTGCTTAATTCTCATACCAGTAGGTTGCTCTATGTCAATGCAAACAAGAATTTGAGACATCAATCTTTGGATTCAATCCAGCTAGAAATTAAAAAAAGAAAAGTTCAACACTAGGAAGCAAGGGAAGGAGGGGTTCCTAATGTCCTAAACTTATTAGCATAATCTTGGCAATGTAAGAGATATACGCACTGATTACAGAAAAGTCAAAATAACTTGCATCAATAAAGAATAAACATACAGTAAAAATATAGAGAAAGGGTTATCACAAAAGCAGTTTTATCTCCAAAATGAGTAAATAATGTATTCAAACTCTCGTTTCAAAACTAAGGGCTGCAGTAATGGCAAGAAATCTTTATGTAAGAAGGCACAGCATACCATGAATATGCAGGACTGTACCCCATGATCCCTAGGTACATAAAAGAGAATGCAAAGACCACGAGTAAAGTTGAATACTCAAGTTTTGGATCTTTACAAATTCAGAGTGTCATTTGGAACTGAACTTGACTTCTAATCAAAGTCAAAAAAATCTAGTTCATGCTCAGCTTGAAACATACACAAAATTGAGTAATGAGATTTCAAATGACATTGAAAAAAGAATTGTTCAAATTCACTTCACTAATCTAGCATATTAAAACATCAAATAAAGGCAGAACCCTCATACATTCATGCAAAAAGTCTAATATTGTCTATCTTTATGATTGAAATCAAAAGTTATTCATATGTAACGAAGCGAACAAGTATTTAAGGAATTGCAAAAGTAAGAAAACTTACCGGAAGAAGAGAGACGAAGCTGAAGATTGAAGATCAAAAGAACAAAGAGAAGCTTCAAGGCCATGGCGTCAATCTTTAATGGTTTATTTTCTAAAAGAAAACCCTAAACCATGGTCTTAAATCGATCGCAAATAAATTTCAAAGGCCTTTTCCAATTACAATGCTCCCCGGAGTTGACCCAACCGCTGATTCAATTTCTAGCGATGGATTTTTTTTTGTATTGTTACACTCGGTCTTTGTTTCTGCTAAATGTCGCGCTTCCCCTCTCTTTATTTATACCCTTTTCCCGTGGAGGAAAAATCACTTTCTACCCCATAATTTCGGTAAACGGAAAGGATACAGCCACCGAAGGGTATACACCGGATTTATATACCGAATGACATGATAAAATCCTGATTGTTGATTAATATTAAATTAAAATTAATCAACGGTCAGAATTTTATCACGTTATTTGGTGCATAAATTCGGTGTACTACTTCGGTGACTGTAGCATTACTCTTCGATAAATCTAATATGTTCCAACCTTTAGGCTTCTAGAGACTATAATTAATAAAAAAAAAATGATATTCTTATAAAGACTTATACAAATAAAGCTACAAAGTGAAAGAAAAAACAAAGAAAAAACGGAAAAAAAGAAAGAAAGAGAGAGAGAAATCATAAAGATCAAGGGTAGGGGTAAAGAGAAATCATGAAGATCAAGGGTAGGGGTTGTCTTTATATGCCCCCTTTGTATTTATCTTTGTAAGACTAGCACTTCTCTTAATAAAATTAGGAACAAACAAAATATCTTAGTACAATGAAAACCAATTGTCAATCAATTTTTGAATTTATAATATTTTGGTTTTTTTTTTTTTTTACGGCCGAACAACTTACACATACCCAAGGTTTGTCGTAATGACAGATTGGTATCCAAAAGGTTTGGAAACAACAAACAGGTACCTTCTGTCATGTGCTGTTAGTGATTTCCGTTTGCTAATGGTGAAAAGACTAGAATGCCCTTGAAAGTTTGACATTTTAGTTTTTTATAAATTTAAAAATTTCTAAAAAACCCCCTAGGTTTGCTAATTTAACTAAACACCCCAATATATAAAATTTTATAAAATGACAAAAACACCCCCATCACCCGCAATGCCAGATTCCGGTCACCACCGCCGGAATCTGGCTGAAAAATTGTGTTACGACACAGACCCGTCGGATCTGTTTCGTAACGCGTCGATCTGGCCTTTTTCGGCCAGATCTGGCCATCAAGGCCGCAAAACTCCATCGCTAACGGCCAAATCTTGGCCATCGTTGACAGACAATGCAGCCTCGACGGACAGATCTGTGACGGATCTGGCCAGAAAAGGCCAGACGGTGCTTTGCGACACAGATCTGGCGAAGTTTCAAGGTCATGGCGTCAATCTTTAATGGTTTATTTTGTAAAAGGAAACCCTAAACCATGGTCTTAAATCGACCACATATAAATTTCAAAGGCCTTTTCCAATTACAATGCTCCGTTGAGTTGACCCAACCGCTGATTCAATTTCTGGCGAGGGATTTTTTTGGTATTGTTACACTCGATCTCTGTTTCTACTAAATGTCGCTCTTCCACTCTCTTTATTTATACCCTTTTACTATGGAGAAAAAATCACTTTCTACCCCATAGTTTCGGTAAATCTAATATGTTCCAACCCTAGACTTCTAGAATTAATAAAATTAGGAGCAAACAAAATATCTTATTACAATGAAAACCAATTGTCAATCAATTTTTTAATTTATAATATTTTGGTATTTTTTTTTCTTTTTACAGTTACTATAACATAGCTACTTGTTGATGCCAAAGCTTGCACCAAACTAGGGTTTATAGTCTTGCCATTCAGAACACAGTCATCTTCGCATTCTACCTTAAGATTGATGTCTCTTAAGTCTTCGTTGACAGTGGCGCTGATCCTTGCAAGAAATAGCAAAGCTCTTGCGGGATCATAGGTTTAAAACTGGAATGGGAGCCTGATATAGGTTGTGGTCAACTTTCAAATGGAATGCTTAGTATTAGGCTTTTTCGTTTGAATTATTGTGTATTATTTCATGCCATTAGCCTCCTTTATATAGTGAAGTAGAGAGAGTTTGAGTAAGGTTACTTGCCTTGGTAGAGTAAGATTTCAAGTAGAAGGGATAATGTTGGTTACTCATCCGTGGGTAGCCCAATTGATTAGAGCGAATTGAGGATAGTGTGAATAGGTGCACGGTCTCAAGTTTGATTCCCCATCTGAGTATTCGCAATTTAAGTAGGGAGTCGTAACAGTGGTTTACTGTGCTAGTATCCCCTGAAGATCAATCGAGTTATGCGCACATTGGCCTGAACGCCTTGGTTACAAAAAAAAAAAAAAAAAAGTTGGTCTTTAGGAAAATATGGGATCTTTTTCCTCTTTAGCCTGATATAGGTTGTGGTCAACTTTCAAATGGAATGCTTAGTATGAGACTTTTTCGTTTGAATTATTGTGTGTTATTTCATGCCATTAGCCTCCTTTATATAGTGAAGTAGAGAGAGTTTGAGTAGGTTACTTCCTTTGGTAGAGTAAGATTTCAAGTAGACAGGACAATGTTGGTTACTCATTCGTGGGCAACCTAACTGATTAGGACGAATTGAAGATAGTGTGAATAGGTGCACGGTCTCAGATATGATTCCCTATATGAGTATTCACAATTTAAGTAGAGAGTCGTGACGGTGGTTTACTGCGCTAGTATCCTCTGAAGATCAATTGAGTTACGTGCACATTGGCCTGAACGCCTTGGTTACAGAAAAAAAAAAAAAATAGTTGGTTTTTAGGAAAATATGGGATCTTTTTCCTCTCTAGGACCGAATCCTAGTCATATTCACTTCTTATTTTCGGTCTACTTCCTTATTCCTTTAGACTTCTTATTCAATGTTGATTCAATTCCCTATTTTGGAGAATGTTCCTACGATAATTTGCTTAAAGTGTAAGTTATATCAAATAGGGAAATTACACTTGCTCTTGGGGAATTTAAGCACGTTATTGTGGCGAGGTACTATTCACAAATCACAAGTACTACAGAGATGAAATTGTTCACAATTATTGCAGCGAGGTTATTATTCATGGTGATGCAGGGCCCCACGAGATGAATAATTTTGACACTGTGAGAATGCAATGATTTTTGACGCGGCACACCAAAACGGTCAAACAAACAAACAAACAAACTTACAAATATGAGGGTCGTCATTTTTAGTATTTTGGAATCATTTTGAGGGGTTTTTGTTCCTTCTCTTATTTTCAGGGGGGCTTTTGTAAGTTTTTGGATTTTTAACAAATTTTCTAATGTTATTTAATTTTCTTTTCCTTTGCATTTTCGAATTAAGATTTTAGGGAAAACTATTTAAATGTTGTTTCAGCCTCAAAAAGTGGGTAGTTGAATGAATTATTACGAACCTTAATGGTTATTTCACACAATTCAGTATCTGAATCTTGATAAAATTTGATAGTGATTATCGTATCACTTATTACACACGTTTTTCGGTCATCTATTTTATTGTTTTCAGCATCACATGGTTGCATGAGATTTTTTCTTGGCATACTCAACTTTCAACTTTCATATAAATGAATAATCACTTCCCTTAAAAAAAAAAAAAAAAAAATTTTTTCTTGGCATACTCAACTTTCAACTTTCATATAAATGAATAATCACTTCCCTTAAAAAAAAAAAAAAAAAAAAAAAAAAAAAAATCAATGTATTAAGTTGATATTAAAAGAAAAATGTATACAAAAGGTAAACCTTGTTAGATGCATATTATTCTTTCACTTCTAATTTACAATCCTTCATTCAACACAATATGGGATAATTCTTTAAGCCCCTAAGGTTTTCCCCGAATACTAAAGCCCCCTCAGGTTTGCTCCTAAGGATTGCCCCAATCCAATAAACTCTCTCAGGTTTGCCTCTAAGGTTTGGCCCAATCCATTTTTGTCAAGGAAAGCCAATCACATAATCAAAGCCCAATTACGGAATTGAGGCTCCAATTAAGGTACAAAGCTACAACTTCAACTTTGAAATTACATTTTGGGCCCAAATCACTACTTCTTGGATCTTAAATAAAGCTCATGGTGTTCCCAAATATAAGCTCACGACATCAAAGTGGTAAGCCCCTTATATTCTCTAACATGTAAGCTCAAAGCATTCTGGGATTCTCTAACTGCAAGCCCAAAAACTTTTAAAAGCCCACGACATTCTCTGACATGTAAGCTCAATGCACTTTGGCATTTTCTGACACGTAAATTGAAGCCATAAGTCTTAGTTGTATACTGTCAACACCAAGATGGAATGTCAAGATATAAAGTTGTAAGGTCAATGTCCGTGATCCCATGATTAAGTTATAATCAATACAAAATTATAAGTTTTAATTTAAATTATTGCTAGCTATTTTAATCTATATATTTTTTGGTGTTGTTTAATTGTAATATGTTTTTGAAATTTTTTGTATGGATTTCTTTTATCATTAATTTTTTTTTTTTCGAAATTTCAATTTAATAATCCAAAATTTTATTTTAGAAATAATGATAGTGAGGTGAGGGGTATATAGCATAAGTGAAAAATAAACATATTAACTCTTTTGAAATATATAATTAAAAAAAAAAAATGGAATGAAGGGCATTTATGGAATTTATGGGGTGTCATAAGAAAAAAAAAAAAAAATTTAGAACTTTGAAATGTGGTGTCTTAAAAAATGAAGCTTTTTTTAGACCATTAATGGAGTTCCAATGGCTCCACTCTTTTAAAAAACCCTATAGGACTTTTTTCCCTACCACATCAAAATCCACCAAATAATGTCATATTGAAAAAAAAGAAAAGGTTTTAAGAAAACAAAGTTTTGAATATATTGATTTATTGGGCCTAGTAGGCTTTTTTGAAGCGTTGAAAGGTTTTGAAACTCCTTTTGTTAATCCAACTCTTCAATCAGCTCATTCAGGCCCTTTTAGGCATTCTGGACAAAAATTAACATATTTTTAACAATTATCATAATAAATACAAATAAACTCTTACAAGAATCTAATTAATGTAGTTATTGTTTTACATATTTATATTATTATAATTAATTAATTTCTAAAAATTATTTTGAAAAAATTAATGACATAATTATCTTCAATTTAAATGTATTTGTTTTGATTTGATTGCCATTATATGATTATTTAGATTTGTTTTAAACATGTAAAATACAATAGAGCCTTTCTATAATGATACTCTATATAGAAAAAGTAAAACTATTTGTATAAACTCATGTAGAAAGAGAGTTTGTACAAACTGACATGACACGTCATATAACATGCCACATAGCATTGGGGGCTATATAATTTAATATCACATCAATATCATGTGGATCCTTATGTCATGTGGCACTCGCATGGTGTGCCACATCAATTTGTACAAACTCTCTTTGTACGGGAGTTTGTACAAATAGTTTACCCATATAGGAATAACTTTTATGTAGTCATAAAAACTTATGGTTCTAACTTTGGTCAGTTATAAATAAGAATAAATTTCACATTGTAATAAAATAAAAATTTTTTAGGTCCCGTCTTAAGAAACTTGCCTCTATATAGATACCTTCTTATTGAAGTCAAAATATTTATAGCTCTCAAGCATGTTTAGAGCTTATTGGCATGGAATTTTTGGTATTTTCATATTATCATCCTCAAGATTATCTCATTTCTCTTCTTGTCTAATTTCAGTAATGATTTATTTTTCATTTAAAACTCAATTTTACAGTGATGATATCCATTTCCATACTATCATAATGCTACTAAAATAATAAATTGAAATCCTAATATTATTAAAACATGAATTATAAAATAAGATATCAAAATAATAATTTTTATAATTACACCTCAATTAAATTATAATCTCTTTATAATAATAAATTTAATTGGTTCTAACATTATGAATATAGAGATGCTCTATTGTCTATTAAAAAAAAAAAATTGTAATATTTAATAAAGATAAATGTGTCAAAATATTTAATAAAGATTATAACTTGACATTTATAATAAGACATTAAAACAAACATTTATGTAGACACGCGTACATTTTATGCTTTAAGATATAGCTATAATGACGTGGAAAAGTAATCCCAATTCCCAAGCACAGGTTGAGGGCTAACTTTTAAGTAAAGATTATCCAGATATAACTTATTATCCCTTACTGGCCTACCCAACCTAAGTTTCATTCGAATGTAAAAGTTTCCTTAAGTCCTTATTAATTAGCTAAGTCTTAAATATACTCTTAATATCATAATATGTTAAATGTTTTATTTTCTTGTAATTAATATAATTGTTATATAAAATTTTAATTGCTTTGCAGAAGGTAAGATTAAGAATATTTTAGACATTTGCAGTAGAACAATTAAATAATTAATTATATTGAATCTAATTTATTTCATTAAACTTGAAGGACCAAAATGTAATTAACTCCTAGAAAGGTGTATATATATTTTTTATTAATCTCAAGTGGCAGAGTTTGTTGAACCCATGTGCGAATCTTCTGTTAAACAGTGATTGTGGACCAAATCCTTGCTGTCGCTTAACCTGTTCCACCTCACCATAAAGCTCAAAAAAAAACCTAAAAGTTTTTGATTTTTCAGTTGGGAGATACGTACTTTACACTAAAACAAACAATGGGACAATTATTTTAGCCTTAGGTTTTCATAATTTCAGTTTCATCCATTATTTTCTAAAAGTAACAAATAAACCTCATTATTTTTACATCAATTCTAACCAACACAAATAATTGGCTGCATTAATTGATTTTGCTAGTAATTAATCACCATGAGTGGCTTCAACCTGAAACAGAATATCGAATCATTACACTTACACATTAACTCTATTATCATTTCAACTTTAAAAAGCAAATTGTTTCAGTTGTCACTTCTAAGAAGTTCGGGGATGAAAATGAATATATCTCAAACCATGCGGGAGCAAATTGAATTTAGGCTGGGGGTGATGAATGGAGGAATCAAAAAGCATGGAAGAACAGAGCAGGCTTTAAACAATGAACACTCCTATGACAGCCTTTTGATTCCCAGATTTGTGGTCCCCATTTGCATGTGCATTTCTGTCCATTACTCGTCTGCTGTCCTTCCTTCTCCTCCTTCTTCTTTCACCTTTCTCTTTCTTCTCTCTAAGTAATGCATGTAATCTAAGCTTCTTCTTCTTCTTCTTCTTCTTCTTCTCTTGAAATCCAAAAAAACAACCCATTTTGAACGTCTCTCAAGATGACAAAACGACACAGTTTGGGCTTCAAACTTCTCAAGAGCTCGACTCTTTTACTTGCCATTTGCTCAATCTTTGTGTGTGCAAAGTCTCAGAAAAATCCAACTCCTGATGTTCCAGTGATGTTAGCTCTCAAGAAAAGCCTCAACCCACCCGAAACCCTTGGATGGTCCGACCCGGATCCATGCAAATGGCACCACGTTGTTTGCTCAGATGAAAAACGGGTCACCCGTATCCAAATCGGCCACCAAAATCTACAAGGTACACTTCCCTCAAACCTTCAAAAACTCACTGAACTGGAGCGGCTAGAGCTCCAATGGAACAACATTTCGGGTCCTCTCCCAATTTTAAACGGGTTAAGTTCGTTACAAGTACTTATGCTGAGTAACAATCAGTTTGATTCAGTTCCAAGTGGTTTTTTTACCGGTTTATCTTCAGTCCAGGCTATAGATATGGACAACAACCCGTTTTCTTCCTGGGAAATTCCTCGAAGTATAAGAAATGCTTCAGCTTTGCAGAATTTCTCAGCAAATTCTGCTAATATTTCGGGTCAAATTCCGGGTTTTCTTGGACCCGATGAGTTTCCAAGTTTAACCATCTTGCATCTAGCCTTCAACCAACTAAGTGGTGGGTTGCCTACAAGCCTGGCTGGTTCGCAATTACAGTCTTTATGGCTTAATGGTCAAAATCTTAATGGTGGGATTGATGTTATACAGAATATGACATCTTTGAAAGAGATTTGGCTGCATTCCAATGCTTTTACTGGTCCTTTGCCTGACTTTTCTGCCTTTAATGGATTGCGAAGTTTGAGCTTGAGGGATAATTTCTTTACTGGTCCTGTTCCAGTTTCCTTGATGAAACTTGAAACTTTGAACACAGTTAATCTAACTAATAATTTGCTTCAAGGACCAATGCCTAAGTTCAGAAGTTCAGTTTCATTGGACATGGAGAAGGATTCTAATAGGTTTTGTTTGCCAACTCCTGGGAAATGTAATTCCATGATTGATACATTGCTTTTGATTGTGAAATCGACGGGTTATCCTCAAAAGTTTGCTGAGAATTGGAAGGGAAATGATCCATGTGCGGATTGGATTGGGATAACTTGTAGTGATGAGAACATTATTGTTGTTAATTTTCGGAGGATGAATCTTACTGGTACTATTTCATCTGGGTTTGCTTCACTTAAGTCTCTGCAGAGATTGGTTCTTGCTGATAACTGTTTTACTGGTTCAATTCCTGAGGAGCTCTCTACTTTGCCTGCATTGAAAGAACTCGATGTTTCGAACAATCAGCTGTATGGAAAAGTCCCAGTTTTTAAGAGTAATGTAATTGTTAATACCAATGGTAACCCTGATATTGGGAAGGACAAGAGTAGTTCTTCAACTGAAGGTTCTTCTTCAGGAAGTCCAAAAAGTACAGGTTCTGATAATGGTGCCAATTCGGGGAATGGTGGCAAAAAGTCTTCTGCTATGATTGGAATAATTTTGTTTTGTGTTATCGGGGGTGTCTTTGTGATTTCTTTGATTGGTTTGTTGGTTTTCTGTCTGTACAAAAAGAAGCAGAAGCAATTTAGCAGAGTACAGAGCCCGAATGCAATGGTGATCCATCCTCGCCGTTCTGGATCTGATAATGAGAGCGTGAAGATTACAGTTGCTGAATCAAGTGTTAGTGTTGGTGCAATTAGTGAAACACGTACCATTCCTAGTAGTGACCATGGTGACATTCAAATGGTTGAAGCAGGAAACATGGTAATATCTATCCAAGTCTTGAGAAATGTAACAAACAATTTCAGTGAAGAAAATATATTGGGGCAAGGAGGTTTTGGGACTGTCTACAAGGGGGAGCTGCATGATGGGACGAAGATTGCGGTGAAGAGAATGGAATCTGGGCTAATTACTGGAAAGGGATCGGCAGAGTTCAAGTCTGAAATTGCTGTTTTGACTAAGGTTAGGCACCGGCATCTTGTTGCTCTTCTTGGGTATTGCTTGGATGGGAATGAGAAGCTTCTCGTATATGAATACATGCCCCAAGGTACGCTAAGTCAGCATATCTTTAATTGGGCAGAAGAAGGACTGAAACCCCTGGAATGGACCAGAAGGTTGACTATTGCCTTAGATGTAGCAAGGGGTGTTGAGTATCTTCATAGTCTGGCTCATCAAAGCTTTATACATAGGGATTTAAAGCCTTCAAACATTCTTCTTGGGGATGATATGAGGGCAAAAGTTGCAGATTTTGGGCTTGTGCGTCTTGCTCCAGAGGGGAAAGGCTCCATTGAAACAAGAATTGCTGGCACTTTCGGATATCTGGCACCAGAATATGCAGGTACTTTTGGTTTTAAGTCCTTTGCCCCATAATATTCATCCTAGTCTTTTATTAATTCTTGTTTATCGAGGTGTTTAAGTTCTCTTGTCTGTATATATTTCAGAAGTGCATGTATATAATTTTATAATATTGAGACAAGTATATCAGTAAGCATGGGCAGAGCTACTCTATTTTGTGGAGCCATGCCATGAGAAGTTTTAGCCAGTAATAACAAATATAAGATATTTTTATTGAATGGAACCTCCTTACATTTAAGAATTAATGGCATACCTTGCAATTGAATTTGAGCAATTTTCTACACACAATTAAGAGTTTACTCATATTTAATTTCTTAAAAATCGTTCTATTTATTTCTGTTCTTCTCTCAATTTATCAAGCGCCAAATCTTCTCATTTTATTTCCTCTTTCTGTTTCTCTGTGTTTTTGTTGTTTAATTCCAAGTCATTAAATACTAAGAATTATAGTTTTTTTTTTTATGTTAATTTACTTTTAAAAGTTTGATGTATATTGTTTTTGAAAAGATTTATCCTATTTAAAGTATTGAAATAAAAATAAATAAATAAATACTGTTCTCATTAGACGTGTTACTTAGAATTTGTAATTTTCAACCTTCCACTTGTATGACATGAATTGTAAAACTTGTAATATGTGAATATAAAACTAATAGAATACTAGAAATATGATGTTTGGTATGAATACTTTATTACTTGTTCAAATGTGTTCCCTCCGCCTTCACCCTTTTGCTTGTCAACAAGATTTCATGCTTTCGAATTTGTAAAAATTCAACTTTGTCTAGCTTGATCATTTTATTTTCTCGTCTTTGATGGATTTTCTTTTATATTAGGACTTGTTCATTGGCTTAATATTTGCATTTAGTTATTTTTGAATTTGATTTCTAGTTTATTGACAGAAACTGTCTGTCTTTCTTGCAGTGACAGGTCGGGTAACAACTAAAGCCGATGTGTTTAGCTTTGGAGTGATATTGATGGAATTAATCACAGGTAGAAAAGCTCTAGATGAGAGCCAGCCTGAGGAGAGCATGCACCTTGTAACATGGTTCCGAAGGATCCACATCAACAAGGACTCATTTCGCAAGGCAATCGACCCCACAATAGACCTTAACGAAGAAACCATTGCCAGCATCAGCACCGTTGCTGAGCTGGCAGGTCACTGCTGTGCAAGGGAGCCATATCAAAGGCCTGATATGGGTCATGCTGTGAATGTGTTATCTTCTTTGGTTGAGTTCTGGAAACCAGCTGACCAAAATTCCGAAGATGTATATGGCATTGACCTTGAGATGTCATTGCCACAAGCACTGAAGAAGTGGCAAGCCTATGAAGGTAGAAGCTATTTGGATTCTTCTTCTTCGTCGCTTCTTCCCAGCTTAGACAATACTCAGACGAGCATACCTACACGCCCGTATGGATTTGCCGAGTCATTCACATCAGCAGATGGGAGATAATAAGTGGTTGTAAATGGTGGTGATGGTAGTTTTCTTTTGTTTAGTCGTATTTATTTTTAGTCTTAGATCTTTGTCTGACTCAAAATTCTTTCATATTTTACTCTCATTGCATGCGTGCTCTGGTATTCTTCTTGAATATGTAATTTGGATGATCTTAATTTGTTTAAGAAATTTTGAAGATGCAATGAGATGGATTTCTGAAGAACAGGAATTAAATCTTTCACTTCATGATAACTTTTGTGGTTATAATTTACCAACAATTAATTTCTTAATGGATTTCATTGTCCTATTGTCATTTTTTTTTAATGCATTTTTTTATTAATTACAGTAAAACCTCTCTATAGTCATAATGTTGAGACTAACTAATTTTATTATTATAAAGAGGTTATAACTTAATAGAGATGCAGTTACAAAAATTATTGTTTTTTATTTTTTATTTTATAATTCATGTTTTAGTAGTATAAAATTAAGATTTCAATTCATATTTTAGTAATATTAGGATTTCAATACAGTGTTTCAATTACTTACTTTTGAAACAGATAAAAGATCGTTTCTTAGAACTAATAAAAATAAGTGTCATTGATGAAATTGTAAATACAGTTGATGCATGGTCAATTGATGTGAAGTCACATACAACTGTCAATGGTTTTAAGCGTTGCAAAATTATGACCACTAATGTCAATGAATTGTAAGTTACAAATGAAGTGGATGAGGGGAATAAAAGAGCCACTATAGAATTGAGTGATTAGATTCGACAAATTCACTACACTAATCGAATGGATAAAAATGTCTTCTTCGATTATCCAAATAAGCAACAAATTGTGTATACTTTAACCAAAGGAGAAATCATTGTTGCAATTAGACAAGAAGAGAAAGGAAACAATCATAAGGATAATAGTACGGAAATACAAAAAGTCTTGTGTCATGAAGCTCTAAACATGCTTGAGAAACTAAAAATATTTTGGCTTCAACAAGAAGGTATCACGAGCTACTACGTACTTGTAAGGTAAAAGATGTGATAACAACTCTAAAACATAAATCATTGTCCCAAACAATTATAAATAAATATTTTATTTCATTTTAAACCTTTAATTTTACATAACATATTTTTTTTGTAATATACAGATAATTATTACTATGTAGAGACAACTTTCCTTAAGGCGGGAATTAGAAAAATTATAACTTATTACAATGTAGAGTTCATTCTTATTTATAACTATCCCAAATTGAGATTATAATTTTTTATGACTATGTAGAGTTTATTCTTATATAGAGTATCACTATAGAGAGGTTTTACTGTATTTTGTTTTTTGAGATAATATTAAAAATAATAATATTATTTTTCTCAAAATATATCTTGAATTTTAAATCCCAAATGAAGTGTCAACATATGTGATATTGATTGACTTTGTAAATTAAATAATGATTTTAGAGCATTTTTAATAGTACACTTTATTTTAAAGAGTATATTTCAAATAAATAAAGAGCGTATTTATTAATTTCTATATATAAAGAACAAAATTTGTATTCAAATTTAACGGACTCTTTAAATTATACTTAATAAATTGGAGAGAGAATTAAAAATAAAATGCATGAAAATTTGTAATTTATTAAATAAAATTAGGATAGAGAGTGAAATTTGACTCTCTAGATATAGAGAGTCAAACTCATTATTTAATTTATATTTAAAAAATAAAGAGTCTATTGAACTTTTATTTTTATGAACAAACTCTTAATAATAAAGAGTTTGAATTATATAAAGAATTATTTAGAAATACTCTAAAATACGATAACATAAAATATAGACTCCATTTGGTTCAAAATTTGGGGGTTTTGGGAAAAGTTTTTTGAAAAAAGTTAAAAAAAAGTTGAATTTGGCGGGTATTACGATGTAGGATTTATAAATTAATAAAATACCCTATATATTTATTTTTTTACAAAATACCCCCTATAATAAAACATTAAAAGTTAACAAAAATACCCCTAACCCACTCTCAAACACCCCCAGTCAGCCACCACCACCGGAGGTGGCCGAAATCACCTTATGGGCGCATGACCGGCTGGATCTTGTCGGTCATGCGCTGATATGGCCTTTTCCGACCAGATCCACGGTGGATCTGGCCGGTAAAGGCCAGATCTACGGCCAGATCTGGCCGTCAACCGCCAGATCTGGCCGTATTTGCTCTCAACGACGGCCAACAAACGGTCGTCGTTGGTGGTCAACGACGACCGTTTGTTGGCCGTCGTGACCGACTGTTACGGCCAAAGATCTGGCCGTCAACGGCCAGATCTTTGGCCTTAGATCTGGCCTTTTTCGGCGTACTACCGGCCAGATTCAGCCGGTAGTGCGCCATCCTACCAGATTCCGGCCATTTTCCGGTGGTGGTGGCCGGAATCTGGTAAATGTGGATTATTGGGGTGTTTTTGTAATTTTTAAAAAAATATTTAGGGGTATTAATTAAATTATCAAATTTAAGGGGTTAAAAAAATGAATAATATTGGGAGTAGTATTCCCAAAAATCTGAGTTTTTGGGTATTTTACTGTTTAACTTTTTTAGGAAACTAAAAGTAGTATTCCCAAAACTGAAACAAACGCAGCCATAGAAATATTCTAAAAATCAATCTGTTTCAACAAGAAAGTCAACAAACCAACTAGAAACGAACATTTGATTACACTGTCACTTGTTAATAGATCAACCACATCACAGCAACGTCGTAACACCATTGATATCGTCGAATGCTATTGTCCCACTACACTGTTATCTTTTTAAATTCATTATTATTAATTAATAAAACGGTTTTCTTCTTTGTCCGTTTGTCTTAACTCTTTGTTATAAATTGTAATTTTTTTTTTTGTTGAATAGAAGAACAAAATATAAACACACAATTTCTTTAACGTTTTACAAGATAAAAATAATGAAAAAAAGGAAATTTTCATAAATAGCCCCTAAACCGCCAGTTGACTATCAGTATACTTACTATTACTAGAGAATATTTTCGAAGATCAGCATAAAAACATTAAAAAGATTGAAAAAAATCCCAAAAAATTTATGCAGCAAAGTTGTACATTAAAATGCCTTTACATTGTAGGACAAATTACAAAACCCAACAATGTCTAATTTACTTTATTGGAAGTGCTTTCCAGTAGTTTAACAAATACACAGCTTAGACTGCAGCCCCAAAGAAAAAAACAAGTGAATCTGCACCTTATTAGATAAATGAAAATCCAAACATTCACTTCTTCAGTAGCATTGCACTGCATTGGGCCATGATTTTTGATGCTCTAGTTATAGCATCAGTCATGTAGAAATTCTCAATTGCGCTACTGAATGGGGTCGAACTCATCTTTTGGGTGCACTTGGGCTTCAACGAAGGCCCAAATGTAGCTGGCTCTCTCTCGTCCATATGCAAGAGGTTTGGTGCCACTGTCCTGATCCGAGATCGGATGGCTCCAACTGTATCATATGGCAATCTCCTTCCGGCCACCTCAGACAGTGCCCGAATTATCTTCCAATCATCCCTGGCATCACCAACAGTTGGAACTGCAGGGAATGTTTGTTGAGAGCAACCTTCTGTATTTTCGTACGTGCCCTCCTTCTCACTAAATGCCGCAGCTGGAAGAATGACATTGGCACGATACACGCCACTGTCACCATGATGGCCCTGATAAACAACAAAGGCATCGTTGGGAACCTTGTCCAAGTTGACATCATCAGCACCCATGAGGTACACAAACTTTGCAGACTCAACACAGTTGCTGGACTCGGGCACAAGTCCAAGATCAAGGGCCGCAGCTTGAGCAGCATTCAGAAGTAATACATTTAGCCCATTCCAGTCAGGCCTAATGACATTCCCATTTTTCGCAATTGTTTCAACAGCAGAGAAAATAGCATCTTTATCGTCCCTCTCAAAAAGCCCAGCACCAACAATAATAACTGGGTTTTTGGCATTTGATATGGCGGAGCTAAAGGGGTGACGACCTTCAGCAATTTCAACTAGTGTGTTTGGGCCCGTGCCAAGATGCTGGTGATCGTAATTGAAATCTGTTTCAGGACCAATGTAACCAACCTTAGCATTTGTTGCTCGGACTGTCTTGCGGATTCTGGCATTTACCATAGCAGCTTCTACCCGCGGCTGGCCAAAAATAGAAAAATAGATGGTTACATGACCTATTCCAAAATTGGAACAAAAAAGATTTACCAGGGATAAGAAACAGCACTTTGGCACATTAAAAGATACACAATTGGAACTCTCATGCGAAAAAAATTGCATTAAAACAATAAAGAAACAAGTTTTAGTCAGCATATGAAAATATGAATATATAACAGCATTACCTGTGTACCAACCAAAAGAAACAGATCTGCCTTTTCAAGACCACTGATGCTAGTATTCATAATGTATCCTGACCGCAGATCAGCACTGGTTTGCATGCCATTTCCTTCGCACCATACATTATTTGACCCCATTTTGTTTAAGAAATCTTTTAGTGCCATCATGGACTCTGCATCAGACAGCTTACCAGCGATCCCAACAATTTCCTCTGGTTTAACTTGATGTGCGACCTCGGCAACCACAGCTAAGGCATCCCGCCAGCTCATAGCCTTAAAACGCCCATCAGCACCACGAATCATTGGATCATTTAGCCTCTGCCTCTTCAGACCATCATAACAGAAACGAGTTTTGTCTGATATCCACTCTTCATTTATGTCCTGAAACAGGTCAGTGTAGTCATATAAATAGGTTAATTTGCATCCAATAGATGTTTAAAGACAAAAGATAAACAAAAGCACCCAAACACTTTAGATTTCCTCATTAACACGACAACCATAATATAACAAGATTAAATACACGAGTTGAATTACATTGCAAGATAAATAGTTTAGAACCGAACCAACAAAATTGCAGCTTAAGTTAAATCTATGAAATGGATAAGTGGATCTTAAGGTGATAATCTAGATCATGGACACAATAACCATGCACTAACCCATTGGTACTGCTCATGCTAAAAGGTTGCAATACTTATTGTTAGTAAGTTTCTGAAGCTGCATTAGCTTGCCTCATGAAACCAGATAATGCTCCCCCAAGGCAGTTATAAGTTAATTAATTGAGGTGTGTGGCTCAAATAAGAGAAATGAGATTTGTCAGTGCTCATATTTACAGGGAAGGGAACTGCTGACTCTCTAACTAATATTGGTGACACTTGTCAATCTCTAACATAGTGGGATCATTCTCCATTCATGTAAATGGTTTGGATTGGTACCATAAGGGTATAGTACTGCACAAGAAATCTTAGCCCTTTAGGCTTAAGGGTGAGAGGAAATAAAAAATCTTAGTGAAAAGTTTAGACTGGACATAGGTCATCACAAAAAGTAAAAAATAAAAAATTCCCCAACTTTAATGTATTGTTTGCAAATTATTTTGTCATTGTTTTAATTATAAGTAGTTTTTATTTTTATTTTTAAGAAGCTATCAAGTTTGAAATAAATGAAAAGATGAGAAGATATAGTTGTGGATCAAGTGTCCACAAGGAAAGCAAAAACCAAAGGGAAACAAATCTATACATATTGTAGCAAATAATCATCCCTCCATTGAACCAAAAACACAACAATATCAACCCAAAACCCCTTTCCAATGGGGATGAATAAAGAAAAAAGTGGCGTCTTGAAACCCTTAACAACCCCAAAGGGAAGTGAAAAGGCAAACTCTATCACACAACTCACAACTGTTTTCTTCTCTTTTCTCACCCAAATGCCGAATATTTCTTTACAACCAAATAACCCAAATAATAGTTGAAACAACGCTTCTCCAAAGTGTTTTAGCTTTCTTTCCTCTCTGAAAGGAAATAAAATTCCCCGTAAGAAATGCATCACAACAACCCGGAATATCATAAGACGTCTTAGCTTCTCCACAAGCTCTTGCCCATTAGTTTGAGGCCAGAACTTGATGTAGGAAAACATTGTTACAAGAATCTGCACTTCTTTTACAAATTTCGCACCAAGGAGAGAGACTCATAAGAAGATACTTTTTTTTTGGATAACATCACTAGTATTAATTTTGCATTGGGCCAAAGCCCACACAAGGATTTGGATCTTACAAGGGATTTTTGCCTTCTAAATCATATTGCGAGGCTCGATAGTATCAATGGGGGATCAACAATCAACCAATTAAGATATGATTGACAAGAATAGGTGCCTAGGACCTCAACCATAAAAAAATTACCATCTCCATTTCATCTATTTTCAAAATTTCAATCACCTCCAAAGGCCTTATGCATCCTTGATTTCCCCTTCATTCAAGCTCATTTTGAAGTTGACATTCCAATTCCAACTTTGAGTAAAATGAGAGAAACTACACGATAAAAAATAGTAATATTTCTAGTATGGAAAAGTCTACGAATATGAGGGAATGATTCACATATCGAACAGTCATCTTCCCCTTTGTTCTCCTAAAACAACATATTATTTCCATACCCTACATGAAAGGAAATGTGCATGATAGAATAAGCGTACTCCTTAGATATAGCTTTTCAAGGGTTTTCGAAGGAAACATAGTCAATCGCATTTGAGTCCCATTTGTTTGAATTGGGGCCATGGTCACTTCAATCACAGCATGCCATAGAGAACTTTTTCTAGAGGAAATCTCCAAAGCTGTTTAGCAAAGAGAGCCTTATTCTTTTTCATCAAATTACCAATACCAAGCCCCCCGTGCACTAAGCCTACAAAGTGTACCTAATAATATGAGAACCTTTACCCTCATCCCACCCTTCCCAAAAGAACTCCATTATCATTCTTTCCCTTCTTGTTGCAAACCCAGCAGGAATATGAAACAAAGAAGGTAAACTGGAACAGCCACCAAAATGGGTAAACAAGGTTAAGTCTACCCTCTTTAGAAAGTTTTTATTTGTTCAATATTTTATACAGGCCCTTTTTGAAACCTATTCAGCCCTTTCTGGGGTTTCCATACAGTCCTTAAAAAATGTTTAAATTTTACCAGTAGAATACCACAGCGTATAACAATAATAACCAAATGCACCACACATTTTTAATAAGTGACATGGGTTTCAATCAAATTCTTATTACATCACAATGGAAACCAACTAATTTATTTGCCATGTCAATTTCATTCTAGAAATGAAATCAGTAGCCTTAACTTGCCAAAACAATATAACGGTTCTCCATGGCCCAAGAGTTGCATATAAAAGATAATGAGCAGGTGCTTTGGTGAAAAAAAAAAAAAAAAAGGAGAAGGAAAAGAGAGAAACTAACTTCAACATAAATTAATGAAAATGTACCTCATTTAACCGTGGAGTAATGCGCAAAACCTCTGGACCTCTGCTATCAATTCTAATGTTAGATCCAACAGCATCAGTAACATCAATGCTCTCTGTTCCCTTTAACTCCCAATTTCGAGCTTTGAATGCAAAAGGTTTTGAAGTAAGGGCTCCCACAGGACAGATATCTATCACATTTCCAGAGAGTTCACTTGTCATAAGTTTTTCCACATAAGTTCCAATCTCCTCTCCACTGCCACGGCCTAACATGCCAAGATCTTGAACTCCAGCAACCTCTGTTGCAAACCTGACACACCTGTTTAGCCAGGAATTTATTATGATCAGAAGCCTGTACAATCAGAACTACGAAGCAAACACATCAAACTAACAAAAGTTATTATACAAGTCAACTGTTGAATTGTAGAAATCTGTTGAGTTGTACAAATCAAATGTTTTAGGAATATGATCTTTAGAATAGGAAATTAGATCATTCCCTGTCCTAGTTTAGATTATTTCATTTCCTTATATGGACTATTGAATGTGTATATATTGTTGTATTTTGTTCACAATCAATATTAAGAAAATTCTTCTGATTTCACATGGTATCAGAGCTAAGAAATTAGAAACCCTAGAAAAAATTTCTTTTCTTTTTCCAACGATTTTTTTTTTTTTTTCCAGCAAAGTTCAGGTTATCTCCTTCTGGTGTTGAATCACTCTTCTAACCACACCAGCCCATTCATCTTCTCCTCGCCGACAAACCTGAAAATTTCATCGCCAATCGCTGCCGCATGCGCCGGTCTTCTTTCCGGTAGCTTCTTCTCTGACCTCTTTCTCCGGCGAGCGTGACCTATGCACTCAGACACCGCCGACGAGCACACCCACCACCGTCCGACCTGCATTGTCATCACCGATGCCGGAAATAGCCCACTACCACCGGAATATCCTCTTTTTTTTCCGATCTGCCCGGAATCAGTTTTGTTTTTCAGCCTAGATCAGTTCAATCTCTCCCACAAGACAATCATGCTCCTTGAAGGATCCAACACCAAATCAGGTTATGTTTCTTTTTTGTCTTTTCCTCCGATCACAATTGAAAAATTAATACGCAGCTCCAATTATTCCTCATGGGCTGCCTTTGTTGAACTGTGGTGTATGGGACATGGTCTGGAGGATCACTTGACCACTAAGGCTGAAGATGTCATGGATGATAAAACTACCTGAGTAAAGACAGATGCTTTGGTATGTGGTTTATTATGGCACCCTTACCTTCATTCTACTTATAAAATATATCGAACCTGTTTTGATGTACGGCGACACGCCAAATTGCTTTATACTAATGATATCCAGAGACTCTATTATGTTGTGTCCAATTTGGTTAATCTCAAACAGCAAGATATGAGCATGTTTGACTTTCTTGGCAGGATGGCCTCTCTCAAGGCAGAATTTAATTTGTTATTACCCGCTGGCAAGTCTGAAGCAGAAGATCTAGCACGACGAGACAAATTCTTTATGGTTCTTACTCTTGCCGCTATCAGTCGTGCTCTCACTCCAGTACGAGATCAGATTCTGGCAAGTGTTATTGTGCCTTCTCTTGATGAAGTTTTTGCTCGATTACTTCGAGTCTCCTCCCCTGGTGTTGTGGCTGGATCTTCCCTAGTTGATTCTTCTGTCCTGGCCTCTCAGTCTCAAACTTTTGTTAAAGGAGAACAAGGGAATCGTAGAGGCAGGGGAGGTCGACCCAAGTGTAGTTATTGTCATAGGTAGGGACATATCCAAGAGAAATGCTACAAATTACATGGGCATCCTCCTCGGGTTGCCAATGTCGCTTATCCTGATCATCATTCTGAATCTTCTGAAGAACCAAATCCGCCATCCTTGACTTTTACAGGTGCTGATTATGACGAATATCTCAAGTTCCAGGCAAATAAATAGTCTTCTTCATCTGTTGCTTCCATCACTCAGTCAGGTAAATCAGTTGCATGCCTCACTCAGTCGTCTCCTCCAGGGTCTTGGGTTCTTGATTCTGGTGCATCGGATCATATCTCTGGTAACCCCCGTTTGCTTTCTCATCTTATTAATACTACCTCTTTGTCTCCTGTTACCTTAGCCAATGAGACCAAAGCAATTGCTAAAGCAGTAGGTCGGGCACAACCACTCTCCTCCATGACTTTAGATTCTGTTTTGTATATTCCCCATTGCCCTTTTAACCTTCTATCTGTCAGTAAACTCACCCGCTCTTGAAATTGTTCTATCACTTTTACTAATGATTTTGTTGATATATAGGACTACAGCATGGGACGAATGATTGGCGCAGGACATGAGTCACGGGGCCTCTATCATCTCAAGTTACCTTCTGCCCCTATTGCTTGCACTATCTCCAAGTCTTCTCTTCTCCTTCATAATCGTTTGGGTCATCCTAGTTTAGCAAAGCTTTAGAAGATGGTTCCAGGTCTCTCGACTTTATCGTCTTTAAATTGTGCGTCCTGTTAACTTGGAAAACATACTCGTAGTACGTTTCCAAAGCGTGTCAATAAACAGGCTACATCCCCTTTTGAGTTAGTTCATTCCGATGTCTGGAGTCCTTGTCGAGTCTCGTCCATTTTAGGGTTTCAGTATTTTGTTACGTTTATTGACGATTATTCTTGTTGCACTTGGTTATTTTTAATGAAAAGTCGTTCCGAATTACTTTCTATCTTTGAATCCTTTTGTGTTGAAATTAAGACACAATTTAATACTGTTATTCGTGTGTTTCGGAGTGATAATGCTCGTGAATATTTTTCTGCTCCCTTTACCAAATTCATGTCATCTCAGGGAATTCTCCATCAATCCTCTTGTGTTTATACTCCACAACAAAATAGAGTTGCTGCGCGTAAGAATAGACATTTGATTGAAACTGCTCGAACCCTGCTTTTACAATATCAAGTTCCTTTCCGGTTTTGGGCAGACGCTATGTTAACTACCTCTGTTTCTTGATTAATAGGATGCCTTTTTCTGTCCTACAAAACTAGGTCCCTCATTTTGTTTTGTTCCCTGATCAACCGTTACACTCTCTTCCTCCACGTATCTTTGGTTGCACATGTTTTGTCCATATCCTTTCCCTAGGCACCAACAAACTATCTGTCAAATCTATCAAGTGTATTTTCCTAGGACACTCAAGACTTCAAAAGGGTTATAAATGTTATTCTCCATCCACTCGTCAATACTTTCTCCTTTCTTTTCTACATCAGACAGTGATTCTATCACCACTGTCCTTCCTATACCCTTCATTGAGTCTACTTATGATCATCCTGTAGAGTCTATTACTATTCCTCCAAGTCCTACCCCTATGGGCGAGTCTCCTCCTCTCGGTAATGCTATTGTTCCGAGTACAACTACTGACACTGTTCTTGATGATGTTCCTAAGGCTCCTTTTCCTGATCCTCTTACGTCAGATTCCTCTCCTGCTGTGGTTCTACCTCCTAAAGACCAATTTCCCATTGCAATTCATAAAGGTATGCAGTCCACTCGCAACCCTCATCCGATCTATAATTTTCTTAGTTATCACCGCTTATCTCCATCATATTATGCTTTTGTGTCAACCATTTCTTCTGTCTATGTTCCTTCTAATGTTCGTGAGGCACTGACTGATCATAATAATACTTGGGAATTAGTTCCTTTGCCTCCCGGCCAATCGCCTGTTGGTTGTCGTTGGATTTATACTATCAAGGTTGGCCTAAATGGTCAGGTTGATCGACTGAAGGCACGGTTGGTTGCAAAATGGTATACTCAGACTTATGGGTTGGATTATTATGAGACCTTTTCTCCTATGGCTAAGATGTCTTCTATCCGCTTGTTTTTATCCATGATTGCTCTCCGCGACTGGCCTTTATACCAATTAGAAATTAAGAATGTATTTCTTCATAGTGAGCTTCAAGAAGAAATTTATATGGAGCAACCGCTTGACTTTGTTGCTTAGAGGAAGTCTGCCTTGGTATGTAAATTTCGTCGCTCTCTGTATGGTTTAAAACAGTCCCCTTGTGCCTGGTTTGGATGATTCAGTAATGTCATTCAAGAGTTTGGGATGATTCGATGTGAGTCTGATCACTCTGTTTTCTATAAACATAACTCATCAGGGCAATGCATATATCTGGTTGTCTATGTCGATGATACTGTTATTATGAGAAGTGATCAGGATGGCAGTAAATAGTTGAAGACACTTGTTCCACCACTTTCAGACCAAAGATTTGGGATTACTTAGATACTTCTTTGGTATCGAAATGGCTCAATCTAGCTCAAGTATTGTTATTTCTCAAAGGAAATATGCACTGGATATTTTGTAAGAAACAGGGATGTCTGACTGTAGACCGATAGACTCTCCTATGAATCCTAATTCAAAGCTCTCACCTGGACAAGGGCAGCCTCTTACTGGGAAATATCGAAAACTGATTGGTAAACTTAACTATCTCACCATTACACGACTTGATATTTCCTTCTCTGTCAGTGTTGTTAGTCAGTTTCTACAGTCTCCTTCTGACAGTCATTGGGATGCAGTTTCTACAATTCTCTAGATTTTTTTTTTATTTTTTTTATCTATCTAGAGAATTGACATTTGGAGTTAATTTTTTATCTATATTAATCCTTTTTTGTTGGAAGCTAAACATATCATTTGTGATCTATATTTGCTGGAAACTGTAATGCTGGAGCTGTAGTTTATTTTATTCTAATTGTAACAGTGCAGCAAAGTTTTACCAATATAATTGCTCCCTGTTGGTTGATAAGACAACCTTTTTTTCTTTTTACATCACTGAAATGGAAATCTTTTGTAAATCATAGAAAAATTGGAAAACCATGTGAGGCACTGTACTTTTTACATAACATTTCCATCTTTTTACTTCCTAAAGTTCTTAATTTATTATCTGAAATTCGTTACTGAATCTTTATGTTCTCCACACATTTTTGATGATAAACAAATCCCATTAAAAAACCAATGGAAAGGGGGATATAAAAATTGTGAACCAGCTGTTCGCTGGACCTGGAATGGACAGTCAAAGGGCAGACTATCTCCAAAAATTCTAACCCATGGAGAAAAACTGTTGTAATAGACTCTCCACACACACTTGAAATCATAACCACTGATATTAAACCTTGAGCAATGGATCAATCTGTTTAATATCAGTTTATCAATCTTATAACAAGAATAGCGTCTACTGAATCTAGGAAATACAATTATACAGGGTTCTATCAACCCCTGTTGTATGAATTTGCTTCTGTTATCTCTAGTTCCTTCAGTCGGAGGGCTTTCTAGTGCAAAATATTGGGTCTCTTTTCTCATGTCTTTTCTCTTTGAAAATTTCAGTGATCATGTGGATGTTGTTTTTGCTTTATCATATGTTATTGTTTCAGATTTGTAAAGTAGGAGATAAATATGAATCTCCAAATTCTGCCAAGTTAGATATTTAGTTCAAACATTGGCACATGATAATTATCTTCAAATAAAGTTTATCTCCTCAATGATTCATACTTTGTAAAAAAAAATGCATCTTTTACTTTTGAAGTTTGAATCAGCTAATAAGTTTGGTGGTAGATTCCAGAAGAACAAGCTTGGGACAATTAAATGTTGAAAAGCTCAGCAGGCCAAAGATAGTATGAAAAGAGAAACCAAAGTAATTCTAAGGTATCAACATTTACACTAAACTTGCACTATTTACTTAATATATATAAGATACCATAGATTTACTATGCACATGAGAATAAGTAATGACACAAAACAACAGGATAATAATAAATAAAAATATAAAAAAAACAATAATGAATTTTCTAAACCACAACCTTGAAGCAAGCACACAAAAACAACGAGGAAAATACTACAAACATCGATAATTTTTATATCCCAAGTTTGCAGCATATTGCACAAATAACAAAAACAAGGGGCTATGACCAAGTTTAATCATCAAATAAAATAACATTATTGCATATTTATTTATCTACTCAAGCTAGCTTATTTAACTTGATAAAATGAATTCGAATTTAAAAAATAAAATAAGACAGCTTAAGCATATACAGAAATATGTAATACTGTTACTTCAATTGATGACCAAATATGCTAATAAGCCCAGTGTTTTGGGTTGTCTGTGCAGTATGATACAATCAGTTTGAATTTCAAAAATCATCTAATCACAAATACAAACTAGTGAAAGCTCAATTGGACATTGTAATTTTTGTTGGTCCAAGATAAGACAATTGGTTTTAGTGTAGTTTTTCCCAACTAAAAATTATGACACTTATCTAACTTATAAACACACATAAATTTCAAAGAAGAGAATGAGCCAAATTTTTATAATATAAAACAAGTTCTGCAATAAAAATTTGAAAGACAAGTGATTTCAATAGATTCTGACCTTGTACACTGGATACACCGAGTCATGACAGTCTTCACCAAGGGTCCCAGATTCTTATCAACTACAGACCTTTTCATTTCAGTGAACCGGCCGCGATCAGATCCAAAGGCCATAGACTGATCTTGGAGATCACATTCTCCACCCTGGTCACAAATTGGACAATCCAAAGGATGATTCATCAACAAAAATTCCATCACCCCTTCCCGTGCCTTCTTAGCGATAGGTGTGTCCGTCTTAATTTTCATCCCTAAAACCCATAACACTCAAATAAATAAAACCCAGATATGAACAGAAACATAAAGATAATGATATTAAACCCATATTAAAAACTAAAACTCTTTAAAATCAAACCAACACACATATTCAACAACACCATCGTTTCAAAAACAATAACATCAAAACACCAATTAATTAAAAAAACCAACCAAACTCAAATGATAAATCATAAAAGCCAGAAATGAAACAGCATACATAAAAAAATAATTTATTGATCGACTGTGATGACAAATTATAACCCGTATCCTGATCCTAACATATAAATAAACTTAATTACATATAATCATATATTAGAGGAACTTATATAAGAAAAGATAAAACAAAAATTATAAAGCAATATCAAAAGAACCAAAATCGAACCCGGAAGAGCAGGCATGGCGCAAGAAGCAACAGGCTTGGGCGATTTCTCGACCTCAACGAGACACATGCGGCAATTTCCAGCAATCGATAGTCTACTGTGGTAACAAAATCTGGGAATATCAACGCCGGCGACTTCACAAGCTTGTAAAACAGTGAAGCCCTTGGGGATTTTGACCGGATACCCATCAACGAACACCTCGATCGCATCTTCAGGATTGGGGAAGTGAATCCGAGCCCCGCCAACGGGGGTTCGCGGCGGGAGATCAGGTTGGGCAGGGGCTTCGGCCGCCGCAGATTCCGGTGACTGGAGTTCAGGTTTAGTGACAATATAGCGCGCACACATTCTGAAATTGGAAGATTTGAGGGGTCTCATTGCCCTTGAAGCCAACAGCCCTAACCCCATTTTTGTTTCGTCTAGCTGGCTCAGTTGTTTTTCAGTCGAAGGAGTGAAACGTAAAGGGGTGTGGAGTTTCTGTTGCTAATTGCTAAAATTGTTTTTAAGTTTAGCCGACTTCTTTTTTTTTTGGTGGGCTTCAACTTATAATGGACTTGGCTATTCTTGTTTTGTTAAGTAGGCCCAATAAGGGTTTATTTAATGGGTTATTAATTAGTTTAGCCAAATATTGGGGCGTTATATTACTTATATAATTAACAACTTTTTCCCAACCTATACCTTTATAACCAACTTATTCATTTAAATACCAAACTACCCTTGTCACTAACCTCCCAACACTTAAAAAAAAAAAAAAAACATATTTCCTCCTAGTGTGATTTCCCTAGGTTAGCGTAATTTTTCCTTCGGTTAGCATGAAGAATCACCACAAACTAGGAAAATCACGTTAAGTGTCACAAAAACAAATCTAATCCAAATCAATCTAACCCTCAACACTTCTAAATGGAATCAATCACAACAACGCCTACAACATCCATAAAAATAAGAACAAACACATTAACGAGATTCACCAAAGTTTAAACCTTAATCCTAAACTCTTAACATTTATCTTAAATCATAACAATTTAAACTAGTAAATTCGGTTCATTCTCCCCTACAAAGAATTGGCCGAAAGTCATAATGTTGCAAGCAAAATGGTCACTTTAATCAATCTTTATCGTGATTAATGTTTGATAAGTGATTGGAGTTTGAAAATCCAAAACTCCAAAGAATTTTTTTTGAAAACAATATTGACCAGGGTTTATAGGGGGCTTTTTGATAGTTTGGGTTTATTATATTTCCATGGGACATTTGTAATTTTGGGGAGGTACCAATACTTTCCAAAACTCGTTGCAGCCCTTAAGACTTAGCTATCTTTGACTCTTTGGGGCGAATTAAATAAAAAAAAATTTAAAGAAAATTTTAAAAGTAATCTTTTAAAGGCAACTTTTTTTATTTTTATTTAAAGAATGATGCAAGTTTCGTTAGTGTGTATTAAGTTGCTAGTGTTTATAAAGTTGTAGGATATGGCATTGCAAATGTTTTGTAAATCATGAAGGTCAAAGATTTTAGTAATTGATTATCGGAGTTTTAAGTACTAAGGCTTCAAATTGTATTTTAAATTATTGTAATTAATTTATGATTTGTTTAAGAGGGATGACAGTTTTAAAGAGTTGTGTTGTGTGTGATTTTTCCACCATGCTCGAGAAGTTGCGAGGTAGTAGCTCGACCCAGAATCAGTTTGACTCTACCAGTTGTCCGACTCAGCATAAGCTCATCGAGATATAGCTTGATCCAACACAAGCTAGTCGCGAACAATCTGAATGATCATTCAATCAATTTCAAGATAATTCCATATCCCAAATATTACGGGAATGATCAAAATGACAGCAATCCTTGCGCAATCACAGTGCCTAATCGCGAGAATATGAGAGTTACATTTCAATTTAATTATAATCCCTTTAATTTCACTCTTGCTTCTTGTACAAACTTTGTATATAAACTCCCTCAAATGATGAAAAAGGGGTTAGGAAATTCTGATAGAATTTAGACTGTTAGCTCTCACAACAAATACAAAGAACAGTGGACGTAGGCTTAAGAGTTTATCTCGTCGAATCACTTTAAAAATCTCTATGTCATCTTCTTCTTTACATTAATTATTTGTTCATTGTTGATTATCCATAATCACGCACACACCAGTTCCAATCCCACCAAGATCAATCGAATCGCTCTAGTTGGTGTAGATTTCTATATCAACAAGTTAAAGGTTCATTCATAAGATCGGAAGTTGGGGGTGTGTGTGGATCGGTTTGGTTTTTTTCAAACCCAAATTGAACCAGGTTTGAATCACAATTTAACATTTGAATATAATAAAAATATAGGAAATGTTGTATGGGAAATGTTGTATAAAAATGATGTATGTGTAGTATTATTCAAAATATAGATACAAAATCATTTTAAGTCCAATAACCAAATATTCACAACCAAGGTTTTCACAGTCCAAACATAAGTTTAAAACCTACAAAGAAAAAAGAAATATTTGGAGCTATTTCTATTTTTAGGGTCGAGTACCTACAAAACACTCATTACACACATCAAACGACCAATTTTACAAGAAAATACAACATAAATAATAAGAATTTAAGTATAAATAAGGTGTTATCATTATCCCTTATTTATTTTAAATTCAATGAATCTAGACATGCTTAAGTCTAGATAAAACCCTACAAATTTCTCATATGCTGTTTGACACAATTTACGTGACCAATAGTGCACCTCTTTATTCATAATTCATTTTGCTATATTTTTTTTGTTAATTTTTTAGAAATACAAAAAAGGCCACCAAGTCACCAACAACACTTGTAGTTATATATTATGATATTATATTATTTGGCAAAATATTTATCTCTCAATTATCAATTTTATGGAGTCTTGAACTTTTGACATTGAGTATTTGTAAAACTATATCATAAAAATGTGAGACATTAATTACATTGTCATTTAAACACTATCATCGAAAATTATATTAAGTATGATATAATATAATATTTATATGTTATGTTATTGTGTATAAATCTCAATATGTTAACCCTCAACCCTAACCGAACCCATTTAATAAACGTGTTGAGTTTTAGAATTTGAACCCAACCCAAATATTATTCATTTCATGTGAGGTTGACATGTCAACGTGGTACTATATGTTATAAGTTACATGGTAAATGAAAATGCACCAGGCAACAGCCAATGTATTTTTTACATACCATGAGTTAAAGATTCGGGACACATGCATGTGAGACTTACCGTTTTGTGTGCATTTTCATCAAAATACTAAATTATAGATTCTTTATACATTTAATTTGATCTAGATTTACCTGTTTATGCGGATCTAAGGTTGCAAATAGCAATATATATATATATATAGAATTTAATATACTTAGCTATTGTTGTTATGTTTAAAAAAGTAAGGCTGATGCAAAGTCTTGTCAGCATAGGGTGGTCAGAACTTAGGAAGGTTCTGCGACTGTTCAAACATAGTCATGTCGCATAATGGCGTAAATGGCATGCCCTTGTTAGTGCAGTGGGTGAATGCAAGGTTGGCGGATGGTTGGAAATCGTCTACATGTCAAATCCCTGCATAAATAGAGGAAATCACTCGAGCAGGTGAACAATGGAACGCAAAGAAGGATTTGCACGGTACCCATTGAGTTACATATTTAGTAATCATTACCTTGATTCATCCCACTATAAATAGAAGTCTTCTCTCTCATTTGCGGGATTAACTAATTTCACTCTAGAATAGCATATTCTCTCTCTCTCTCTCTCTCTCTCTCTCTCTCTTGTATTCTCTGAGCTGTAACTCAACTCACTGAATGCGAACCTGACTTTACTCTCATTAATACAATATCAGTTGACGTAAGATTCGCCTTTGAGCATTCGAACTACTTTAAACACTGCTCTTCACCCTTTATTTAACTAAATACTCTCATATCACGTGTGACTTCTAAACCTACTTAACATTTCTCACGTATAAATAGTTAGTGTAGAAATCAATCATTGATAATTGTCATACAGATATTGCAAGCTGACTAAGTTGTCCAACCGATAATTAAATTGGTCAGTCCAGTTGTACTTTGAAAACGAATGTCTAAATTCACCGAGTGTTGACCTTGAGTAACCAGCCACATTATTTTTTTAATGGTTGGTCAGTCCAGTTGGACTTTGAAAACCAATGGCCCGAGTGAGTAACCTGCTACATTATTTTTTTAATGGTAGGTTTTGATGACATGAATGGCAAAGCACAATGATGCTTAACTAAGTTGAATCTAACTAGCTTCGTCTCTAAGAGAAACCATGGATTCCCCTCATGATAAACGTCCTATGTCTTTATCCACAAATCTCTTCTTCTTATTCCTTCTACTATCCACAAATCTCCTCACCTTGTTCCTTTCATCAACCTTTTACTCATCATGCTCCCTCTCAACCCCCACCACCACCCTTTCCTCCCATATCCCTCCACCTACTACCACTTCCAACCTTCCATCAGAGTTCCTTGCCTTCACTTCTGGCCAACTCCTCCCTTTCGGTTTCAACACTAACTTTGATTCCGACACCGTCTACCCTCCCGTTGGCAGCTCATGCACTCAATTCCCCAACGAACTCAATCCATATATGTCATATAAAGTCAACGGCTCATGCCCGGACGATGAGCTCCTCGCCCAAAAACTCCTCCTCAAGGGCTGCGAGCCCCTCCCCCGCCGCCGCTGCCGGCCCGCAGCACCGCCCTCTTACGTAGAACCCTACCCTCTCCCTACCAGCCTATGGACCACACCCTCCGATTCATCAGTCGTTTGGACAGCATACACATGCAAGAACTACAATTGTCTCATCAACAGACGCACACAAAAGGGTTTTGACGATTGTAAAGACTGTTTTGACCTTGAAGGCAGAGAGAAAACTCGTTGGTCATCAGATAAAAGCAGTAATGGAGGACTTGATTTCACCATTGATGAAGTATTGGCAACAAAGAAACCGGGCACCATTCGAATAGGGCTCGACATTGGCGGTGGCGTTGCCACTTTTGCGGTAAGAATGATGGCGAGGAACATCACAATCGTCACAAGTTCAATGAATTTGAACGGTCCTTTCAATAATTTTATTGCTTCAAGAGGGGTGGTGCCTTTGTATATAAGTATTTCACAGAGGCTTCCATTTTTTGATAACACATTGGATATTGTTCATTCTATGCACGTTTTGAGCAATTGGATTCCTACGACATTGTTACATTTTTTGATGTTTGATATATATAGAGTTCTGAGGCCAGGTGGGTTGTTCTGGTTGGACCATTTCTTCTGTGTGGGTGAGCAGTTGGAGGAGGTTTACACGCCGCTGATTGAAAGCATTGGATTCAACAAGTTGAAATGGGCGGTTGGGAGGAAGCTTGATCGAGGACCAGAGCTTCGAGAGATGTATCTTTCAGCTTTGCTGGAGAAGCCATTGAATAACTCTTATTAGAGATTAAATTCACAAGGTTTTTTATTTTTCTTAATGGCACGGTGATTTAATATATTACACAAAGTACGATAAAATCCTTAAATTTTGTGATAATATGTTCAAGATCATCGAGTACATGCTAGGGTCTGTAATGAGGACATCGGTTAAGGTTTTTCTAGTGAGGTCAACCCAGGCTGAGTTCAGTAGGCCTTTTGTAGTGAAGTCAATCCGGCCTGTTACAGCATATTGGGCCTCCATGGTCAAGTTAATCAATATTTTTTATATATATTCTTTTTAGATTTAGATTTATGATTATATTCTTTATAACTTTAATAACATATTTTTATAAAACAAAGAAATATATTGAACTAAAAAAAAAATTATTTCAATGATTTGGAAGATTTGGAGTTAGAGTTTATGATTAAGAATTAAAGGTTAAAGGTGAAAAGAAAAAAAGCATATGAATGTATTAGAAATTATTATGTCATTTCTAATAATTTTCATTAAGTTAAAATTTTCAAAATGAAGAATATTGATAGGGACTAAAATTCACTTCTTTTAGTCAGATTACACCAGTCACCACATATGATTGAACATATAGGAAAGAAAACAGGAAATAAATATTTAATATTCTATTGAACGTGACAGTTGACTGATATTTCATGTTCATTCTACCTGCTGTAGATATACATATGTTTTCCATAAAATAAAAGTTAGTCAATTTTCTTTAATACAATATCAATTTTACCGTTTCCAAATTAAGAAATATAAGAAATCATTGACAAAGTGAGATCAATTAAATAAAAACAATCACAGCAGGTAGAAATAAACCCAAAATTCTTTATGAATATAATGAATCCATGTCTTCAGAGTTTGAAATTACAATTTGAGATACTGTACAAAAAAGTATGTGAAAATTACAAAGTAAAACAAAATGATTCACAAAAGTATCTCAAAAGCCCAACAAAATGATTCACAAAAGTATCTCAAAAGCCCCATCTCCAAAATGACATGGGGCTGAGCTTATTATTAAGAATGATGATGAGATGCTGCAAATGAAGAAGTGCAGCAGCCAGCGCATACAAACAGCACAAAGTAAAACAATTGCAGCAGCCAGCGCATACAAACAGCACAAAGTAAAACAAAATGATTCACAAAAGCATCTCATCATCATTCTTAATAATAAGCTCAGCCCCATGTCCAAATTCAGATTCAGAAGCCAAAAACAAATCATTGGTGCTCTCAAACTCATACTCATACCGTGATTGAGTTGTTGTTGATGCTGCAAATGAAGAAGTGCAGCAGCCAGGGCATACAAACAGCAATGGCACTGTCTCTGAATCCTGAATCCCATGGCAGCGTGTGTGTTGCCAAACCTCACAAATGTCACATGCTACCATTCTTTCTCCATCATCATCTTCAGCCCCACATTCACATTTCACCTTCCAATTCTCATCTCCTCCTTCATACTTATACTTTGACTCCAAATCTATCCCATCTCCTCTCACACTAATTTCAGCACCCGACTCTATTGCTCCAAATACAACTTCTCCATCCTCCATTCCTGGAATGTTTTCGATATCTGTCACCACTAGTTTCTCCATGATGCAGTACGTATCTCTCAGTGCTGTTTGAACGGCTTTCTTCAGCTCCAGAATCGTCGCATGCAATGGAACCATTACCAGCTCCCCAGGTGTTAAATCGGATTTTTCGTCGATAGAATTTGGTATTATTTGGCACATAAATCTCAATACCTGGTCTTGTTCATCCTTAAAAGGCCATTCCTTTACAAAGTATTTGCTATCAAGAACTACTTGGCTTGCCAAACCCACCAGTTTCGATCCCGGGTAATTCAAAAGCACATTCCTGTACAAATACACAACTTCACTGCTAACATCAGCTCCATGCTCTATAGTTGGTGGTAGTAGGTGGTGTCTGAGTATTTCTGGTTCTGGCTCAAAGGCTTCAAGTTCTTCACCATTACCAAGCTCATGAATTGTGTATTCTAATAACCGAGTTCTTGGATTCACTGCACGATACACAATATGATCTCCAACAATTACATTGTTCATAGATTTCAATACATAATCAAGTAAACCAGTGTCCCCAATTTGCATCCTGGCTGCATCTCTTAATTCTTGTCGACTCATCCCACCGCGACCAAACTCCTCTGCTTTCTTTTCTAACAATGCATTCACAATCACTTTTGCTGAAGATTCTAGTCTTCTTGCAGACCATCTACTATCCATATTAGCAATCAAATTAGTAAACTTTCTGTAGTTTGAAGACTTATCCTTAACTAGAGACTTATTCCTCAGGGATGCCCTCATTGAAGGTTTTGAGATAGACAATGAAGGGGCATTGTTTGCCATGATTGGTTTCTTCTGAGTAGAAGTACAAGACTTGAAAGTTAACATAAACCTGAGAAGATCTTTCAGTGTGATCAATTGGGTTTCACTCATATCTCTGTAGCAGTGAATTATTTGCTTAATTTGTCTCCACTTATTGGTGTCTCGAAAATCTTGCATGATATTATCAAGTTCCAAAGAGCTAAGGATTTCAATTGCTCTGTTGTAATTGTGCTCTGCAACTCCAAAGCTTCCACGGTAGAATCTGTATCCCCATCTACCAAACCATGGATGCCCATATGCAACTCCATGGAGTAGGCGAAGATCCATGGACTTCTTCTTTGACACATCTTCAACGGTGATTTTCCTGCCATAAGTAACATTTGTTAATGTTCACAAACACAAAGAAACTCAATCAATATGGGAGTTTAGATTACCTGGCCTGAAGAATTGTACAAATTCGGTCCCAGAGGTCCATAATTTCTCTTCCACAAAGATACTTACAACCTCCTTCAATCCCATTAATGCAGAGCAAATGACCAAATCCATTACAATGAATTAAACCATGCAAGAGATGATTGTGTACACGGAAAACGTCATCCTTCAAATGCTTGTTCCAGTGATAATCATTTGGTATAATCACATGATACTTCCGTTTGGACACAAAGTGATTACTCCAACCTAACCACAACGAAACTTCAAATTCTCAATCAAACCAAAACAACAGCAAATCGAACACAGAATTGCAGAGTATTCACATCCAAAACTAAAACCCACAATCTAAAACACAAATACTAAGCCTAAGATCTCCAAATTAACACAAAACCCCATTTAGTAAATGAGTCCAAATATGAAAAGTAATAACAAACGAATGAAAAAAGGAAGAACCCACTTAGTAAATTCAAGAACAAAAAAATAGAGGGCTAACCGGTGCATTTGCAGTGATCACAAAAGGAGTGAGGAGAGTGCGCTACAGTGTCTTCAATGGTGTAAAGAGGGATAACAAAATTGGAGGACTCGTGAACAAGAAGAATACACCAAATGGGCATGCCTTCAACACTGTAGTCTTGAAGCTCACCACATTGTTGCAGAAAGAGACGAATATTATCACGAAAAGGACCCGTGGGAGTAATGGGGCAACCTGAGTCGCCAAAAGTGTGGAAGCCAAACAATTTCGGCGTTTTCTTTCTCTTCCGGAAGGATTCAAGAATTGGGATCGACATTCTTTAACCTAGTGAAGCTTCTTCTTTGAGTTGGAGTGTTTGATTCTTGAATTTGTTTTAGTTTTCTTTAACTGAATTTGTTGGGGATGTTAGGGTTTTCAGAAGGTTTGTTACAGAGTGTGGTTACTGGTTAGCCGTTGGGTTCTGGCAATTTTGCCCGCTCAAAATCAAATGAAGAAGGTTGGTGACGTGGACTTGCAAACAGTTTGTGAGTTTTTTCTTCAATTAAATATCTTTAAACTACTTTTGTTTAAATCAATAACTAAGTCATTTAGTCCTTTCCACTTTTACCCTTATTTTTACTTAATAATTTGGAACCTTATCAAAATTGAACTCCTGAAACTGATCTAATTTGGTTTTTCTATTATTTTTACTTAATAATTTAGAACTTTATCAAAATTGAACTCCTGAAACTGATCTAACTTGGTTTTTCTAGAAAAAAAGAAATAACTACATGTTCCCACCCAAGGTTTGGCGAAACAACACTTTTCCACAATTCAAGTTTCAAAATAACACTTTCCCATCATTCATTAGGTTATATTATGTTTTCTGTTAATATTTTACTGAAAAGATAAAAATACCCTTAAATATTTGACTTTATAAAATTTTTATTATTTTTTAATTAGCCAAAAAGTCAAATATTTAAAAAGTCAAAAAAGAAAAAATAATTAGCACCACCTAAAAAATTTAAGAGTAATACTATGAAATTGTTTAAAGTAAAGTGACTTTTATATTTGTTTATTTATAATATCATCAATATCTCATCATTATTATTCAATAACCTACTAAATTTATAATGTTTTTCATAACATAATGTTTTCATTTTTACTAATTAACATAGAAAATCGATATTCCTAATTAATTAAATAAACAAAGGAAAAATAAGATATCTATACACTTAAACTAATAAATAATCGAGTAAAAACTTTCACTTAACTAAATTTTAATTTATAATAAACTATTTAAGGGTGTTTTTGTCTTTTTAGTCAAACACTAACTGAATATGACAAATAGTGGAAAAGTGTTATTTTGAAACTTGACAGGTGGGAAAGTGTCGTTTTGCCGAACCTTAGGTGGGAAAATGTGGTTCTCTCCCCCCCCCCCAAAAAAAAAAAAAAAAAAAAAGATTTGTAAATAAAAGATTTGACACATTGTTGTGGAAGGGAGATCATCATCCATTAAATTAAAATCAAAAGTCATCAGCAAGTGTATATAATAGAGTAATACTATACATACATCATTTTCACACAACATTATGTAGCAAGATATGATTAGCTAATTTAAAGTTAAAATTAAACGTCACTCAATCATATCTTGCCACATAATGTTGTATGAGAATGATGTATGTGTAGTATTATTCGTATATAATATCAATAACACTACACAAACATCACTCCCTTACAGCATCCCCTTACAACATGACATGGCAGCTGACGTGGCAAATGCCACCTCATCTGCCACCTCATCCAGATGTCATGTCATTTCCCTCCAAAAATTTTAAAAAAAAAAAATTTCTTATAATCACAAATTCCAAATTTTATCTTTCCGGAATCCAAATCCTAAATCAATTTCATTTTCACTCAAATTCGAACCCTAAAGTTTTTCCCAGATTTCCTTTCAATTTTTAGAACCCTAGCCACCATATTCCCCAATCTCAGGCAAAACGTAGTCGCCACCACAACCGCACTAGGTCGACCTCTGCACCAGCTCCGTTGGGTATTCATCTATCAGGTCTATAGAATTTCGACCACCTTGATTGTGTTGACCACTCTGGTTTCCTCCATCACCTTCTCTACTCTTCCATCAACGACCTCCTGAGGAGCAATTTTGGCCTTCTCACTTTTCCTCTCACTGCTCCCTTTCATCCATATGTCCATCATATCCCTTATTTCTCTCTCTGTCTCTATCTCTTTTATTTTCTTAATTTTGATAGGATTAAGAAAATAAAAGAGACAATAAAAAATGAGTGGCGAAAGACTACAGCTTCTCAAATTCACAAAGTGGAGAAAGACTTTCTCCCTTTCCTCTCACTGCTCCCTTTCATCCGTATGTCCATCATATCCCTTATTTCTCTCTCTATCTCTGTCTCTTTTTTTTTCTTAATTCTGATAGGATTAAGAAAATAAAATAGACAGTCAAAAATGAGTGGCAAAAGACTGCAGCTTCTCAAATTCACAGAGTGTAGAAAGACTTTCTCCCTTTCCTCTCACTGCTGCAGTCTTTCGCCACTCACAGTTTGTCTCTGTCTCTTTTATTTTCTTAATTGTGAATTTCAAAATTTGTCTCCACCTCATTTTTTACTGTGAGAAATATTGCACAAATCAGAATTTGTGCAGTCATTTGTGCAGTCTTTCTCACAGTAAAAAATGAGGTGGGCACAAATTTTGAAATGAATTTGTGCAGTCTTTCTCCATTTTGTGAATTTGAGAAGCTGCAAAAAAGTTGTTGTTTAGGACGGAGCTAATTTGTGCAGTCTTACGCCACTGGATGGAATACAGGAATAACATGCTTATTGATTCGTTTGGAGTTTGGAATGGATGGCAACATGTTCGTGCTTTCCCGTTTTCATTACTCCTTTTTTTCAAATTGAACTTCATTCCCTTAAGAGTTTAACGAAATTTATGATATGATAATGCATTTGGACCGTTGATATTAATATGCAATTTTATGCTACTTTTTCTTGTGATTTGAATTACTCTCGCAATGAATGAATGGGAGCTAATTGGAGTAAGTTGATGATGGGTACGGTAGATAGCATGCATGCATGTTTGTGACATATATGAAAACAGGAAAGCACGAACATATTGAGTGAACTATTTTTGTTTATTTAGCTAATTATAGGTTTTATTTTTTGAAGCAGATTTTTAGTACTAACCGAATTTTTTATTAACTCTGCCACCACCACCAACCTCAACCGCACCACGACTACTCCCAACCACACCACCATCGTAAACTGTCATCATTTGCTCTTCTTCTTCCACCACCACTCTCAAAGATGGAAGAGTGCAGTCAAAAAATTCAGAGAACTATTCTGCTCAATTCAATGTCATAGAGGTAATTTAGTCTTTGCAATCTCTTTTTATTCGTTAATATGAATTTAATTTAATTTAATATTATTTATACCCTTTTTTAAGTATGATTATATTCTAATTCTGGTTATTATAATATCAATAAATTAGGATAATCACTTTCAAGAAATAGAAGATACAAGAAACGCAGAAGAGGATTGGGAGCCTAAGCTTGGAATGGTTTTTGATTCATTTGATGAGCTTTTACAATACTACAAAAGCTATGGGAGCAAAAGAGGTTTTGAAGCTATTATAAGATCTTCAAGGAAAGGAGATGATGGAGAGTTGAGATATGCAACCTTGGCTTGTTCTTGTAGCGGGAAGTGGAACAGTAACTCTAGAAATGCCTTTAAAATGCATCCGGTGACAAAAACTGATTGTAAGGCTCACATTACTGCATCTCTACATTCTAATGGAAAATGGAAAATATTGTCAATTGTCATTGATCATAACCATGAACTTAGTAGTCCTGGAAAAACAAGATATTTTAAGAGCAATCGAATTATACAACCGTATGTGAAAAGGAAGATTGAATTGAATGACAAGGCTGGAATTAGACCAAACAAGAACTTCAATTCCTTGTTAGTTGAAGCTGGTAGTGGTGAGAATTTGCCTTTCCTACAAAAAGATTGTAGAAACTACATTGAAAAAGTTAGGAGGCTACGACTTGGTCTTGGAGATGCTTCTGCAATCCAAAAATATTTTCTGAAAATGCAAAATGAGAATTTAAATTTCTTCTACATAATGGATGTAGATGAAGATGGTCGATTAAAGAATATTTTATGGGTGGACGCAGGAAGTAGGGCTGCATTTAAAGAATTTGGTGACGTTGTGACATTCGACACTACATATTTGACTAACAAGTATGATATGCCATTTGGTGCTTTTGTCGGAGTTGATCATCATGACCATTCGATACTGTTAGGTTGTGGGTTAATCTCCAATGAGGACACAGAGACGTTTGTTTGGCTATTTCAATCTTGGCTTGTATGTATGTTGAATTGTGCTCTCAAGACAATAATCACTGATCAAGATAAGACAATGCAAAATGCAATCGAGATTGTGTTCCCTAGCACACGACATAGATGGTGTTTGTGGCATATAATGAAAGTTAAGAGGTTATAGTCAATATGAATGTATTAAATTTTCTTTACAAAATGTCGTGTATGATTCATTGACAGGTGAGGAGTTTGAAGAACGGTGGAATATGTTCATTGATAAATACAACCTTCATGATAATGGTTGGTTGCTCGGATTGTATAATGAAAGACGACGTTGGGTGCCGGCTTTAGTTAAAGACACTTTCTGGGTAGGTATGTCTACTACTCAACACAGTGAAAGTATGCATGCATTCTTTAATGGATATGTTAATTCAAAAACCACTTTAAAACAGTTTGTGGAGCAATATGAGAATGCATAGCGGGATAAAGTAGAAAAAGAAAGGGCGGCTGATTTTAAATCTTTTAGATTATGGATCCCTTGCATAACGACTTATGCTATTGAGAAACAATTTCAAGATTCTTATACCATTGTGAAATTCAAAGAGTTTCAACGAGAACTAGCGGCTAAGATCTATTGTGATTTATCTTCTTTCAAAGAGACTGATTCCTGTATGGAATTTATAATAGAAGAAGATGTTGTGGTTGGAGAGACTCACCGTCGTGTTCCTTTTGTGGTTTGCTTTGATGAAGCAACTTGTGACGTTCGATGCAATTGTCGATTGTTTGAGTTTAGAGGAATTTTATGTTAGCATGCAATTATGGTGTTGATTCGTAGGCAAACTTATAATGTACCAGAAAAGTACATTTTAAAGCGGTGGAGTAAAAATATAAACAGATGTCATACCAAGCATACCAAGGTTAGGATAAGTTACAATAGTTGGAGCACCACCCTTGAAGGACAACGATTTGATCAGATGTGTAATTTATTCTCTACGGTAGCAGATTCGACATCAAGCAATGAGGATGATTGTAATATGGTGATAGAAATGATCAACGATATGAAGAACAAATTGACGTCGAATAAAAGTGTTGGTGGGATTGGTAAAAGACTAAATGTGTCAACTAGTAGTAGAACGAATTGTGAAGGTGTTGATGATACTACTAAAGAGGGGAGCAGTAACATTCTTACTCCATGGGCTATGCGAAGCAAAGGTCGTCCTCCATTAAAAAGAAAGCAATTAAAGCTTGAACAAATTGTTCGTAAAGTAAAAGAGAAGAAATTGCGAAAGCAATAAATTGATGAAAAAAGCTTGAAGGTGAAAATTTAGTAATTATCAATTTTGTTGCCTATTTTATTATTCTTTTTTTCTATTTATTGATAACTAACACAACTTGTGTTATATGATTGTAGGAATGCTAGATTATGGTGGTCTTTGGTGCTGTGTAGTGTTTTTGCTTTGTAGGTAGGATGCATGAGCCTATTTTTTGATGGCTTTTGTTGGCTCCTTTTGTATAGAGTTGATAGGGTCTATTGTGTATAGGAATTGTTTATCCTTCCTTGCCCTTTTCTTTTTTGTTTCATTCTCCATGGGCATATCTATTGTGTAAAAGGATTGTTTATCCTTCCTTGCCCTTTCTTTTTTGTTTCATTCTCCTTGGGTATGCCTAAGGTGATTGCTCTTAAGGGGAGTCCCCTTTGTTGACTATTATTCTTTTATTCCTTATAAAATTACCAGGATTACCAAAACAAAAAAAACAAAAAAAGTTAAGCAATGTATTTGATTTTGTTAAATGTTCAATGTGGATCTTGATTCTTATTTTGTTTTTTGTTTTTTTTTTTCTTTGATTTGTGATGCTGTAATTATGGGGTTATGGCCTGCAATTGCCTGATCTTTTGGAGTTGACTGATCTTGGATTTTGTTAAATGTTTAATGTTCAAGTATTGATCTTGTGGGGCAGGTAAGTTATTTATTACTGTGTTGATGCTTAAGTTGATGTTTCATTGTTCTTCATAATTTTGACATTTCGAACAAGACTTTCAGGTTCCAATGCCTTTGCATGTGCATTCCTAGGTTTACAAAGTCAGACATTTGGTCAAAGTGGAAGTCAAGCCAGATTTTGTCCTTAGTGCTGAGAAGGAACTTGGTATCATTGCTGGTCTTCAAGATTGAGTGGCACAAGTCTATGGTGGCCTTGTTTACATGGTATGTGATGTTCATGCATATATGTTCAAATGCTCATAAATCTGATGCATGTCTTTTTATTTATAATCTGATGCATATATGTTCAGTGCTGAGAAGGAATTCTAGTTTTCCATGTATTTTCTTTTCTATTTATAATCTGATGCATGTCTTTTTTCTATTTATAATCTGATGGTTGTCTTTTTTCTGTTGCAGTCTTTCTCAGTTTGCTGGGTGGGAAGCTTGGGCAGTTTCTGCTGCAGCTGTAAAATTTGAGAAGTTGCAATCTTTCTCCAGTTTGTGCAGAATTTGAAAAAATCAGAATTTGTGCAGTTTTTCTCCACTTTGTGAATTTGAGAAGCTGCAGAAAAGTTGTTGTTTAGGATGTTAGGATGGAGCTTGTTAAATTGGACTTATTGTTTAGGATGTTAGGATGGAATAGGTTGTTTAGGATGAAACTGGAGAAAAAATCAGTTGTGGAGATATCATGAACTTTTATTTTCTTTCATGTGAATAAATATGGTTTTCATGTATTTGCACATGATCAGTAATACAATTCACATTTGTTTTTTCTATTTGTTCTTTTTTGTGCCAAAGATAAGCCAGCTCTTCCTCTAGAAACTGTGATGGTAGAAATAATGTATCATCTGCTTTTAGTTAATTGCAAACATTAAAAATCCAGGTTTCTTTTTTTTTTTTTTTTAGGTAAACCTGTTAATTTTATTAAAAAATAAAAGATTTACATCCTAAAAATCGCACTTCCTTTTACACAGGCAAGGACCTTGGACATGCCCAAGAGACCAAACTACACAAAAAGAAACAAGAGCAACCAAGTATATACAATCCTTATACACAAATAGTAAGACTACACAAGACAACCAAACTGAAGCCTTCACGCAGAAACTGCAGAAAATGCAGCAATCACGCTGCACCTCCATACATACCACTATCCAGATCACTACTTCAATTCAAGCACACACCACCCTGCACATACTGCCCAAGACTCCTGGAAACTGCATAAACAAACTACAACCTGCACACCTACTCAATCTACACAGTGCAAAAACTACAACATGCCCAGGCTTCTTATCCAATACCCACCAATCTACACCAGCTGCACAGAAATCATGGCCTCACATAAAATGCAGAAATCTAAAGCAACAATGCATAGCCACAGTAACTACCTGACAATCCAGCTGAAGCTTGGGCTGCCTCCATTACCTATTGAGACCAAACCAATTATATTAAGAACTATCACAAGCTTTAAAGTAACAATTCTAAAATCTAAGCTCCATGCAAATGTTCAAAAAGATGTTGACAGACATACCAGCTGCAAATTTAAAGCAAAAGAAACACAATGATGCATTTTTTATTGGGATCAAGTCTCAATAAACAAGTTATGCGGTTTAAAAACAATAACAATATACAGTTTAAAAATGAAAAATAAAAAATAAATGCTTCAGTATAGAGATTTATATATTTAATAAATAGTCCCCACCTTGGCTTAGCCTTCTAGCTCAAATCCATCATTATGATGAACTGTGAGTTTCTTAGATCACAATTAATCATAATTAGTCAAGCATTTTGCTGCTTCACTAATTCCTTACATTTGTTTCTATCTCCTTGATAGACTTGAATGCTACAGGCAAAAGTCAATATCGTATTCTTTAATGAGATTACCCGAAGCCATAATATTGAACAAGATTTTACCCTTCGACTTTCTAAGCATATCAAGAAGTCTATGACAACAGAAGAAAATAAATATGAAGCAAATGACATCCCCATAAGTTCAACTATTGAGGCAAATCATGGAAAGTTGAATTCATCAGATAGCACCGACTAACTAGTAACTAAACCAATCAGCATGCAGCAAAAAACATATCCAGTGACTAACATTTAGGTTAGCAATAATTCAATAAAAAATCAGAAATAAATACCTGCACACCACCACCTAGACCATTTGTTTCTATATCATTGCTGGTTATCTGATTCACATCATCAAGCTTCGAATCAAGCTCAGGTTTATCATTTTTCTGATGGGTATCAGTGGCAGGTGGGTTTTCCCCATCTTCATTTATTTGCTTTTCCTATATTTATTCATATAAACTTCAATATCAATTAACGAAACACAAACATTTGATAAAGGAGTATGCTTTGTAGGGCCAAAACCAAGCCCCAAGACCAAATTCAAAATAGTTGCTTAAAAAAACAATAACCATACAAATGCATTTCATCTACATCGAATCTTAACAAAAAAAATTTGAACATTCAAAGAAAAAATCACCTTATCATTATTGCTATTTGGTTCTCTATCTGTCCTAGTTACTCTACAAACAATCTCTTTCTTCTTCCTGCAAAATATACATTAAACATAGTACTTCATTACTTGGGAAACCAAAAAAATAAATAAATTAAGAAACAAAACAAACTAAAAATGTTACCTTGAAAAAAACTTACAAAACGACAGCGTTCCACGCGAGGAACATGTAAAGAAGCTAAAAATGGTTGAAGACGAACATGGCAGCAAGAACTACACTGGCAGCAAACTCAAGTTCCCGCGAAAACTTGCTGTGAAATTCGCGTTTCTAATTGAAAAACCAAAAGCTTTAGTTGGATTGAAGCAACATTGAAAAGCTCGGAGATCTTAAGGTTTTCGGGTGTAAATTTGGAGATTTTTTTTAAATCTTATCTTGACACTGGACAACATTTCGAGAGTCCATGAAGATAAGGGGGAGAGGACGAGCTAGAAGGGAAAGAGGGCTCAAGTGGTGGCAGGAGAGGCCGCGAGAGAGAGAGGAAAGGATATTTGAACTTTAGGGTTTGCAAATGAATTTTGGGATTAAGATTTGATTCATGGGTAACGCTAAATTTTGAAATTTAGGGTTAGAGAAATTTTTTTTTTTTTTTTTTTTTTTTTGGGAGTGACTTGGCATCTGGATGACGTGGCAGATGAGGTGGCATCTGCCACGTCAGCTGCCATGTCATGTTGTAAGGGGCTGTTGTAAGGGAGTGATGTTTGTGTAGTGTTATATGTAGATTAAATTTATGAGGACTGCTGTTTGACTCTTAGAGTTAACTGGTTACTTGGTAAACCCATTAAATTTATGAGCTATTTTAGTGTAAAATGATAATTGATTGTTTCCACTTTTAGATATTAAGAATATTTATTTTATCTAAAATTCTTTAATAACACTACTTATGTAAATTCATTCAATCATACTAAATAACAGTGTTATTTAATAGATGAGTATACAATAGATAAGTATACATTCTGTTACGCCTAAAAAATCACACTGATGTCAGCACAACAAGTGCCTAAAAGACAAAGTGTACTAGCTGTCAAGCCCATACCGCCTCAAAGATATTTCATACCAACTCTATCTCATTTTAAGATAAGGACGAATGAGAGCTCTTCATGTGTCAAGACAACTTGCAAAAACACTCATTACATTGACCTCAAAGGTGTATAAATTGACACCTCTCTTCACGAAAAGAGGATGTTGGGCAGATGAGAGCTAGGCATAAATTTGAGCTTTATTATTGTTCTCTGTAAACAACTTATTTCTCCATCTTTGTACGCCTTACAGGCAATATCATAGAAATAGTCAGAGAATAATAAAATAACAGTGGACGTAGGATTCGCTTCGAGCATCCGAACCACTTTAAAAATCATCTCCCTTTTATTTACTTCATTTCCAGTTCCCGTGTAATTTCTAGGTCTGCTTAGCACTTTGCACATGCAAATAGTTAGTGTCAAAATCAAGTATCAACAGTTTGGCACTAGAGTCAAGGCATGATTCATATAAGCTCTCCATGTTTTTCCAGCAAGCCTCAAAATCTTCACGTCATCTGATGTGGAAATCTGAGCAGGATAAAGTCTAAATCTGGCAATGTGATAACGCAAAAGTTGTAGCCCTTCAAGTTAGCTTTTCGATGGTCTAAAAATCATCCCAATCTAAGGTCTAAAACTTAAGTTATCGTTAAAATACTAAAGCTTGCTCTGCATCAAAGCTCTCCGATCACGTGGCTAGATCACAGATCGTACACTCAGATCGCGCATTCAAGATCATTGAGATCACTCGCTCAGATAGCAGATCACACACTCAGATCATCTAAATCGCGTGTTCAAGATTGTTGAGATCATGCACTTAGATCATCCAGATCGCACGTTCAAGATCATTGAGATCACGCGTTCAGATCATTTAGATCATATGGCCAGATCGCAGATCGCACGCATCAGAGCTCTCCGATCGTAGATTGCACGCATCGGAGCTCTCCGATCGCATGGCCAGATCGTAAATCACACACTCAAACCGCTCTGATCTTCAACTTTAGATCTCTGATCTTTTGCTCTCCAATCGCATGGTCAGATCACTGATCTTCAGCTCTCAAATCGCGTGGTTAGATCGTAGAACGCACGCATTAGAGCTCTCGAATTGCATGGTTAGATCGTAGATCGCATGCTTAGATCGTTCTGATCTTCAACTCTCAGATAGTGTGACCAGATTGTAGATCACACACATCAGAGCTCTCTGACCATGTGGCTAGATCGTAGATCACATGCTCTGATCTTCAACTTCAGATCACTAATCTTTAGCTCTCCAATCGCGTGGTCAGATCGCCGATCGTACGTTCAGATCGCTGATCTTCAGCTTTCAAATCACATGGTCAGATCGCAGAACACACGCATTAGAGCTCTCGGATCGCATGGTCAGATCACCGATCACACGCTCAGATCGCCAGATTGCAGAACGCACGCTCATATCGCTTTGATCTTTAGCTTCATATCGCTGATCTTTAGCTCTCCAATCGTGTGGTCATATCACCGATCGCACGCTCAAAACGCTGATTTTCAACTCTCGGATTGTGTGGTCAGATCGCAGATTGCTCTAATATTCAGCTTCAGATCACTGATCTTTAGCTTCATATCGCGTGGCTAGATCGTAGATCGTACAGTCGGATTGCTTCGATCACGTGACCAAATCACTCTGATCTTTAGCTTTAGATCGCCGATCTTTAGCTTTAGATCGCCGATCTTTAGCTCTCCAATCGCGTGGTCAGATCGTCGATCGCACGCTCAGATCGCTAATCTTCAACTCTTAGATTGCGTAGTTAGATCGCAAAACGGCCGCATCAGAGCTCTTGGATTGCATGGTCAGATCGCAGATCGCACGCTCAAATCGCTCTAATCTTTAGCTCTCAGATCGTGTGGCCAGATCGCAGATCGCACGCTCAGATCACTCCAATCACGTGGCCAGATCGCACACTCAGATAATCCAGATCACGCGTTCAAGATTGTTCAGATCACACGTTCAGATCACTTAGATCGCACTTCCGAGCGGCCAGATCGCGCTTCCGAGCGCTTAGATCACTGATCTTGTGTTCTCAGATCAAGCTTCGCGCTTTCTAATCGAACTTCTTGTGTTCTTAGATCAAGCTTCGCGCTTTCTAATCGAACTTCTTGTGTTCTTAGATCAAGCTTCACGCTTTCTTATTGAACTCCTTCTGTTTTTTTATTGAACTCCTTAAACTCTTAGATTGCAAAGAGCTCTCGAGTTCTCAGATTGAGCTCTTCATACTCTCTGATCGAGCTCCTTATGATCTCCAATCGAGCTCCTTATGATCTCTGATCGAGCTCCCTATGATCTCAAACTGAGCTCCCTATGATCTCAAACTGAGCTCCCTATGATCTCAGATCGAGCTCTTCATGCTCTCAGATCGAGCTCTTCATGCTCTCAGATTGAGCTCTTCATGCTCTTTGATTGAGCTCCTTATGATCTCAGAACGAGCTCTTCATGCTCTCTAATCGAGCTCCTTATGATCTCAAATCGAGCTCCTTATGATCTCAAATCGAGCTCTTTATGCTCTCTAATCAAGATCCTAGCTCTCAAATCGTGATCAGCTCTTAATTTTGAGATTGTGAAAAGCCTCAGGTCGTGTTCTTAGTTCTCAGATCGCGACTAGTTCTCAGTTCTCAGATCGCGACCAACTACCAGCGTAAGAAAAAACGCGTAGCAAACTCAAAACATGCCGAAACGGTGGATTTTGGTCCCAAAAATGGTCCCAACTGGGTTCCCCAATTGCCACGACATAGAGCTTGGAACGAGCTTTCCGTGGATATCTTACGAGCTCCAAAACTCCTCCCGGATCAAAAGTTATTGTTGTTTTAAGTTGGCTTGTCTATTTAAGGCCTCTAAGCAGTGCGTTTGGGCTTCTGACGTCAACTCTCTTCATGAATTCATGTACTAGACATTTTATGTCAATTATCAAATCGCGCTTAGCTTCGGATCGTTCCAAGCACTCAGATCGCATTCCTAGCTCTTAGTACCAGATCGCGCTAGGCATAGTTCGAGCTCTTCAGTTCAAGATTGTAGCCTATAGCGCGACAGCCATTCAGAACTAAGACATGAGTTTTTGAAGTGTGATTACGCACTCCAAAATTGGGGGGTTCTGTTATGCCTAAAAAAGCACACTAATGTTAGCTCAACAAGTGCCTAAAAGACAAAGTGTACTAACTGTCAAGCCCATACCGCCTCAAAGATATTTTATACCAACCCTATCTCATTTTAAGATAAGGACGAATGAGAGCTCTCCATATATCAAGGCAACTTGCAAAAGCACTCATTATATTGACCTCAAATGTGTATAAATTGGCACCTCTCTTCACGAAAAGAGGAAACTAGGCAGATGAGAGCTAGACATAGATTTGAGCTTTATTATATTCCTCTGTAAACAAAATATTTCTCCATCTTTGTACACCTTATAGACAATATCATAGAAATAGTCAGAGAATAATAAAATAACAGTGGACGTAGGATTCACTTTGGGCATCCGAACCATTTTAAAATTCGTCTCTCTTTTATTTACTTTATTTTCAATTCACATGTAATTTCTAGGTCTACTTAACACTTTGCACATGCGAATAGTTAATGTTAAAATCAAGCATCAACACATTTATTCATAGTATAATTTTTTTTCTTTTGGTTAAATGTTTGATCATCAATGGATTATTCAGGTAATTAGCAAAAGCTTAATTGTAGTAAAGACAATAATTTTGTCCTTTCGCTCGCATACAAAAATTTCTTAGAAACTTTGTCTTATATTATCGATATTAGATTAAGTTCTTTTTATTATTGAATCAAACTTAAGAAGAATAGTAAATTTCCTTATAGGATGTATTGCATATCAACATCGATATTGTCCAAGTAAAATGGTCAAAGCACGTGCCTACACCCATTGACATTGTCACCAAGAAATCCTCCAATTAAGCTGAAAATTGGGTCAAGCTCCCTTAATTACTCTACTTTGATTAAAAAATTGAAAACACAAACTAATTGGAAATGCCCACGTCGTTTCATATCAAATGCTTGGAGCATCATTTTCCACTTGGAACTTGGAAGTCAATTTTTGTTGGCTTGACATGAGATTCTTCAGAACTTGATTAACACGCAATGAATATTATATATATATATATACACAGTATTGTCATTCCATTTGAAGTTGAAGAAACATTAAGGTATGATGAATCTGAAGCAAGTCATGATTGTGTGTTCATCTGTTCCCCTTTTGGGATGTGTAGTGGCTTCTTTAGTTCAGTTTTTCACATCTGATCAAGAAGAGGAAAATAAAATTGATGACACGCCTTCTACTAGTGCAGTAGCTCAGAAACATTTGAGGCAACTTCAAAACATAAGAACCTCTTGACTTATTTTGTGTAAGTTACGTAGTTAGTTTCAGTTTATAAAAACTGATAAATCTTTCTGTGGTTTGCAATTTTGTAGTTTGGTTGTGGCTCAATTAGATGGATGGACGGAATTTGATTAGTGTTTACATATATATAAATAATCTTGGATTTTTGTTATTGCTTTCGATTCCAAAATGAACTTATGTCTGTTCTTCTTGTATCCAACATGAAGTAAATTTATTCTAGTCTGTAGAGAAAGATAAGCTGCAGCCTGCAAATTGATTGCAGCTTTAACACAAAACCCACTAAATAAATAACTCCAAAATTAAGCAATTGACCCAGACCCAGAGTATTCAATTTTGCATGTTTTATTTTGTATCTTGGGTTTACAATTTAGTTCACTATTGTCATGATAAAACCCACAAAGCATAAAAGCAAATGCACAAATAGAGAACAACACATGTGCAAGGACCTGAATCCAATCATAAAAGTCAATTGCATCCTTGACAAATTAATTCTGAAAACTGAAAACAATAAATTTTATATTAAAGCCAATGAGAAATGGAACGGGTACAATAAGATACAAGCAAATTTGGAAAACAAATGAAGCTAAAATTTTACAATATACAACAACAGACAATGTTCTTACTTAATGTGTTTCACTCACTAAGTACAGCTTTTGGCTATCACTAATCATATCTACATCGATAATTTTACCTGCATCTTCTGATAATATACAACAATCACTTGGAAAACCTAGCTGCTCTGCAGCGGATTTTATAAGCTCTTCAATGGTATGCGGAATCCATAACATAATTCCATGTCTTCTATGCACACTAGTATCCCATGGGTGGAAAGGGTACACAGTGCATTTCCTCAGCAGTTTTTTGTCTGCAGTAGTCAACAGAGATTCTATTATATACTTCCAAAGTCGCAAGATCAGGCACACAACTAAAAGAAACTACTGAAACAAGCTGTCTTACGTAATCTTACAAATAAAAACTTGCAATGCTGGTTCATGGCAAATTCCTAAATACCTTTTGTTAATACTAAAAAATCCTCTAATTTCCTTATGAATGGACTAAATTAGAAATTACGTCTACTTACTGTGAGACCTTGCAACTTTGATCTTCAAAAAGTTGTTAATCTTCTAAGAAGCTAGCTCCAACTGGGAGTTTGAACTACTAACCTCTTGGTTGGAACCAAATGTTGTAACTACTCAACCCAACCACTGGGATTTTTTTCCGATTGCCACATAACCAAAAACTATCAAAATAAACTGTTCATTGATCATGTAACTATGAGGGTCCAGATATAAAATTAAAAGGTGAAATTACAAGGAAGTGACACAGGAAAGAAGAAAGAAATGGAGAGGAGCGAAAGCACCCAGGAGGGATTAGAAAGGTTAGAAAATCAAAGAGAATGAGAAGAAAATCCCAATTTCATTAGTTTAATATCAATCAAGTTTCTTAAAAAAAAAAAAAAAAAAATCTAGCTCAGGTAATCCAATCAACCTTACCCACAAAATCAATACCTACTCAAATAAGTAAAAATAAAAATTCCTAAACTAAAATATTAACTGAATATTCCATATATAATTCTGCATCTGGAAGATTTTAATCAGCGCAAAGAGTAGGCCTATATGAGGCCCTATTCAGACACAAGTGTGCCACATTATACAAAGAAACATAGTAGTATTGCCATTTCACCCAAAAATAACAAAAGAAATATTACTATATCCCCGACTTCTTGAAATATTGAATCAGTCCTGTAGATTCTATGTTTTGGTTAATATCCGCAATATGACTTATTTACTCTTAGCAAAACAAATACACTCCTGCTCCAAACTCAGGTGCAAACTAGGTGAAAATATTCTAACCAATATTGAGCAGATATATATTTGCTTGACCAAGTCAAAAGAGGGAAGAGAACATTGCTCTTCAAAATCCCTGCAAGGTCATGTGCAGAAACTCCCTCCTTTACTTGATGTGACCAGATGTAATTAGTGAAACAACATTGCACATTGAAGTGAAGTTTAAAACATACGGTGTCCCGCAAACTTTCATTATCATTTTATTTGTAACATATTTGTCTAGACAACTATGTTTTAAAGCAAAAATAGTTTGGCAAGCATTTCCAGGGAGATCTTTTATGCAATTCAAAGTTCAATCCACAAAATAGAAGCATTTAATAGAGGTTTGGATGCAATACCTAGCATGCCTTCAGAGCGATGAGGAAATTCTGACAACTGAGAGGATTTTGCATCTTCCAGTAGCTTGATCAAATTCTTGTTTCCGCACCTCCGACCTTCATCAAGAGGGGTGCTCCCCCATCTGCACAGTTCAGATATCCGAACAACATAGTCATTGGAATAATACAAGATATTATTAAATGTGAATGAAAGTTTTTCTTTTCTCAGTTGTCAAAGGTGAATAAGATACAAATCTTTCTCTTTCTCTCTCCCTCTCTCCCTCCCCTCACATTAGAATATATTAGAACACCAAGATGTCATGTCAATAATATAAAACAAATCCAAATAAAATCTGAAAAACATTGGGCTGGTAGACTGAATTGCTGAATTTAGATGATCCGAAATAGAAAACCTTTGTGAACCCAGTGTTCATGGAACAGATATATTCATGTTTCAGAAGAGCTCAGATTTCTCACAAACTTTAACCATCTATGTTAGAAATCGAAGTTCAAATATTCTTTTAAATTTTAATGTCTGCAGAACCTGCCATGAGGTTCATATAGAGTTAGATAAAAAGGATTCATGCATTTCCAGCTAGGCATAGGGACTAACTGCACATAACCTCAGCAGTAACCTAAAGAAAATGAATGTATCCATATCAAGTAAGCTAGAAGAATAATTCTACTGTACCTGTCCCTCGTAAAAACACTAGCACCAGCCTCTAACAGCAACTTTGCCATCAGATATAATCCCTCTGAGGCAGCTACATGAAGTGGGGTTCTGTGGTCATAATCTTTGGAATTTGGATCAATGCCATTGGACAAAACTCTTTTAAGGAAGTCTGTATCCCCCCTAACAACAGCTTTGCAGAGAAAACAACCAGCATCATCTATACTCAAGGAGGCCCCTTCATTAACAAGTAATGAAGCAACTCGATCATGTCCATTTTTTAAGGCTTCTAGTAACGGTGTGTTCCCAAATTTATCTATAAAAAATTGAATTATTGACACAGGTTAATATGAAATGACTGACAGAGTAAACTCTGCATAGACTCACGTGGGATGAAAATATTACAAACAAAATTACCTTTTCTGTTAATGTCTACTCCTCCTTGAATAAGGAAAATTGTAATATCTTCGTATCCTCTTGATGCTGCCAGATGCTGTTGGGAGAAAACCAAAAAAGATCCATTATAGACTGAAAATTTTAATTGAAAACCTTACAACAAAAGTGGCATCAATGATCAGAGCATGTTTCAACAGTAAATCCTACAACATGAAGAAACAACCTGTGATGCTCACTATGTATGCAATTACAATAAATGTCATTAAAACTCCCCTCCTTGCCCTTGTTCTCTCTTTTGCATGTGAATGAGATTAGTAAAAAGACCCTGTCCTAATCAGAAAACTGTTCAAGTGTTATGTAAGATAAACTTTATTCTTCAATTAAAACAATGGCATCGTTGCCTGAACAATATTTTTGAGGCTAATCTATCCTGCTCTGTGCTTGAATTGGTCTTTTCAATGTTGAAGAACATTCCACAAGTGGCCTGTTGTGAACTTTTACCATGTTCCTAACCATTTGAAGAAAGAAATGAACTTTACATGATAGTTTAAATCATTTGTATCAGGAATGCCCTTGAATTTAGATATCAATGTTTTAATTCTCTTTAGCATAAGCAAAACTGCAGAAAGTTTCTCATTGATCTGTCACATCTGCTACAATTGAAAGAGTGAAAAACCGAAATTGATGCAGCTGCCAATCTGGAATCTGTTTTTTAAGCCTGGGGGTGAGTATAAATGTCAAATCCTCTCAAAGACAGGTAAGACACCCAAAGATGAATTGGCACATAGATTAGGTGGTGGATGTGACTATTCCAACCAAGAGGCATCATCTTAGCTACATATCGAAGGAAGATAATATAAATTATATGCAAGGTGAAACAGATTATGTTTTTTGAAATAAAAGTCTTAACACTGCTGTCCAGCGTAAACACTTCGTCTTCCATTTATTCTGTTTCGGTTGAAGACAACTATGTTCTCCTAGTATAAGTAGTTAAGAAAAGGAAAACGTAAACAAACTATGGAAGCCAAACAGCAATTACAAATAATACAGAACAAAACGAAGTAGAAATAAACCATAAATTAATGAACGTCGAGTGAAAAGTTTATTGAAGAGTTATTTCTTGTGACCTCCCTGAAGTTTTGGAATATTACAACTACACCCACAGGTTTAGAAAATACACATATAAACCTATCAAATACAATTAGATTTGGGAGGGTTTTAGAAAATGCAACCAGCACCTAACAGACCAGTATATTTGGTAAACACACTTCAAGTACAGAAGTAAATAAGAGTGCGAATCTGAAAATTACAAAAGCGAATACATACCAAAGGCGACCTCCCATCATAATCTGTCTTCTTGGGATCTGCTCCAGCCCGAATAAAACCTTTTAGCTGATACAGATCTCCATGATAAGCTGCACTATTCACCCTCAACGCAAGTTCCGCTTCATGCTTGGCAATGTGAAATGTGATGTCTGACTCCAGTTGTTTAACACGAATATTGGAATCTTTTCCCTGCAAGTTTATATGAAAACCATAGTATAGAAAATGACATACACTAATTGAAGTATCTTTCCACGTTCACTTTTTTACAGCCACACAAAAAGGTAACTTTATAAGGAGCAAAAAACATTTCAACATAGCTATATTACCTCTAAAAGGTTGGTCAATATTTTCCTCCCATCATAGAAATATATCTCAAGGATATTGGTAAAAGATTGTTTATCGATCCGCAGAACCCTACATAGTTCACAAACCCGAACAGTGTAACGCTGAGGAATGTTGCAAAGAATAGAAATCTCTCCAAATGAGCTATTAGGTTCTAAATATGAAACAGTTTCTTCCATTCCATCTTCCCCAACGCCAACCTCCTCCTGCAGAAATATATTTTCCTAGAGTTAAATAATTTCTTGTTGAGAATAGTGGGATCTACATATTAAAGAAGCTGCTAAAAGAATCAATCACAATAACCATATAGTTTTAAACAAAAAAAGATATCCTGCTAATGGATGTTGTTTATGTATTCATACTGCAAAAAAACATTTTGGAGTGCTTACCACATAATAGACAGAGATTTAAGAATTCATTTTGTCCCTAGCTTCATTGTAATTTGAATGAGATAGTAATAAAATAATAATATTGGTGCACATTGGAGATCTGAATTATATATGATCCCAGGAATCTGGACCTGAATATTGTTCTTTCCTTCTTCCTCTCTCTTTTTTTCTTCTTTTTGGCGCTTTTTTTTTTTTTTTTTTAAAGATTATGCTCTGATCTATATGTCTAATCGCTGTTTTACATCAAGAAAGATAGCATGGTATTAGTGCAACTTTTTGTTCCTGCGTGATAAGTATAATTTTTTCTGGAATATTCTAAGGGCAGGTGAGCATATGAGGTCCAACCGCTCCAAAGTGCCCAAATATTTGTCATGACCACTTTAACAAAAGTCAATGGACTAATACTAAAACAAAGGACATACAGATACGCAAAGGAATTTTTCAAGAAGTAAATATACATTGGAAGCAAAGTTAATCAAGGTGAAAATCAGAAAAATAAAAAATAAAAAAGCCAAGCTTTTGATATAATCAACTAAATTATCAACAGTGGTGATAAAATGGATATAATATATTACCAGCACACCATGACAGACAAAGTAGAGTTGATCTACAACATTTCCCTGCTCCAATACCACTTCTCCAGGGAGAAAAAATTCCTCATGGAGTCTAATAACCTACAAGACAAAAAGAATAAGATATATTAACTTGTAATCCCTTCTTTTCAATTTAGTATATTAGTGAAACAAGCAATATTTATGAGAAAAAGGAAGTCGTAATTGACATGAGTAACACTATACAGCAACCCTCTTGAGTGTATGACATCATTCCACTAACCCCAAAATCACAGGCCATAATGGTTGAAGTAACCTTCCAACAATTCATGTTGGAGCCGAATATTAGCATCAGTGTCCTTGCTATACAAAATTCAATGCATTTGGTAAGATGTGAAATCTTTACATAAGAACACAAAAATATTTCAAGGTCCAATCATTTAAATCCTTGTTTAATTCATTAGGGTAATAATGCGCCATGTCATGTCAAATCCATCTATGCCTAGTCATCTCCATCTAACACTGTACAAAATAGATTGAATGTTGAAAGAAGTACAACCAACCTGATCCTAGATGGATATCTGCCAGTGGAATGAACTTTGCAAGTCAAAACCCAGGAATGGAATGAACTTTATACGCAAAAAAAATATGCAACTTTAGGGGCTTACTTTCTATTGAATTTAATTATCATCTATTTCAGAATGTTAAGAAAGTGACTTACAATCTGATTGATAAATTCTGAAGAGCATCCCTTAAAAAGATAAACCTTTTCAATGTACGGCAAATATAAAGTCTGGGATATCTGCAAAAGGAAATGGTAAAGTAATTCAGTATGATAAGCCCTAAACTGTTGGGTGCAATACAAATTACATTTGTTAAGCAACTAGGATGTATGACAGTCAACAACAATAAAGTTATACCATAGCATAAATATGTATTCTGAATACATAAATAAAATAAAATAGAAAGAACTACATGATAGAAAAGATTGATCCACAAACTTATCTAAATTTAAAAAGAAAAAATTTAATGAAGTTGAAAAGGTGAACCCTTTACTGCTCAAAACCCCAGAAATCCAAGAAAAAACCCATTACACTTTTTCTAGTATTCACGCAAATGTGTTGGCTAAGGAACAGATTATTTGGTTGCCCCCTTTTAAGATTCCCTCTATGACAAAAATCAAATCATATGAATTTTGTACAGATAACAGGGATGAAATTTTTGTTTGCTAGTGATATTACAGGGACTATCGAGGGACATGTTAAAGAGTAATGCATAGAGTTTTTCAAGATAAATTGTCTCCCACTAATTTATGATGGGAACATCTTGTCCCTTTCTAGTCTTCTGCAACTAAAGTGTCTTAGTGAAGCCTTAGACTAAGTGGATATCCCTAGATTGGATGGTAGCTTGTTTGTAGAAGAAACACAAACCTTCATTCCTATTGGAATTCCCTTTAGGGGTTAAATCGGAGGTAATCCAATGTTTGCTGCCTACAAATCCTGACTTTTGGTAGCATAGCTAGAGATAAGGTGGGGATCTAAAATTATTATTCTCTAAACCAGCTGGCTCAGGAATTTCAATATAAGCAGAGAAGATTGCTACCCAAATCTTAGAGTCCGCACAAGGCGACTGACGTTGGCCAGTCCAATCATTGGATGAGGCTGGATTTTTTAGAAGAACTGTGAGTTTTTAAGATATTTTGGGCTCTTTGTAATGTGCCCACTTCATTCTGACATGCACGATCATATTCTATGAACTTCAATTGGGTGAGAGAGAAGCAAATGAGGAAGTTTTGGCTTAAGAGGAGCAGATATTTTGCTGCATATCAAAGGACTATATTTCCAGTACCATTTTGTTCTATCTAGGGTTGAATCTGCCTTCTCTCTATTGACCGTCTTTCTTCTCTAAAGAAATTAAAAGAGGAGAAAAAAAAAAAATTAAGCATATAGCATTCTCTTGTTGAAGAAAAAGTTCCTAGGTTCAGGTAGCCCCCTCCCTCTACCCTTACCTTAGAACGAATGGAGACAGGGATATCTTGAAGGACGGCAGCCTCAGTGTAGCTACTCTCATACTGTAATCGCAAGTGGCCTTTGATCTGGTCTCGAATGTCCCTCCCAAGTCTATTTCTGTTCATATATTTAATGACATCTGCCATTTTATCCCTGAACTTTTCCGTCTTTGAACCTTTTACAATTAATGCTGTCATGTTACCAATCAAGTAAGCTCCAAGAATCATGTCAAAAGACACATAAATCATTACAAATATCATTTCCCTCAGATTGACTGCATGTATATCCCCATAACCTGTGACAGATCAAGCACAGTTATTAGACATTACTAAAAACATCCAGTGGATGTAGCATGTGTGTATTGCAATGGCAAGTGCTTTTAGTAGACATAAAAGAATCAATATAACATGCTATTATGCTTTGAAGAGAGCAAAGGAGAAGAAGTCAGATTCTGTGGGAGAAAATCAGATTTTTGTGCTTCTCTTCGAGCAGCTGGTGCAAAGATTCTAAGACACCTCATTAGTCATTCCTATTCATTTTTCATGACTGGTCAGGGGTGTTGAGTTTATGTGTACTTGCTTTTCTGCGGCTGTCTAGGTTGTTGTAACCTTTCTCTAATTTTGATGTTAATATTGCGCACGGTTTTCAAGTTTTTGAGTAAATATCTAGTATTATTACAGTGGACTCTAAGTCCACCATTATAAATTTTAATTCTCATTATAAATATACTAAAAATACGTACCTGCTCCCACATAGTATTATTGTCCTTTTTTGGGCAAAACCCACGTCTTATTTTTGATAATCACCCAAAAGCCTTTATACTCTTTGAGATGTGGTTCTTCACTTATAATTCAACAATCTTCTCTAACAAGGCAATGTGAAATTCCAAAAACCCACCATCATCAAACCCATCTCAACCATCAAATAGCTGTATATAGGTCCTCACTTAGTTTTGTACTTCACTTGCGGCTCACCAAACCATTAATCTTTTAAACTTGAATGTCAGTTGTCTAAGTAGTCACCTCCTTATTGTCCTTCAACCAATCTTGAAAAGTCATCATACTTGACCTTCAAGTTTCAAGCTAATCATCACAATTCACAAATAATACTCTTAAAGTGACTAACATCGTGATCATATCATTTTCACTAGTTTAAATTGCAAATGTCATAGATTTGAGAGTACTCAATTCACATAATTAAACGCAACATACTTTTACCATTAAAGCTTGTGTTACATCTGACAGATTGATTGCCTACTATTCTGCTGCCTCATGCTTGAGAACAACTTCATTATAGATAAAGAAAACATATTTTCATCTCTGATAATCTACATCTATATTCATTATAACAATTTGGTTTTGCTTCCTATAGAAGCATTCCTACTGTCCTTTGTTTTGGCCATGAGCTCTGTAAAATAAAGTTTGAGGACACCATGCAATTCAAAATTCTGTGAGCGTTAAAACCTTACGACCAGTATTCATGAATTGTAAAACCATAATGTTTTCAATAGTATTCAAACAGTATAAGTTAGAAGGGCAACTTACCAACAGTGGCCATGGTTATAATTGCAAAATACAAAGATGTTGTGTATCGCAGCCAGAGGTCGATCTCTCTGAAATCTGAGTAGCTATAATCACCCAATTTTAAACTTCCAATCCATGTGTATCCCTCTTTTTCAGGAGGAAGAGTGGTAGCCAAATAGTAAAAGATGCATGCTGCTGTGTGTGTACAGTAGAGTTCAACAGCAATAAGTTTCACAATCCTGGTGAACAGATAATTGATTCGGGTATCCTTCTCCATATTATTTAAAAATTCAATGACTTTGCGTACCCGATATAACCTAATCCATAACAGATACCTGACTTCTTCTTTTCTTCCACTAGCCTGTGGCAAAAATATTTCTGAGCCTGTTAGAAAAGAGTGACAACAATATATTTGCATCTCCAAATAGTCACTACATATTGAAATCTTGTCATACCTATATTTGCTTTTTATTTAATAGAAATTTGATAGTATGCCTTCAGTCAGCCCACAAAATGTGTGGCTAAAAGGTGTTAATGGGGAAGTGCGGCAAACAAAGTTAAATACAAGGATGCTGAAATATTTTGCTATTGTAGGAAAATTAGTTAGCTTAATTCATTGATCCCCTAATATGAAGCTTTCAAACAGGTAGTGATCACTGGTTCAGAAATTTGTCAGCAACCTTCCCTGCCATTATTCATCATTCATTAGAAATAACAATCTAAGGTTATTCTAGTTATATCTTAGGAGTTAAAAAATATTGCATTGATCCCCTAACATTAAGCTTTCAAACAGGTGCCTACCACAGGTTTGGAAATTTGTCGGCAACCTCCCCTTCCATTATTCACCATTCACTAAAAATGACAATCTAAGGTTACTATAGTTATTTCTTACGAGTTATAAGATATGAAAAACAATAATGCTAGATGTACAAACAAATATTTGTGTACAAACTGATGTGTCAGAAAATGAATGGAAGAATGAATATGATGAGTTTCACTTTTTGTACCCACTCTTCTATTTATTTTCTGCCACTTCAGTTTGTACATAAATTTTTGTAAGAGTTGTTTGTACTACTCTATGAAAAATGCTATCCTTACAAAGACCCATACAAAGAGAGTTACAAAATGACATCATCCATAAGTAAAAAACAAAGAAAAAACGGAAAAAAAGAGAGAGAAAAAATCATAAAAACCAAGGGTGGAGATTATCTTTGTATGCCCCTTTTGTATGTGTGTTTGTAAAACTAGCATTGCTCATCAGATATTGCAAAGAAACTCAAAGCCATAGTATAAAGCTAGTATTTATCATTGTTTTCCTAATATAATGTCTGCAATGTGCTTAAATAGTGCACCTTAGACCAACTGGGAACTTAAGAAAACTAAGCATTGGGTTCGAGGCATTCTAGAAACGCATTTAACAACTACAAAAACTAAAGAAGCAAAACGAAACGAAGGGGAAAAAAAATGTACCTTATAGATAATATCCCAAGGCAAGCAACTGAGTAAATCGATGATAAAACTGGATTTTAAGTACCTACAAGAAGAAGAAGGAAAGGGTGATAAAGGGAAAGAAAGAGGGAAAATATAAGAGAAGAATAAGGTAAGGGTTGAATTGTTAGTGTACTTGAGAGCAATGGGTGTGCGCTTATAAACCATGCGGTAAGTCTGGCTATCTCTGTAGGCAAGAAAGAATTGCAAGATAATATCAAGAAGGAAAGCCAACTGCCCAGCAATGTCCAAAATAAAGAGGTTCTCTGGAAGTCCCCTGAAGAAAGCAAACTCCAAGGGTGTAAAGAAGGACGAGTAGAGTGCCCATATGAGTATGAATTTTGTCCAGGCCCGGTACCACCTGCATTTCTTCCACAAAATCAGCACGAACACTCCCTCAGACTCACGAGTACAATTGTTTTCAAATTAGAAAATGGGTGGGCCGTGGGGTTTTATGCAGCTCTTCACATCCCCACATCCCCTTCTTTCCAATTACATTTTCGTTATAAGAAAATTTTAATATATTAACATTTAATTTGATGAAAAACAAATAAAATAAAATTTTCAACTAAGAGATTTTTATCATAATATTTTTTTTATAATATATTTATTAACTATTGATGATACTGAATTTTTGCAACCATGCGAGGATTCCTTTTTTTTTTTTAAATTTGAAGATGTAATAAATGAAATTAAATTTCTAATGATTTGAATTATAGTACGTTGAAAGTAATTATTTATGGAGTATATTACCCACCACTAAAAGATGTATCATGAAAATTGAATTTTTATCAATTTTCAGATTATGATAACAATATTCTCCCTCCATGAACCCTATCGCCAAAACCATCTGGAAGAAAGAAGAAAACTACTAAGACCCATTTACAGTATATATATATATATATGAGAAATTCCTTTGTATTTGAATTTTATTTATGCTATAATAATTAGTGAAATTTGTAATCACACACCTACTCTAATATTGGATATTAAACTTATAATATTGAAAAATAAATGTGTACCGAAAAAAAAAACAATAATAAGACTTATGATATATTATAAATCTAATTTTTAAGCTGAAAGGCCATTAGATTTTTAAAGGCATAAATGAATATTTAGTAGGTTTTCAGTTACACTTCTTATAAAATTTAAAAAAAAATCTGACTGTTTTAAAATTTTAAAAAATAAATAAATGGGTTATTCTATAGGGTAATGACAATAGATATTTTGTAACATAATAGGCTATGTTAAGGGTAGAATTGACAAAATTTTAGTTTTATATAGTTTAATTATTTAAAATGTAAATATAAGTCATTACAATTTTGTATAAAGTTTATTTGAAATATATCTCACCCTATTTAACTATATATGTGGTTGGATAAGTTAACTACTTGAATTGAAAGTTTTATTTAATTTTACGACAAGAAATACTAAATAATTAAGAAAAATTATTTCCCAATTATTTTACTGGAATGTTCGATAATCAGATAAGGATAACTTTTAATATTTCAATATTACCATCTAAAAGAGATTCAACTTTTTTTTTTGCTTTAAATAGAAGAATTAACATAGACCCGGAAGTTTGATATAGGAACAAAACACTCCTAAGGTTTTTGGAATGACAACAAAAACCCCTATTATTAATGAACCATATATGAGCTGTTTCTTACCATGTTTGAGTTAGTAAATATTATCAAATTTTCCTTTTATTGTTTATTTTGATACCTAAAACTTTAAAAACAGAAGAATTACTTTTATTGTCAAAACCTTAAGGAGATTGTTGTTATTTTATCATACTTCAGGGGGATTAATGTTATTAACAACGTTGACAACTTTTATTTGGTTACAACTTACAACTAAAAAAGCGAAGCCGAAAACTATGGACCTCAAACACACAGTAAGTCACTGTCTGTGACACTGAAAGTCCCACATGGAGAAATATAAGCCGTCCGACTCTACGTCTCTACCTCTAAGTTGAGTAGTTGAACCAGGGTCCGTTAAACCAATAAAAACTAAACACGTGTACTTCATAGGCGGGAATGACGACTCTATCAAACTCAACCCTCAACTCTCACGTTAAACTTAAAAAACTCTCGCTTTCTTACAAAAATAAAATAAAGAATAATTTATGATAATTTGAATAATTAGAAACAACTGTGGAGAAACGAAAAGAACCTGTTATCGGGATGAATAACGAGAGTTTTGGAGAGATCTCTGAATCCAGTGATAACATTTTGACGACTGAAGTATCGCCTTCGCTGCAACTGATTCGCAATCAATTCAAATCGGCTTCCTCGCGACGATTTGATCTTATCTCTCAAATCGTCCACTTCGTAATCTACAGAATCCGACGAATCGTCTCTAATAATTTCTGTTCTTATAACATCGCCCATACTCACTTCAATTCAAATTTACAAAACGATGAAATAGAATGGAAGTTGAAGAGAGATCGGACAATTGAGAGAGACGATTGGCAATGAAGTGAAGCTGAGCTTAGAAGTTAATGTTTCCATGTGAGTAGGCAATTTATACAGCAACACAAACGCAACAGGGTGAGACACACGTAGGCGCACTCTGGGGAAGAATGAGTTTTATTTTTATTGTTTTGTGTTAAGATGAAGAAGGCTGCTACTTATTTCAACTAGATTGGATAAGATTACAGTGATGATGAATTAATGGTTGGATGATTAATTATTATTTAAATTTGAGAAAAATCAGCGGCCGATAGCGTGTCTTTTGCTTACTTAATTAAGATTTATAATGCTTTCATATGATTAAATAATTTAGCCTATGATTATATTTAATATTCTACGAAATTTTTCTAATAATTATTTGATTGTTGTATATGTGTCAATTATAGACCGTTAAATCATGATTATGTTACATACTTTTTTTTTCTTATCATAAGTTAAAATTGGAAAATAAAATTAATTGGATAATGTAAAGTATACTTTAGAAGAAAAATGAGAAGAAGTTGCAAGTGGAGTTGAAAAGTGAGAAAATTGTCACATGCTCTGGCAATTGGGATGCTGTGCTCGTGTTGTCCGTGGGAAAGATGTGCCATGTTGTTAGTTATTTAGGACTTTCTTGATAAATCCCGATTTTTCTAACAAATTTATGATTTTATTTTTATTATTAAGAAGATATCAAATTTTTATTTTTATTTTTTTATGACTGGGGGTATTTGGGTTAGTTTGCGCGTATCTCAACTAATTTCTTAGAGCCTTGAAGTTGACAACTGAGTGAATCTCAACAGTGGTCACCTCTATTAACAATCCAAATGGATCAAACTCATGACCTCTTGAGTAATACACTTAAGAGTCCTAGTTGACTGTTGGATCACCCAGTATTGGTTTAAAAAAAAAATCATGAAACTTTCTTATATACTATGAGGGTGTTTGTCTAAGCTTATAAGCTGGTCATAAGCTCTAAAATTAAACTGATATGTTTGTTTATAACTTTTTTGAGCTTATAAGTCAAATAATAATAATAATAATAAGTTGGGAGAAGTACATATTTTTTTTTTTTTTTTTTTTTGCTTATAGGCACTCTGCTTATAAGCTAGTTTGACCAATTATATTACCATATTATCCTTGTTTAATTTTAAAATTCTATAGTATACCCTTATTTAATGTAGTACCCTTTTTAGTTTTTTTATAATAAAATATACTTATAAGCCACATTTTACTAAACACGTCAACTACTTATCAGTCACTTATAAATACTTTAATTAAACACATAATTATTTAAAATTTTAAATGCTTATAAGCTAAAATTAGCTTATAAGCACTTGTTGCTTATAATTTTCATAAGCTCAGACAAACACCCGTATATTTCTCATTAAAAGTTAACTGCACTCTTTCTATGAATTAATTCTAAGAGTTCTTATTATTATTAGTAATATTGTTCAAATTTTATCTGAATTGAAAATTTATTAATTAAATTGCAATCATCGGATTCTTAAGGATATAAGGAGTGTTTGTCTGAGCTTATGAAAATTAGCTTATAAGCAACAATTGCTTATAAGCTAAAATTAACTTATAAGCATTTGAAATTTGAAGCAATTACGTGTTTGGTTAAAGTACTTATAAGTGACTGATAAGTAATTGACGTGTTTGGTAAAACGTGGCTTATAAGTACATTTTATTATAAAATTACTAAAAAAAGTACTACATTAAACAATGGCATACTATGAAATTTTAAAATTAAACAAGGATAATGTGGTAATATACTTGGTCAAACTAGCTTATAAGCAAAATGCTTATAAGCCAAAAAAAAAAAAGTACCTACCCCCCAACTAATTTTCAAAAAAATTATAAACAAACATGTCAGCTTAATTTTAGAGCTTATAAGCAAGTTTGACCAGTTTATAAGCTTAGACAAACACCCCAAAGTAAATGAATGTATATTGTATATAAAATGTTAACCGAATAAATATAAACTGCAATAAATTCATAGATCACTCTGTTCGTATGATCACTAACCAATGCATTTACATCACTTATAAATATTTTATTTATCGTTAATGTAATTGAAAAACTGTAGAAAAAAATATAATAGTCAATGATATCATAATATTCATGTTACAATTTAAAAAAGTTATCAAGTGTGAATCACAAAATTAGATGTCAATCAATTACTATTTTACATAATATAAAATTGAGAAGGTAGGTATTAGTTTTGATATTCATGAAAGTTCGAGAAAGTAGGGATTGCGGATGGCATATATAGTAATAATTGAATGTATTGATCTAACAAAGTTGTGGTGATTAATTAATTAATTAATTAATGTGCACGTGAAGGGTAAATTGATTGATGATGCCTTTGGTTATAAACCAAATTGGCCCTGCATATCCCCCCTTTTTTTTTCATCCAAAAGCAATTGATTATCACCTATTAAAAGCAAGAAAATAAAGCCTTTTCCGAAACAAGTACAGTATCCGGAGAGCATTAAAAATTGGATAGTCTATTTATTTTAATAATGTATTTAATGGTGCATCTGTCACGCTAGATTACTTATACCCCACTGCTGTTCCTAATTTCCTCAACTATGATTGAGACGTTATCCTTGGAATTCACCACACATATAACATATTCTCTATTTTTATTATATTTGGTTATTAATAGCATCATTAAAAATTTGTGTTATATATGATTCTTTTGAAGAAAAGGTTGATATTATTAATTTAATCTGTCCCATATATTAATATTAGATTATTCTTATGATAGGGCAGTCATCTATTTATAAATAGTGTAATCAGTAGCCGACCTAATAATTTATGTGAGAGGGGACACCATACAAATTTTAATATTTAAATAACATTACGTGTTAAAAAATATCATCTTATNAGTAAAATACCAAAAAACTCACAATATTATTCAACTTTATTCAACATTTTTTAAACCCCCTAAATTTGTTAATTCAATTAAATACCCCTAAATATTTTTAATGTTTTTGTTACGGCGACTTCGGCCACCCTCCGGCGGTGGTGGCCGGCTGTCCGTATTTAAGGGTGGATTGGGGGTGTTTTTGTTAACTTTTAATGTTTTATTATAAGGGGTGTTTTGTAAAAAAACAAACATAGGGGGTATTTTAGCAATTTGTAAATCCTACATCGTAATACCTACCCAATTCAATTTTTTTTTTAACTTTTTTCAAAAACTTTTCCCAAAAACACAAAATTGTGAACCAAACGGAGCCATGGTAAACTTAAAAAATAGTCAAAAGCTAATTATGTCATTTTGTACCCTATATATAAACTTTAAAAAATAAAATAAAAAAACCCTGAATTCAAACGCTTCCTTCTCCACCCCACCGCCACTCCGTCCACTACTTTTCTCGTCAACGCCATCACCGGTCAAGCTCTCACCTACGCTTAGTTCATCCGCCAAATTAACTCTCTCTCCTTCTCACTCAAGACACACCACTCTCTCTGCCAAATGATATTGCTTTCATCATTTCGCCTCCCCCACTAATTGGTCGAAATTGCACCAGGCTGAGTGTGATTTCGGCCGAATCGCATCTGGCTGAATTGCATCTAGCCAAATTCAAACCTGGATCTAGTGTTATATTTTGTTGTTATTTGGGATAATGGGTCGTTTTTGTGTATTGAATTGTTGGGGAAATTGATGGGATGGGAGAAGAGATGGTAAAAACGGAATTGCACCAGATCCGCGTCGATTTGGCCGGATGCGATTTGGTCACCAAGTTCTTCTAAGCTCTTCTCATGAGAGGTCATGTTGAGGAAGCCTTTGGACGCATTGATCTACTGATGTACAGTGGTTGTGCACCCAATTTTGATAGTCTCTATCTATTTTGTTTGAGAAAGGGAAAACCATTGTTGCTCTGAAGTTTTTGGATTTTTGTTTGGAGAGAGACTGCATTTTAGACTTTTCAAGCTATGAGAAGATGTTGGATTTTTGTTTGGAGAGAGAAAATGCATTTTAGACTTTTCAAGCTATGAGAAGATGTTGGATGCTCTCTTAGCAGCAGGGAAGACTTTCAATGCATATTCTTTATTGTTTAAAATTCTCGCGAAAGGAGGATCCACTGATTGGAAGAGCTGTGAGGATTCGATTGCTAGCCTTAATCAAGAAGGGAACACAAAGCAAGCAAATATACTCTCTAGAATGATAAGGGGAGGGAAGACAAACCGTGGGAGCAAGAAGGGGAAGAAACAATCAGCAGTTCCTAGCTAGTTTTGCCTTTTTATCTCCCTTTCTAATTTTAGTGTAGTTTTTTAAGTAGAGAACTTTTGCTTGAAACTTTTGCTTGAACCCGTGTTATACCACATGAAAGTTTTGCTTCATATTCTTGAAAATCCAATTCTATGTTCAAGCTTCTATACTCATTTTAAGTTAAATATTTTAATACCATTTGCAGCTTTGAAGATGATGATTTGTTTTTAAAATCAGTTTCTTGTTGTAATGTTAATAATGTAACACAATCTAGTGAACCTAAAGCCAAGTTAAGCTTCCAAGGGTCTTGTGTCTTCTAGCTTCATCTGGTCAGATGCAAATCGGCAGCATCTACGGCGAAGGAGAAAGAAGAAAAGAGAAAAAAGAAGAGGAATGATATTTTCGTCTTTATACTGTTTATACATGTCAGAGAATGGATTTTCCTAACGAAACTTAACGTTGGGTGGAAAGGTGTCATTTTGAAACTTAACGGGTGGGAAAGTGTCATTTCCCCGAACCTTGGGTGGGAATAGGTCGTTCTCCCTTGAAGAAAATGTTGGTATTATTGATTTAATCTGTCTCATATATTAATATTAGGTTATTCTTATGCTAGGGGCAGTCATCTATTTATAAATAGAGTAATCAGTAGCCGACCTAATAATTTATGTGAGAGGGGACACCATACAAATTTTAATATTTAAATAACATTACGTGTTAAAAAATATCATATTATAAATTTCCTAAAAACATGAATCTTATTTTTTTTTCCTGGTAATTTTTGACATTCTGACAATTGATTCTATGTGTAGAGTAAAATAATAAAATAATAATAGTAAAGAAACAAAAGTGAAAACTAAATTATAATTATGGATAGGTCCCTTGAAAATCTTTAACAACATTTTATTTAAATTATATTAT